TTCTTACGTATAAATAGCTCCTATTTTGAATAATACAGTTATGAATTCGTCTGAAAATTTGCGAAGCTAGAGTAACAACAAGGAAAGAGCGCCTTGTTATTGTGCCACTGAGCCAAATTGAAAAAGTGCGTGACGACAGCCAATTTCAGAAAAAATTGCAAGGAAATGGAGAAAGACAGAGAAAACGGAAGATGAGTCTTCTCCATCAAAACACCTCCACTGTTGGTTTTGAAAAAGAATAACAACTAAAGGAGAGGGTACATTAGTTTTTTGAATGCAAAATATGAAAGAGAATAGTTTGCTAGGCATTAGCTCCACTTGAAAAACTTTTCTTGAACTTTCTGAAGCTGTCAGATCGGATATTGTTATACGGTAGAAAGGAGCTTGACGAAGTAATCGTCACTCTTACTACACAGGAATTAGATTCGTCGAGTGACAGCTAAATTATTCGTCTTCTTCTCCGTTTTCCGACACGAGATGAAGATATTCAAGTCTCGATATTCAAGGACTCTTGCTGAATATCTCATTAGGGAGAGTGCAAGAGAGGAATAGTTTTTTTCGAACAAGAAGAAAAAAAATAAGGAGAAAAACGGAGCTCTCTTCGTCATTTTCATTCAATCGGTTGAGAGAAGACATGCCTCACTTGTTATGCAGAAGGAGAGAACAATTGAGTGAAAAGTAATGAATCTTCAAAGAGAAATTCTGGATAGATTTTCGGCGGAGAAATAATAATTAATGGATTTGTTGGGACCATCGAGAGCCACCATGTCAGCATTCATCAAACTGCCTTGTTATTTCTTTGTCAAAATAAAGAATCTAGAGATATTCGTGGTTTTAAAAATGTCATTTTTTCAACAAAAAAAAGCACGAGGATTCTTTGTACCAGAGCTTTCAGGTTTTGGATCTGGTAGTTGAATTTTCATGATTTCAAAAAAAATCAATGTTGCAGTGAGTGAGGTTTTTGAGAATCTCGAAAATTTTCTGGCCAGTTTCCAGAAAGTCTAGTTACTAAAATTCCATTAGAGCTACATATAACGTATTCCTTCTTAGAGAACATCACATATGCAAAGCCACGTCCAGTTCAATTATCTCGGTTTCTATAAAGGATATCAAAGAACTGCTGACTAATTATATTTTTCATAAAATCAGCGGCATTGTATTAATTTGAATGATTTGATAACTTGTTTAAAAATTGAGCAAATTGAAATTGAGTAATGTGTATGATGAAGTTTGAATTGCATTGCTGCTTTTAGAAACAGGTTAGCATTTTTTGAAAAATTTGAATAAACAACATTTTGCTAGTCTTTTTTGTGAAGAAATTGCAATTGCCCATAATCTATTCATTGTCCCGTTTTATCATAATCATCTAAAACGCCACCCATATTACATTGGCTGTACATTAAAAAATGCTTCAAAACTTTCTGCTCAATTTCTTACTCTCCGTATTATATCCTGCTGGAACTCGCTTCCAAAAACCGTGTTCCCACCCTTGATTTCATCCATCTCTTTTAAAACTAATTTAAGTCATGTTAATTTATCTTCTTTCCTATTCCTAGACAAACATAATTTCTAACTCATTTGTTAATTTGTAACACATTGATTTTATAAGTGACTGATAGTCCTGAATCAATAAGTTATTGTTATTATTATTAAGACATTTTTCATCAGTAAAAACTTAAAGCATGGTCTAAAATATGATAGTTACTTTTTACTTTTTACTTTTTTTCTAATCCTACATTTTTTTCCCCCAATTTACAACTTTGATTTGTTGCGGTTTCCAATGGTAATGGTTTGGATGTCTTTACATTAGCCGTAAATCATATGTCTTCACATTAGCCGTAAATCAGTCTTGTCCTGACAGCTCCGGCAGGGGTCGGAAGAATTGAAAACACAGAAGCAACAAGGGTCCCTCAAAAATGCAACCATGGCGACAAAGCGACGTGGGGTCTTTTCGTACCTATATAAACCCTTTTTTCTTTTCATCTTTCAAAAGACTTTGTGAGAGCAACTTCCAGTCCCTTTCTGTTCCTTTCTTCTGGTTTCCAGCCCTCGAGTTTGTCTAAAAAGTACAAGTTCCCGGAGTCCAAAAAGACTCTTTTTATCCTTTGGAGGTTCTAGTGCCTCAAAATGATTAATTGCGGAGAGTTAACACATTTTTTTCTTTGTTCCGCCTCTTCTTAAAAAACAGTGGGAGTCGGCGGAACAAAGAAAACTTATTTCCCCAGGGGAATCCAAAAAATGGCGGATACCAGATACCAAAAATGTGAACAAGTTCGTCAGTTTTTACTCGCTTCTCACTTCTCCGTTTTCTCAATTTAAATCCTTTTTTGATTCATCTTCCAGCCTATTTTCATCCTCGATTCCAACCAAACGCCCTGTTTACTGTTTATTTAGGTTGTAGGCGAACCACCCCTTCCTAGAATAAGATGTAGGCAAGACCTCGATATTAGGCTGAAAAAAAAACTGGAAGAAAAAAAAACAAAAGAACATAAGGACAAACAAAAGGAGACGAAAAATGAGAATGTTGGGAGGAGCTGCTGGGTGGTAGTGAGCTTGCCAGTATATAACAGCACAGGAAGAGGTCCTCAGTGTGCGGGAAAAATAACCGGACAGTCCCAAATGCACAGGGTGCTTTTTGTGCCATAACGCTTGGCTTTTCGCTCTTCTCCGCGCGGAAATGCATCGTAGAGTCACACGTTTATCTACTACTCTTGAGTTAATCGCAGTATTTGTATCTGTCTGTCAATATCCCTTATTTTCATTTTCTTCTCTTTCTTGCTCCTCGTTTTAGCCATGTGTTCTGCTTTGATGAGACGAGAAGGAACGGAGGGGAAGGGGTTTTCCAAAATGGATCATCTGTTTAGTGCAAAATTGAGGAAGAAAGACAGCAAGAGAAAGTATGCCTCCTTGTTCTCAGAAGCCCTGTGTGAGTAAGGACTTCTGAGAAACGGAGCTCTTCTGAATTCTAATCCTAATTTATTAGTCTCCTTGTTTCTTTTTTGTCCTTTTTTGTCGGTCAGGAGATCTTCTTCATTTTCTAGAAAAGAAGGTTTAAGTTTTGGTCGTTTTTCTGCTTCCCAGGAAGTACTCATATCAAAAATCCGGAACAATAATTTAATTTAATTTAGCATAAGATTCAAAACGACAGATTCGGAAAAGACTGATGCTTCTTTACTGGTTCAGGAAGCTGTGGTCCAATATTAAGAGATTTATGACTTTTTCTGTTTTCTATTTTTTCCAAATTGAAAAACCTATTGTTGTCTTCTTCCCAGCACAATTTTGAATTAGTCCTTATATAGCTTTATTATTGAGTCTAGCGCACTACTCAAGTAGCGCCAGATTGGAAGGGTGGGAAATGAGTCCAGCCGCATTCATCGCAAGAAGCCGATAAAATAAACAAAAGCCGTTTTGACCTCACATCGTTCGCACAGCTTGTTGCTGAGTTCTCATTGGGACGACTCATCTTAGATTTTACACTACTTTTCTCTGTCCTCAACTACTCGTTCTTCTCCTTTCCTCCCTCTGATATCTACCACATTACTCCAACAACTTTCCCATCACCATCATCAATAAATTGATGGGCCCTGTTTCTAAGGCCACTGTCTGCTTTGTTATTTATTCATTTTTTAAGTGTGCCTGAGAGATAGATTGTGGAAAAAAACGCATCACGTGAAGCTCACGGAAGATGAGAGCAAGAGCACCACAAAAATATTTGAACATGTAGACGGCATATTTTTCTTTCATGTCTCATTCTACTTTTCAGAATACCTACCTGGTTTTTGATGATTGGTTTTTATCGAGATTTTAAGCTTTTGAGGAACCAGGAAACGCTCTAGACCATAGTAGAAAACATCCTAAGATCACAGAACATAATAAACTCATCAGATCTTGTTGCTCCTCCTAGGCTTATTGCTGCTATCTTTCTTTCTCATCAAAAAAGAAAAAGAAAAAGCGGGTGGAACCATAGTTTTTTGACAGAGTGGCTCACATAAAAGTTGTATGCTGAGCCATGCAGGTCAAGAAATATGCTATTCGAAAAAAAGTGGTCACATATGTTTCCTTTCTTCCACATGTTGCCATTTTTCCTTCTCTTCCTCCAAGAGGAAAAATCCAAGTGCAATTGGTGTGAGAAAAAATGAGGGAATTTGTGTGTGTATCTGAAGTTTATTTGAGTTGGTTGTCCAAACAAATCAGACATTAGAAATCTTCAATTTTTGTATTTTTGTCTAGCTTAGACAGACTTTACGATTTTCTGTCATCTTTGGTTCATGTTTTTTAAAATTCAATTTTGACAGGCTGTCTAAATTAGAATTTCAGAAATTCTCCGTTTTTTCGAAAAAAAAATTCTCTATCAATCCATCATACAAACTTTCTGAGCGTACATTTCGGTTTTCTTTGAACTAAGCTAGAAATATCTTTCCGATTTTACAAGAAACTCAAGAAACTCAAAATTAATCACTTTTCCGTATTGCACCTGTGTTCACATGATTTTCTGAATTATAATTTTTTCCTGATTTTCTTTCTTGAATAACACAGACTATGAAATTTTGAGAGGGGTCTAAGAAGCATAATTTTTCATGTTTTGGAGTCTCAGGAGACTCGACTAGTTGACAATGTTTTTGGAACATGTTTCATTACTGAACGCTCATATGACTGCTTTTTTTTTCTTTTGTTCTAGAAACAATAATAAAAACACCACCCACGTGTTTCTGCATCATCTAGATTTTTAAAATCTTTAAGTTCCCGACAATAAACTTCATATCTTTGTTTATTTGTCCCGATCTAGCCGCCCGAATCATCTTCAGGAATATATCTTTCGCTTTCTCTTCCTGATTTTTTGCTCTTCCGATTGATGGGTCTGCACTGAGAATCCTGGAAGCAGATAGAGGGAGAGAAAGAGATTCAGAGATTTTAACTTTCTCTTCTGATGTAAAAACCCGAAACACTGTGTGTGGAGAGAAATAAAGATGTGATTGTTTTCAGGTGACGAGGCTGAAGCGATGGAGCTCATTGACAAGACAGTCGAGCTGCGAGGCAGCCAAGTTCTCAATATGCATTCGTATCATGCAATCATCTGGCAACGCCGGATCATGGCGTTCGCTACACTTCTTGCCTGGGTAAGTCGAATATTTTTAAATAATTTTTCTGTTATTTTCCCAAAGTCACGTACCAATCAAAAATTTGCATTTTCCTTCGTTTTCTCATCTAGTATTCAACACTCCTGCCTGGCAAATAGTCTATTCTTATTCCGGAAGCAAATACAATTAGAATGTTGTTTGTGTGTCGTCGGTTTCAATTAACTCGATTACAGATCGGTGTTGGATTATTGGTAGCGGCGTTGGCCACCACGCACTGGGCTTCCATTGACTTCCATAACAAGGACTATCAGCCAGTTCACGTTGATTTGGGAGTCTGGGGAGAGTATCGTACCGTCAATGACTTCAGGAAGGTTTCAGGTAAAGTGGAAATTTGAAGTGTTCCAATAATTCTGGTTTTTTTTCAGTGGAATGGATCCCACACTTCCCAGCCCCACCAGAGAATATTCTCCGACTTGCAGACACTGACCTGAAACGTAAATCTGAACACCATTTGGAAATAAAAAAATAATTCGCAATTTTTCAGACTACTATCGCTCGCAAGCGTTCATGGGATGTTTCGGAGCTGTGATTCTGCTTTGCACCAACTGCCTTGCTATTTACACCTTCTATCATCATCGTTATATGTACAAGAGAGCCGTGGCCGCTTTGTATCTTGTTGTTGGTGAGTGGAACCGAATCATATTAAAGAATTCTTTAGTGAAAACTCTGAAAAAAAGAATAATAAAAAAGAATAGCTCATTGAAAACCACAAAGACTCACGTCTTCGTTGTGCTCTCTTGTCAACTTTCTATTTCTCGAAGGTTTTGATGAATAAAGTTCATCAACGTCTTGTCATTATAGACCCTCGTCAAATTTCATGAGTGTCACCGAGACGGCTTCCTTGCAACAAAATTTGATAGGAGGGTATGAGGGGGCTCAGCGGCTGTAAAAAAGAGAAAAAAGTACTTGGGAAGTCGTTTAATGAACAGTTGGCAAATGACTTTTGCTCCAGTGCATGCAGAAGTAATAAAAAGAAACGTTTTGAAAGACATAACAGGAGGGAACTTTAATGCTTCCGGATAAGTACGAGTTGTTGTTTTTTTTTTACTTTTTTTGCATTCGAAGAGAAAGAATAGCATGTCCCATGAGGTTTGGTTTCAAAAGACGAAGGAAGCATGTATGTCAAGAACAGAAAAGATGGGCATATTGTTTTAAATGAAACTTAGAAGTTGCGAAAAAAGTCGAGGGACTAATCACTGGAGAGTAGATCATCGGAGTAGTGAATTACAGAAAGTAGCAAACAAATATTGGCTTGCTCGGTGGACGGTAGTATACTTCGGAGTCATTTTAAACGGTTCTAGACATTTTCAAGATTGAATATTTCAGAGCATACTAAAATAATTCATAATTGTTTTCTCATAGTTGTGTTTTCTTTTTCAATGATTCTGATGAGATATGCTGTTTGTAACCAAAAAGTGCCTAATTTACCGTAAATGCTCTGATCCGAATCCGAATGCGTACACTTTCAGCTCAATTATCATTGTTCCTACGGAAGATTTCAAAAATTTGTCAGCTGATAAAATATTAATGATAGTATGATGAATAATTTATTAGTTGACAGATTTTTGATATCTTTCGTAGGAACCAAGATAATTGAGCTCAAAATTCCCGGTTTCTATTAGATTTCCGTGACTCCTCGGCCCGGCCCGGCCCGGCTCGGCGGGCCCGGGTTTTCCAAATTTGAATTTTTTTTTTGAAATTTCAGTCAATTTTTCGAATTTTTTTGTGAAAAAAACTATTTTTTATGGACACTTTTATCTTGAAAGGTGTTTTACTTGACAGAAAAATCGTCCATATTTTCAGTTGACCACGAAAAATTTCTTTGAAAAGACAGGAAAAATTTGTTCCTGAAAACCCGGGCCGAGACATTCCGGGCCCTGGAAATTCTGAAAAAAAACACGGCTCGGCCCGGCCCGGCACGTTGCAAGTATGATATTTTGAGTCGGTAGTGTTGACTGAAAATCGGAAAACAATGCTTTCAAAAGTAGTAAAAATGATTCTATATTTCAAGAAAGTTATTTAAACGATTTTTTTCCAGCTATGTGCATCTTTGGAGCCATCGAGATTCTCTCCAGCAGTATTAATGAATGGAACACCGCTGTCACTCAGGTTTGTACTTTCCTGAGAATGGAAAAACCCTAATTTCTTTTTTCTAGGACCGAGAATTTGACTACGAGCAAGCCAAGAAGATGGGATTCTCGACCCGTCTTGCTCAAGGAGCCATTCTTACAAGCATAATTGCCTGTTTGGCATTTGCTTTCGGATCCCACAAACAGAAAGGGGAGCATGCGGCCACCGCAGAGTTGGAGATTGAGGATCGCGAATATCATATCGGACGATAATCGCTTCTTTATAATTTCTTTTCAACAAATGATCTCTTTATCTTTCTATATTATCTGCTGCTTTCCGTTTTTTCTAATCTATGGTTCTGCTGGGGTATACTTAACAGTTTTGATTTGTTCAATCATCCATTTGTTGATTCATTCATCCATTCACCAAATTCATGGTCTTCTTGATCTGTTTCCAAACTTTCAAAAGACTGAATTCTTCCGAGCTTTGGGTCCACTTGATTTTGATGCGACCAAAATGCTTAACTTGTATTCAAAAAGAAAGAACCTATTAATGAAATGAAATGTTTTGAATATATTCAAGGAAAAAAGTTTGTGAAGGTCAACAGAATACAATTTACAAAAGTTGGAAAAAACCAGTTTTGAAGAAACAAAAACAACGCAGAGTCAACCATCCACACTGTTTCTTTTAGTCTGCAGGCAGAGTAATTACCCCACACTGCGTATTTTTTCCCAATGGACAGGTGAGAAAATCAATAAAGATTAATAATAGTGGCAGAGCAAGCGAGAGCGTTTTTCCTCCATAATCCAAAACTATTTACCTGTTATTTCGTTCAGTGATACGTTGATAAAATGAATTTTGTAGCCATCTATTTCTAGAAAAAACCAGGTAAATAGAAAACAGTTATCTTTAGCGTAGAGTTCATACGAACAAAACCTTGATTGACTTTTTCACCCTGCCAACTGATAGTCTTATCATTTTTCTTGTCTTTGCACGTTTCCTTATGCTTCCTTTTTTAATGAATTCCATATTTTCAGAGAGAAAAACAGGCAAACATGGGTTTTTGGACAGATGTATGGGATCGAATTAAAAGTTGGAAAATTACAGTGGAACCATTAATGTTTGTATTGGCAGCGTGTAATACAGCAGTGTAAGCATTCGAGACAGAACTCACCAAACACCAATATCAAATTTTCAGCGGAATTGTCTCTCCTGCTCTGAAAGAAGGAAAAATGCGAAGATACTACCCCGCTCCCCCAGACATCCACGGAAAAGATCTTGATAAATATTATAATAAGAAAATGGTGTTGTGGGACAATTACTATGAATACATCAACTTGCCAATCGCTTGCATCTTTGGAATTATTTATGGTGAGACTCGGAAATTCGGTTCAAATCACACGTTTTTCACTTGCAGGAGGATATAGTGATCATCGCGGAAGAAAATATCCTATGCTTATTGGAATTCTTAGTGTGTTGGTTTCGAATGCTAGTAAGATAAGGTTGATTTTCGATTTTTTAAGAATTACATATTCTAGTGAATCTTCTGATGTGGGATGAAAACACAGATTGGCCGCTGACATGGACGTATCCGACAGCAGCAGTTACTGGATTTTTAGGAGATTTTTTATTGACAATGAGTTGTATCAATGCTTACATTGCTGATGAGTTTCCAGACAAGATTACGGTTTGAAAGGGTTCGCTTGACTATATTAAAGTAGAATATTGCAGCTATCTTATCGGATGGTTGTTGTGTCGATTCTGTTCAGTTTGGGGTCATTTGTGGCGTCTCGATTTGTAAAAGACCTGATTAAATGGACTTCAAAGCCATCAGTGATGATAATTGCAGAAGGTTCGTACAAATTTTTTTTTCGAATCCAGGACTCCATGCAAACAGGCAAAAATGAACCGAGGGCCGGATTATTTTTTGAAAAAATACGTGTTACGACTAAAATAGACTTTTGCCTCTATTACGAAATCGCAGGCGCGTTAAACAAATCTGACCCTCACAAGAAAATCGGAGGCCAATAAAATATAAATCGAGGCTTTTTTTAATCAAAGGCAAACATTTCTCAAATGTTTTTGAGATTTTTTAGATTTTAATTTGAAATATTACGATAAGACCTTCATCAAAAAATCTCCCGAGTTTTCGAACTTTTAAACAGTTTAGAATGATGTCGCGCATACCCAACTCTACCTCTATTTGACAAGTTCATAATTTTTCCACGATTTTTAGGATTTAGGTGAATTAATATGATACTACCATGTCTATACAGTCATTAAAATTCACAAGAATCAGCCTCTAAAAGTTCCAATATTTTTAGGAGGATATCTACTAACTTTCATAATCTCACTTTTCGTTTTGGAGCAGAAGAAACCAAAATCTAAAAGCAGTTTGCTCAAGGAAGATGAAACCATTTCCACCATTGAGAATGCCGAGAATTCAAGCCTTGCATTCATTCCAAATCCTGTTGTCGAAGAAAAACAGTGAGTCAGAACTGTTTCCTTGAAATCTTTAACTTTGTACTCAATTTCCTTAATGAATTTCAGATCTGTCCTTGAAATTATCAAAATTTCTTTTGTTTCCCTCTACGACGCTGCTAAGATCTTCGTTCTCCCTCGAGCCGCCCACCGCCGACTGTTCTTGTATCTTTGTTTTGCCGCCAACTTCCTGGACCAGTTTGTATGGGGAGAAGAAAAAGGTACAATTGTTTTTCAAATTCAATTTTAGTCTGGAACAAAAAATTATTTCCCCAATGCTATGTGTCATGGTATATGAGAAGTATGGTGTTATTGAACCCTCACATCATCTGAAATCCAGTGTCAGCTGAGAGAAGAAAGATTCGTTCGGACTCGTGTGCGTGGGCAAAGTTATTTTGATTCCTTTCCGGTCGTTTACTGCTCCGTAACATCCATACGAAGCTAATTTTCATGTCGTGCTTGAAACTAACGTTGATAGACATATAATGAAAATAGTTCTGATAAACACACGTCGGATAGGAAATGATGGAAATCACGTGTTTGAAAATTCTGGGAATTTTTTACAGGTCTTCTGGGCACGTATGTGCGCCTGCCACCATTCAAATGGGATACCAACACTTATGCTGATTACAAATCGTGGAGGCCAATAGTCCGTTAGTGAAAGAAGCCTTTTGTAACCAATCTGAACATTCTTTACATTTAGAAATTGTCGGAATGACTGTTGGAATGTTGTTTTTCAAGCGCATCTGTCATTTCCGCGACACATTTATTATTTCCCTCGCTATTCTGAGCATGGCCGGTTGTGTGCTCATGATTGGATTGGCACAGGTTAGCTTTTGCCCTTTTTTCTCTTGATTCGAATCAACCCCACGCAAATCCGTATTCATGACAAGATTTGTGAAAGCAACCGGACGTGTGACCGGATGCCGCCCCTGATGCAACATTGATGAAAATCAGCAGCTTTTTTTCAGGCATCTTGGATGATATTTGCAAGTTTGGGACCAGGAAGTCTTCATGGACTGCTCAACCCGATGTCGTACACATTTATGGCATGTATTGTAGAGCCTGATGAGGTTTTCGGAATTTCACAGTTTTTAAATAAAATGAACTTTAGATAGGAAAAGCTTATGCGATTAGTTCAGTAGCTCAAAAACTAGCTGGAATTGCTCAGAGTTTGGTTCTACAGAATATTTACATTGCCACTGTTGATTGGTATCAGGTAAACTACTGTTTTTTTTTTCTTGCATTTTATTAATCATCCATTTTTAGGGTTTCGTTTGGCTTCTCATGGCGGCTATCAGCTTTTTCGCTGTGGCCATTTATCTCGTCGTACACGTCATGGCAAAACGGGAGAATGTCGGGTCCTAATTTCGTCTACGCATTCGTCCATTCATTCATTACCTCACAAACACACATTATATTAATAAACAAAGACGTTCAATAAGAGAGAGAGAGAGAGTACTCGACGCAGACACACTAACAAATTGTCCTCAGATCGCACGAGGGAGGACACACTGAGGAGGTCCTCTTTGTGTGTAAATCGTCGTAGCAGTGTTTGCGGAGGACCCGAAAATCCGGTATAGACACACGATGTGTATGGTGGGGTCTGACCTGTTTCATCGGTTTTTCCAACAGTCCATCGCGTTTTAATACGACTCAGCTTACTGGGTTTGGGTTTTTAAGCTTGGCGACTCGTTTTTTCAGCTTTTTCTTTTTGCAGCGATAGCTATTTTAGTCTGAAATGAAATTTATACTAATATTGCCCCCGTTCTGAGCGCGTTCTCATAATCTAATCCAATTCATCTCCCTTTTTCTCTTTTCTCTTCAATTCAAATTGAACGAGATTAGTATCAGAATAGCGTATTGGCATGCCGCTTGTAGCAGAGATGAAAAAGAAATGAGACACAGAGAGAATGATATGATACGAGGTGCGCGTAAGGAAATTCTGTGTTCAAAACCGCAAATTGTACAGTGATCGCTTAGACCCTAACTAACTTTAAAATAAGAAAAAGGAAAAAAAAACTAGATTTGGGACAGATACATGTAATTTTTTCGGTTTTTTACTTCACTACGAATTTCGGCGAATCATTTCGACCAATCAGTCGATATCAGTTGTGACGCTTGTGCTAGAGAGCTGGTATCAATGTACTCACTGTTATACTGCAAGAGCAAAGTCAATCGAATGATTCGGAAACATTTTCATTCTAGAGTGTTTGTATTTGCACGCCTTTTTTCTCATTTTTACTTCGAACAGCACACGCCGTTCCATTTCTCATTTTCTGCCTTAACCCCTTCGGTTCCAAGCCATTTTTCCCATAAGGAATGAGTAATCTCCCACATGAATTCTTTTTTCAAAAAGACCCCACTCACACTTTTTTCTAACCCTGCCCACCTCCTCACCAAAAAACACACTTTTCAGAAGATCACTTTTTGAGGTCGCGTTTTGTAAATGGAGATTCTAAAGATCCGTTTCAAGCGAAGGGACATATTTCAAATAACAAATAGTTTTGGTTTCGGTTTGATTGTGTGTCGAAAATCATGCATAAATGGACGGCTACTACTGCGCATTGAGGGAGGGCTGAATGAGAATAGACTAGTCGTTTTTGTCGCAGATGTTGCTATTTTTGGGCATGCGTGACGAAATCTGATCGGTGTACTAAAAAAATTCATGAATAAAAATTTGAACATTTTGACCTACGTTCTAACAAAAATCAAACTTATCAAACTAATGCGCGCCCTTTTATAGTTATCAAAACGTTTTTTGATCATCTATCTCTCTACCTACTCATATGATTAGTGCGTGTGCATATTTAATGAAAACACATCGAAGTAGTCATAATCAGTGAACACAAAACCGTATAGAAGAATAGCGCTTAGTTCCCCCTGCCATCCCGAGGCCCTACTGCCAGAACACGTCTCTCTCGTCTCTCGGCGCCGCAGCTAGCAGCCAGGAAGACTGCTCCCCGAGCCCGCCCCCAAATCAAGCGCTTTTTCTTTTCATTCCCACCTCAAGGACTACATACCTCCATCTTCTTATTCCCCACGTCCCCACTCTTGAACCGCTTTTTATTCTACCTTGTGAAGTCTTCTGTAATAATGCCTAAACGTAAATTTCGGACCGTCTGCAGACGCGTTATCAATCGTATCGTGATTATAAAAAAACTAAAAGGTAACTATAGAACCACTTGGGCTCGCTCAAATAATGACAGAATCTGGAGGTTCTCACAAACGACGTCAGAAGCTGAAAGGACGGCTGTCAGTGGATCGGTGTGCGATTCTGGAGCTGATTGTACAGGTATGTTGATGGGATTGTTCCAGCAGAAAAGGGAATTCAATCGGAATAATGGGCAATGAATCTTCTAGTCGAAACGTTCTAGGCTAGAACTTCTTTAGCTTATGGCACATGTATCTCTGTAGTATTTCATGTTAACTTTTGTTTGCTCAGGTTCGAGAGCACCCGATATACAAGATTCAACAAAAAACCGTAGGCACGTGTAGTTTAGTGGTCAAATAAAACGAAAATACGCTCGGATTTGTTGTCGCGACTACGTGCGTCACTGTAGTGTATATGCAAATGTACAATAACTTGTTTCGATTACAGCTGTGTTCGGACAATGCGACGCATTTCAAAAAACTCGCACAATCGGGCGCCAACGGATACAACGAGCGGATGCCAGTCGTTCAGACGGTTTTGCAAACCTCTATTGAGACACTAAAAGGTAAATTTGGATTTTTCTTCAGTTCTTGAGTAACTTTGAATTTCAGGAAACATCAAAAAGCTTCAAGAAGTTGCCCCTAAATACGATTACGACGAGAAAACGCCAGGAAATGGGTATAGGTGGGTAATTTTTGCTCTTTTCTCTCCCAACGTGACACATCTTTGGGGACTAATCGTTGAAATTAGCGTGGACACTTGGACTAATGCACAAAAAAGTGAAAAATGTTGCCTTCTTTGGCCTTTCGCAACGACCATCGTTCTTTTCTCAAAAAAGAATTTGCAAGAATAAAAATCCGAAAATGAAGTACACACCCTGCATATCCCAGTACTTTCTGGGTGCATGTATATTCATGTTCTCCTTTTTTCAATTGGTCACGTTAGTTCATACTTCCGTTTTTTTTCTTCTTTTTCACCAGGTTCATATTTCTCACCAAGTCCTCAGCGAGCTCTATTCAAGTGTGTGTCTCCTTTTCAAAAAAGAAAGGACGAAGATGTATTGAGGGATTACTGTCGCCATGGAAATGGCAATTTTCATATACACATAAACTTGAAGGGGTTGAAAAGAAAAAGAAAAAAAACGAAACAACATATGATTGTTTTTTCGAAAGAGGTTTCCCGAAAGAATATCGCTCATTGATGTTTGGAGCCTTCTCCCACATTTTATTTTCAATGTCCTACTGTAGATGGAAATCCCACACAAACCCATTTATTTTTCAGAAGTCTCATCTGCATCTGCGACACCACACTTCTCCATGTTGTCTCGCTGCAAAAGGCTGTGTTCGAGCAAAGAGGATATCTCATCTTTCGCATTTCCCACTTTTGCAAAGAGCTCGAAGCGTATGCTACAGTAATCGACTATTTGAACAAATCAATCCCATTGTGTCTAGAGACGGAGAGGAACATGCGTGGATCCTTGTTCCCACCGCTCGAGGGAAACTATGAGACCTATCAGGAAATCCTTCGTGTCATGGAAAAACTCGACTCGTCCGTCTTTTTTGGCCGTCCGATTGGCTTCCAATTCTCACCATCAATCAACAAAATCTTTCGGATTATTGGAGTCGTTCTTGCCACTTACAGTTTATCATGGGAGAAAGGGCACGGAGCCATCGGTTCACTCATCAACACTGGACGCTTCTTTTTGAGCCCAGAGCAACGTGCAGAGCGTATCATTAAAGTCACCAAGGAAGCGGATATTGATTTCTGCAAAGGTTTCTGGAATCTGTCCGAGTTGAGCAATGTGAGTATTCTATTTTAGGGAAACTATTTTGAATTCAACAATTTTCAGAATATGCCGAAATTCTTCTGCCCAAATATGGCTCTCAACGAACTTCGAGAAATTCCACTAGCAGGCGCAATTCCGATGGAAGGCAAAAACGGAGAACTGGTGATGGTTCCAGAACCATCAGCTCACACTGGACCACGTCCAGTTCAATATCGTATTCTCTCTACTGTTCATCGTCAGAACATGTCTTCATCTGCCTTGTCAACCACACATCCTCCGTCCAAATACCTCGTACTTCACTGCCATGGTGGAGGCTACGTGGCAACATCTAGCAAGTCGCACGAGGTATTAATTATCCGAAGATAGTTTTAAAAATGTATTTATATTCCAGACATATCTCCGTCAGTGGGCCAAAGCATTGAATTGTCCTGTGGTGTCTGTTGAATATTCTTTGGCTCCAGAAAATCCGTTCCCGAGACCAACGGAGGAAGTGCTCTTCGCCTATTCATGGATCATCAACAATCCAGCAGCAGTCGGGTGGACAGGAGAAAAAATTGTGATGGTTGGTGACTCGGCTGGTGGAAATTTGATTATGTCGGTCAATATTCGTCTTGTCCAACTGAACATCAAGCGACAGCCTGATGGGCTCGTCCTCTGTTACACACCATTTTTGTTCCAGGTTAGCCACTTGACGCACTTAAAAATTAAGAAATTTGAATTCTTTCAGTATTTGCCTTCACCGTCTAGAATGCTGAGTGTCATGGACCCACTTCTCCATATGGGTGTAGTCTTGCGATGTGTGGCTGCGTACACTGGAGCCTATGGAGCACAAATCAACAATAACAAGTTGAGAAAAAGTAGGAATAGCATTGGAGGAACCGATATGTACGCTTCGCATCGATCTCTTCAAGAGTATGTCAATGAGGTTCAGAAGACTAGAGTTGATTTTTCGGTGAGTCTTTTTTTTTCAATTTAAGTGTTTTCGAAAAAAAAATTGGGCTTGCAGGGAGGATCTCAATCAATTGTTTCCCTTGTACAAAAGAGTCATGACAACGGCGGGTTCGCCAAGACAAACGGAAATTCATATTATAAAAAGGAGACCAAGACAGAGATTGAAATTGTCAAGAAGACGGAAGAAGTGGAGAAAGATGGGTGTGAAAGTGAAGACGATGCTTTGGAAACCACTAGTATCGCTAGCGTTCAAGTCGATGCGGATCCGTTCCATATCCAACTCAACCATACATTGCACGACGATGACCTCATCAGCTTCCTTAGTCATCATCCCATCACCAAAGAGTGAGTCTTTGTTATTAACTTCAACAATAATCTTTATTTTCCAGTGCGATGAGTCACACGCCGGATATCAGTGAGGACGACATTGAACTTCTTGATAGTCCAATAGAATTGGGTCTTGAAGCGACGTAAGAATACTTTAACTATTCAACTCGTCCTAATTATTAGGTTTTTTCCAGTGAGAACTTGGTGATCGAGGAAGAGCATGAGGAGAACAAGATCGGGGACGAGGTGTCTACACCATCCACGGAGAGCATTCCAGAAGTTCACACCACTAAACGCCCACGTCTTCTTCAAATGCTAAGTAGTGTGACTTCTCGTGAAAGTCGTGACAACTCTCAAACCGCACCATCCACACCGTCGCAACAGCCAAAGCCGCTCACTCATAGTAACTCGATGAACGGGTTTAATCCTCCAGTGGTAGGTCGACAAAATTATTCAAAGTTTAAAAGTTCATATTTAGCACAAGCGATCACTATCGCAAAGTTTGGCGGACACTGCTGCTTCGACGGCTGCATACGCGCTCGATAACTTGCAAGATTGGTTTGAGCGGCCGCTGAAGGAGAAGCAAAAGTTGGATCGGACTGTTTCCAGAAAAGACGAAGGAGATATTTTGGAAGAAGTGCTGGAGGAGGATGAGCAGCCATCGCATCTTCTGGAGCTAGTATCCGCGGGAACTGTGCCTAGAGACCCTCTCATTTCACCAATGTATGCTGATAATGAAACAATCTGCCAGTTGCCACCTTGTTATTTCATGGTAAGATTTTAATTTCTACTTTCAGAATAAAACCTGACTCGTTTCCCAGGCATGTCACATGGATCCACTGCTTGACGACACTATTTCATTCGCCGGAAAGCTCCGTGATGCCGGTGGCAAAGTGATGTCAGTCGACTTGCTCTCATCCGTTCCTCATGGATTCCTCAACTTCACTCTCATTTCTCCTGAATGCAAAAAGAGCGGACAAGTGTGCATTGGCCGTCTCAAAGAAGCTCTTGGGATCATTGACGAATAATTCCGCAAATGTATATTTATATAGGTGTTTCTGTATGTATTGCTTTTTTACACGGCTTTTCCATTTTATGTGTTTAGTACAAGTAATTCATATTTGTTAGCTATAAGGGTCAGTATTATTAGTTCATCAATCTGTGAAGCCTAGAAAGCGTTTTGGTGGGGTGCGCCATCGCAACACAACTCATACGAGTATTGTTCTCTTTTTAGTCCGTAATCCTTTTCACCAGTCATCAAGAATTTTCTTGTAAATGTATTTATTCTTACCTCCAAAAATCCTCCCTCATCTTATAGCCATAGTCTGTGACTTTGATGTGTGTTTCAAACCAATTATTCTTTTTTGAAAGGAAATATTTTCTAAGTTTTTGAAATATCTTCTCTCCCAGTTTGCATTTTATCTTGGTGCGCTATTTTCAATGAATGAATGAATAATCTTGTAAAATTGATATTTGGTTGAAAATAGGATGAAAAGCTAGATACTTTCAGCTAACATTTTTTCCAGAGCTATGTATAATGTCATCCGAAAATCTCTGAAAGTAGAATCTTCGTGTGCTGGACTGAAAGCTGAAAAAAGTTTTCCGAGCCATGCCGTTTCAGAACCGCAACATTTTTGAATCGCAACTTTTCAAGACCCCAAAATTTCAATACTACGACGTCTTAGAACTGACCATTTCATAATAGTTTCGGAACTGTCAAAAAAGCTAAGGAAACACATGGAAAAAAATAGAATCACATCTGTGTAGTCCTAAAGAACAATAGTTTTTACCGGTTATTTAGATAAAAATCGGAAACCCCACACTGAAAGAAATCACTCAACAATCAAAGATTTGTTGTCGGTTCAGCAGAACTTTCGTATTATTTTGTGAAGTTTATAAAACTTTCAAAGAAATTTCATTTTTCTGAAACTTTCAAAACTAAACGCGGCTACAAGTAATGAATCCGATTTCCAACTGGTGAAGAATTATCTTAATATGATAATCTCAAGGCAACTAATCTCGACTATTTTCTAGTTTGTAGTTGTTTCCTGTCTCTGTTTATTCAAAAAAATGCTAAAAGAAAGAACTCGGCGTTTTAATTCAAGCAGAATTAATATTCTGCAAGTACTTTTCCTCCAAAAAAGCGTTCACGTTCCACTGAGCATTACTGAAAAAATAAGTAAATGATTTTTCTCAAGTTCCTTCTCCTGGAATCTCAAAAAAGGGGCTATAAATGTTTTATTATCTGTAATTTTGTATTTGAGGTAACAATATTAATCGGTTATAATAAGTTAGAATGCATTTCACAGAAGAGAAAATGAATTATTGTAAATTTGAGAATTAGTTTAGAAGATGTTAGGTTTGCCGATCAAGTTCTCAATGAGGACGGCCCACAATCCTCCGGTGAGAAGACCGATCATGAGGGTGCAGACAGAGAGTTGGGCGGCAAATCGAGAATAATGGGATGGAACGACGCTGAAAAATAGAAATAAGCAATTTCATAACAATTGTTCTTCACTTTGGAGTATATCCCATTGCCAATGCACTCAAGTAACCATGCGAAAGAGACATCAGGATTCCAGAACCAACAAAAATGTCCGTATTGTCGAAGAAGACTGGATAGGCGCGAGTCTCAACACGATAGTTGCAGAAGAAGAACACCGGAATGAAGAGGGCACGAGCGATAATTGCAAGAGAGAGATATCTTGGAGTTGGCTGGAAAGAATCCAGTGTTAGTAATCAGAAGAAGCATTAAATTGTACTTACCCAGTGGATTTTGGAAGCCACAATTGATCCAATAGTGGCGAACAAGTTGAAGACAAGGAAACTGGTGAGCAACGTGTAGATTTCATCGTTCTCGGAGATAATCTTGTCAAGGAAGCCATTCTTGCCACGAGTGGTGACTGTCATCATGACCGGGAAGATTGTAAGGGTCACTGCGAAGCAGAACCAGACGTTGAACAGTTGTCCGTAGCACTGAAAATGACATTTTTCAATATTCTTAAGCTTCAGAAGTTTCCAGTCTTACATTTTTGAACGTAGTCCAAAGAATGGATGGTGATGGTCTGTGAGTGTCAGCCTCCTCACGCACTTTCATTCCCTTCTGATGGTAATAGTGGTAGAAGTCTTGCTTCGTGATGAAGAACAGGGCCACAGCACAAATGATAAGAATACTTAGCGAGATACTGAAGTAGACAATGGCCACTAGTCTGGGCATGTTGAACAAACCTGTAAATTATTTCTTTGAGACCTGAAAAAAACAATTAAAAACAAGTAAAAACTTACAGTAGGTCACTGCAATCTTAACAAAGGTGATGAGAAGCCCACAGATGTTGTTTCCAATTAGCAATGCGCCGATGTAGGTATGTGGAAAGTCGGCGAATACACCGTAAACGGAGTTCTCGTACAAGCCATTGGAGAAGTTGATGGATGTGGCCATGAAAATGGTGAGCCAGAAGAACCATCTCATAGCGTCATGGGTTGGTTCAACAGTCACAACAAAACACAGAATGATGGCGAGGTTGAAGATGTTGAAGCAGACTGGAGCGAAGACACGGTAGATCAGGGGACCACTGAAATTTTGAGTTTTTTTCAAAGCAGGCGAAATTTTTACGGTTAAGGGTGAGGTGGTTAATTTGAGATAAGAATCCTGCTTGATTGCACAAAACTAGGAAAGCAAAATTTAAAAAAAATCAAGCACATGAGCTTCAACATCGTTAGGAAGTTATCATTCTCTGGATAATTCTCTGAACCTGTACTCACGCGATGATAAGAAACAAGTTAAACACGTTGATGGCGGCGTTTGGAAGTTGCGAGGCGATGGTCAACGATCCCATGAACTCCTTCGAGTACCATGTCTCCTCTCCGTCCTGTTTGAACCAGTAGTTGACGTAGTACTAAAACATTTTGGCTTGCTTACGATATTCATGCCTACAAAAACTGCAAATTATACCTCTGGAGCAATGGTGATAAACATGTTCCACGGGAGAAGGACACCGAAACCGACAAGGATGACGAGCCAGTAGACGATGTTGAATTTGTCCTCAGGTGCGACATCCGGGTCGACAAAGTAGGTGTTTCGACGAGTGACAACCATAATTTCCCCTGACAGAAAACGATGATCTTTAGAAAGTAAAACTTGTGAATAGATTCAAAATTATTGAATGGTTTAGACTGTTTTTAAAGAGAAAAAAGAGCAAGAAAAACTTCCAAAGAATGTTTATAGGAAAAAAGTATTCATAACCTATCAAAGAACAAGAAATGAAATGGCAGGAAAGGAGGGAAAAAATTGAAAGAGCAAATGATCAATAAACAAATTAAATTAAATTAAATAAGGGATAAAAAACGACTAAATGACTGCAGAAGAAGGATGACGAACCCCTCAGGACTCGCTAATTCGCCACGCCCCCTTTTTTTCGCGCCATTGTAGATCAAAAACATTTGCGTGTCTAGGTGACCTCTTCCCCTCTTGTCTTCCAAAAGAGGAGGGTCCGTAGTGCGAGGCAAGAAATAGGAGGAAGAAAAGGGGAATGGAGTGCGCGAGAAGAAGACCCACAGATTAGAACGGATTTTGATATAGAGGAAGCCCTTCGACTTAAAAAAACATGTACGGAGATTTAAGAAAATGGCACATAGACTTTAAAGAGTGACTGTTAAATTTTGGAAGAGCTGTATTTTTGAAGAAACATGGAAACCATAATTGGGAAACCTCACAAACACTGACTAAATAACTCTGTTCATTTCTCTTAAATTTTTTTCAGTAGAAATGAGCCGATATGAATTTCGAAGACTGTTAACGAAAAACGATAAAAATTCAAAATTTCTAAATTTCCATTCTTGTTCGAAAAAAATTTTTTATTGCGCTTCATTTTGCGAACAAATCGGATTTCAAAAGCAGTTTTATCAGATTAAAAGACCAAGAATCGTCGAAGACTTATGATAAACTACGATAATGCTAATAGGAAATCCTTCAATTCAATTCAATTTCCAAAATAACTTTTTTCTGAAAGAAAAAATGCATTCAAAGAATTTCAAAGTCTAAAACTTGGAAGTGGAGCTAATTCTTCAAGGTGGCTCGATTTAAAACAATTTCAAAAATAATATGAATTAAAAAACTCGTTCTGCCTGTGTCAGAACAACGATGTGCACCGAAAGGATATGGTTTTCTTTGAATTGTGGTCCACAGAGTTTTGAACTCAAAGGGAAAATGAAGAAATTGATTCACTGTAACCATTTCCATCAAATATTTTAATGTGGGTTCATTGTATACCAAAATTCACATTTACAAATCTGGAAAAACGTCTATCTACGGTTCACTGTTGATTTTTTCGAGTCATCGATCTTCACTCCAATAAAACCCTAATTTATATCAGGTTTGCTAATTTCATTGCTTTCTTTTTTATTGAATAGATTTTTGCGTACCTCTCAAAGTTTTCTACGTATGAACGTGATAATTCTGGCTGCAACTCTCTTAATTTTTTCTCCAAACATGTTTTTTCCTCGCCAAAAAACCTGCAATATAAGGACTCTTTGTTTGTGTTTTTTTGTAAATTTGAATTCGATCTAATAGTGTATCGAACATTTTTAGTAGGAAAAGTACTTTTTTTATAAATGTTTTGTCCGTGCCCACTTTTGAGCATACATTGCGTCCAATAAGTTTAGGACCTTATTTATTTCTGCAAATTCCGTTCGATTCCAAGTGTAAAACAACCCCCGGACCTGATTTTTGGGTGTCGCACCACTCGTCGTCCCCGCGTACCACCAAAACCACTTTTTCAGATTTCCAATAAGATTAGGACTCTCCTGAAAATTTCGAAACTTTGGTAATTTTTTACCAACTTGTTTTTTTCGCTTATTCACTTTCAGTTGCAGCTTTTTTCGTACGTTTGCCGAGCTAGACAGTTAGATGTTCAATTTTTTTTTTACTCAGACATTGATGTGAGTAGTTCTAGTACAAAACAAATCCATATCTGAAAGTTGCAACACTTGTTTATTTTTCACAGCACGATATTTAAATCGCAAAAGATTTAAAATGAAAATTATTTGACTTTTAAAGAAGTTTATACATAAACACAGTAGTTTCCGAAACCGGGTGTGATTGTTTTTGAGAAGTACAGAGGTCCTTCTCTGATTGAGCCTTTTCAAACAAATTTTCAAAACCTGCAGCAGTTTTCCAACGAGTTGATTCATTTAAACCCCCATCTGAAAACCGATCGCTCAATAATTGTGTTTCTGTGTGAGTGTGTAATTCATTAGAGACTCATCAAAAAGATCCACTTGTTCACACGAAGCAAACGCGCGTTGATAACAGATTGAGAGACGCAATGACAAATGCGAAGCCCTTCACAAATGTAATTGGTTGAAGGCTCATTTGTCACCCATCATTTACTTTGTGGTCGGGTGCCGATTCGACATAACTACTCCTGCTCCTGCTCGTCATCGGGCCCCGAAAAAACAATTCAAAACATCCATACGTCTCTTGTTAACCACCTCACTCACCGGGTGGAAACGAACACATTTTTTGCGGTTCACATTTAGAAAGAACTAGAGAAAGAGTTGTCAATTTTGGTCCACAAATCATTGGATATTGAGTGAGTGGCCAACATGTTTTAAGTGTGTGGAGGCCAATTCGTTGATTGTATCACAACAGCCGCTTACTCAGGAAAACGTAAAGCAATTTGCCAATACCGCAAGAAAACATGACAGGGGATGAGCTGACAGGGTCTTTGATGTTTGATGGATCACACCAATTTTCAAGACATTGATTTGAAAATCCCTCCATTGAATTTCAATCCATCAACCCAACTACTTTTTCAATAGGTCAGTATTAAACCAATTTCAAAGGAAAATGCAGCTGTTAAAAGAAAAGGAAACCTTCCCAAAGTCGTTTATTCAAATGTTTGGTGGCAAATGCAAGGGAACACATCCGGAGATATTTGAATTTTATTTATTTGAATAACGCCATCAATTCTTCACTTTTGATGTGAAGCCGAGAAACGAGAGAAAACGGCCGGATGATGAGATTGAGGTTTTTTTATTAGGTGAACTATTTCTGAACTTCATAGTTTGGATACTGTAGGAGAATTGGCTATTTTTTATGGATCTGAAAATGATCTGTGTTTTAAACCCATTCCCTACCCGATGAGCCCCACGCAATAAATATTCCCATAACACTATTATCCTTCTCAATATGGCAAATGCGTAGCGACTTCTATTGTGCAAGATAAGTGCATTTCCTTATTCACATCTCATCAAAGCGCCTCTTCATAAAATCTGACATATATTATTCCGAATAACCAATACGACTAATTGCAGTAAATATGTGTCGATTACTATTAAGAAGCGCGTTTGTGTCTTTTGAAGATCCCTGCTCAATACTAAATAGCCGTGACGAGTCGAGTGTGAAAATGCACATGATTTAATTACCGAGCAGAAAGCGGCTCTTCTGTTTTCAATCACCATGATCCAATGGGTCAATTTTATTGAAGGCGTTGGTTCGATCATGCAACAATATAATTTCTTGGGGTTTAGAATAAAACGAAATGACAAAGATATGACGGATTCACGCACAGAGAGAAACCGGATGCTACGCACTAAAATTGTTTTCAAGAGGATGATGAGAGTGGGATGTTTTGGAAACTATGCTTGTTTCAAGCTCGGGAGAAAGGGAAATGGAATAAAATCGGGAGGAGAGATTCGGGTAGAATGAGAAACTCCTGACCCGTACTAGCAATCTTCGATTGAGAGAGAATTATACAGTGTTTTAATCGTATCCAACGTTTTGCGGCATCAAAAGTTGGTTCAAATTGAAGAGTGTCAAAGGGAGAGGAGTACCATGAAGAACCGAGCCGTGTGATGGGGTGAGAATTGGTTGCAAGAGCTGAAAAAAAAATTAGTTCTGAAAATATTAACTCTATGTATTGGAACCTACCATTGAATTGAAAGAAGTGACTGGCGGTGCAGGGATCACCGGTTGAACTGGAGCCTCATCGGAAGATGGTGGGGTCTGTGGAGTGTTGGCGTCTTGTCCCGGATTATGCTTCTTCCATTTGGTTCGACGGTTTTGGAACCAGATTTTGACCTGAAAATTTAAAATAGTCTATTTGCATATTTTCCTAGTCACATTAAAGTACAATTACCTGAGTCTCAGAGAGTTGAAGCTGAATAGCAAGACTCAAACGCTCGCAAACGCTCAAATACCGAGAAGTCTGAAAATTTGAAATGATAAATAGAAAAAAAGAAACTTCCAACCTTAAATTTGTTTTCCAACGCCACCAATTGCTCATAAGTGAATGCAGTTCTGGCTCGTCGCATCTTCAGCTTCCGACTCGATTTACCATCGCTTGGCGATTTCCGATGCGACGCCTCATCCGAGTTCGAATCCTTTTCGCGTTCCGAAAGCAAGTCTTCGACACGAAATCCGTTCATTGTTGCTAAATACTCAGTTTGAAAAAAGAGAAGTGAGAACTTCAATTTTGAAAAAGACTCCCAGAAAAAGGGCAATAAACAGGGAGAGATCCAAAAAAAATGGATGAGGGTAGAATGAAAAGATTAGCTAACTGAATGCTCGATTCAATTTACTCCATGGGTTCTTCGAGTCATTTTGGAGCCAAATGGGCGGGATCTCGTTTTTTGAACCATGAGGTCAGAAGGTGATAAAATTTTGTTCTTAAAAGGACTGACAAATAATTTTCGAAAATTTGATGTCTGAAGACAAAAATTTGTAGTACAGAACGAGACAGAGATTATTTACCTGATGACGTTTTTCAGGTGTTTTTTGATGGTTTTTCGAATTTTGGGCAGAAACTAAAGCAAAAGAAAAAGAAGGGCAGAAACTAAAGCAAAAGAAATCTAATCTATTTTCAATTTAATTACACCTCGAAAAAACAATTTCCTAAAATTAAGAATATGCCATACATTTGAGCACTATCTTCTCTTTAATGAAATATTCAGTACAGATCGCTCAGATTATTATGCAGACAATGTTAAACTGGAAACTATAACAAACCACCACGACCACCAAAAACCTATCCTCCCACTTTCAAAATCAAACTGACAGCCAGATGGGGTGGAGTCGGTGGGTAGCTTTGATTGGGCGACGAAATGTGCGGGGCTGGAGCAAGAGCACCAGCTTCGGGGGAAGAAAGGACCCCATTCTTCGCCTCGTTGCTCATCTCATTTACAATCTCCCAAACAACACTTGCGTAATAATTGCTTACTATATAAAATATGTCACGCCTTCACTCTCTATTTATTATATTCTTTTGCTCTCATATTCTAACTGGAGACCGCGCTGGGCGGTCCGGGTTTTCTTTCATAATCGGGGGCGCAGCAGCTAATGAGATGACCCATTGCACTTCTTATTGTTACAGAGAAAGTAGTCATCAGTTACCAGCATTGTTCGAAAAGCGCATAAAAAATATGCCGCCCTACCGGAGCTTCTTTTTGTCACCGCAAATAGAGGCATGAAATTATAAACAGTTAGATAAATATGAGAATGGAGTGGGAGAACATGTTGAAAATCGAATCGGAGACAATTTTTAATAGTTGAGGAATGATGAAGCTTTTATTATTATCATTTTTATTGTTATCAGAAGAAAATGAAAAAAATGAGGGGAGGCGGCTACCAAAAGTACAGCAAAAAAAGTTTGGGGTTGCTGAATCATCGTAACACTGTAAGAATAGTTTGATGATTGCATAAATGTTACGAAGTTCTTGCTACTTTTTGCTAAGTGAAGTATTTTGAAATAAAAAATGTTGTACAACTAATTTCAGTAAAACCTGAAAGTCGTTCAAACTTTCGCTGCATTCAGAATCTTGAAATGGAATGTGAAAAAGTCCTGTTGCACTTTTGAATTCTGAACACATTTTTGCTAATTAACAATGGTCTAATGATCATTTATGAAATTGATAAGTCCCTTAACACATTTTCAGAACTTGAACTTTTAAAGACAAATTTAGAATTCATGTTTCAGACATGCAAAATTTTGTCTAGAAACCAACCAAAAAATTCAAATAATGTCCCTTTTCAAGGATTTTATAAACGGGGGTTTTTTCTTTGACTATCTCACAATTATCTTCACCTCGCGATAAGATAATTATACCTCGCGGTTTTATCTTATCACGAGTATCATAACTGCTGTGTTGCTCACATGAGTCTTTGTGAGAAAATGGTATGGGTAATTGTGAGATTTTTCAGTTCGAAAAAATCTCGATAAGATCATATTCTATGGATCTCTCAGTTCAGCCGAAGCTGAAGCTTTTTTCAAATTACGTTTCTATATAGCTCAAAGATTGGTGAAAAATAAAGTATTTGATGACTAGCTAATCACTCAAGATTTTGTGAGTCAACTGGCACGGACTAATTTACCAGTGAAAATTGGGTACGATCATTAGGAATATTTGCGTGGAAAGCATTACGAGAATTTGGAATCTTTTCGTACCATAATAATTGCAATCTAGAGTTTCATGTAAACAATTTTCTCAATAAGAGTACCGGAAAAAATTTCATAAACTTTTCCAGATAACCTTATATTTCCAATTACGAAGAAAACGCCACTTGAAAAAGTGACCTTTCAAAATTTTTAGCCTTCTTTTTCAAATTTAATGTTGGCTATTTTCGAGTTTACATGGCTACTCTGCGTACAAAAAACTTATTAGGTCTTCCAAATAACAACTCCAGTATTGGTAGTTTTTCCAGAATCTCAGAATGGAATTTTTTACAAAAATATTTATCCTCGGTGTAATGTTTTATTCAAAATATTCCTGGAGATTTCTAAAATACCGAAATTGCTCTGATTGAAGCCCACCCAAACCGTCAGCATTAAGCTCACTTATCAGGTTTTCTGTATAAAACATCGAACATTCGTCAACTGAGTCATATTTTTACAAATAAATGATCTGTTCCCCAATTTATTATCACAGGAAACGAGATAATTCAGCTCAAACTTGACCGTCTTAGTGGGCTCCTACTAGAGGATATACCGTAATTTTATTTTTCCATATTTTGAATCATCATTTATCTACAGAGCCGACTATTTAAAGAACAAAAGAGAACTTCTGAACTTCCAGAGCAAACGCGACAAAAAATGTTTTCGAATGCAAATTAGGACCAATTATACTGAAAAAAAAGTCAGAAATTCTATTTTTCTAAATTACTTTCACTTTGGGAACTCTGTATCTAAAACCGGACAAAAAGTAAATAAGCAGCAATTTCTGAAATTTCTCACACTTTCAAGTCCCCTTGAAGCATTATTCGCCTTGTGATATAATTTCTATGCCAGGTGTGCATTTAAATAAACAAATTCCTAATAATTTTGTTTTTCGTGAGTTCGGTGGGAACTAGATTGCTAATAGTGTGAGAAAAATGTGACAGAAAGGTTTATGAAATTGGAAAAATATAATACATTTGGTTCAAGGGACAGTGAAGACATAAAGAAAAGATGGATTCATATTTGGTATGGAGGTGATGGAAAGTCTAAGCATTTAGAAGAAAAAAAACATATATCATTCAAAAGACCTTGGGGTTTTGTTCAAAAAAAAGTACAATATTTTGTTTCCTATACACTACAAAAGTCAGAGTTGTAACTGGTGATGAGGTTTGGATAGTGGAGCTTTTTAAAAGAATTTTTGTCTGACGAAGGCACATTAATACACATAAATTGAATGACTGGAAGTGGGGAGGAAAATATCAGTTGATTGGCTGATTTTTCAAAGTATTCTCAAGAGAGATTTTGAAGACAGTGACACACAGAAAAGTACAAGAGTCTACCTAATTGACAAAATGACAGGAGAATGAAAAATTTAAGATCTAGACTGGGAAATCGGTGAGATCGCTGAAGAAGAAATCGTTCTTAAAGATGTTGAACGTCTTGGACACCTGACTATCTTCCCTCTTGCGTTCAGTGATCTCCTGCAAAAAACATTGATTATCTCCAGAAGATTCGAGAATCAGCTCGTCAAAAACCAGTTTCGAAAATCAAAACTTACATCAACAGCCGAGGCGATGCTGCTCAATCTTGTTATTCTACCCGCGTAGTTTGGATTGTTGTTATCGTACTGCTCGGCATAATAAGTATGTAGATCCTCTGCAAGTCGTAGCTCCACCTTTTCAGACATATCACGTGTGGCGTCGGTGATTCCCGGGAGATCTGGAAACAATAATCCTTTGAAAGGCTTGTTAAGGTGTCAAATATCTTACTAGAAACGCTCCACATAATGCTCATCATCATGTACATTAGCTCGTATTCAGTGGGTTGAAGTTTCTTAAATGGGTTGATGAAGATTAGTCGGAACTTGTCCATGCTTCCTTTCAAAAAGCTGAAAAATAGTAAGTTCGGCCTGAACAATCAGTATTAATCAAACGCACTTCTTCACTTGTGTTGCATCCATGTCACTGATATTCTCCAACTTCACCACAGAGATTCCAAAGTTGATAATCTGCCCATTCAAAGTGAGCCCGCGCTCGTCACTCAGATTATATCCGAGACGTTGGCAAGTGGCAAAGCACCGGTCCAATTCGTAGAAACGAGTCCAAAAGTGCTTGAAGATAATCCACTTTTGATCCTTTGGCAACTGCGCGAATACCCTGATGGACATGCAGAATCGTGCGATGTGCTCGATTTCAATGTAGTGATTGCGCATGAAGTTCTCCATGTCGAGTGGCACGTTTTCAATCATCTGTAATGTTAGGATTAGACAAGAGCCATATGCGGAAGGGATTTTGCAAATAATGCCACCCAAGACATCAACCCACCTTGTCCTGATCCGGCCACTGCTTGTTATGTTCCCGATAGGCCAACAAGGCTTGTTGGCACAGCGTTAGTGGAATATCCGGAAGTTGACAAAATGTATCTGGTGGCTGAAAAATTAAAGCTCATTTTGAAAAATCCGAAAAAAGAAGCCCTACCTGTCCAAACAAGTTATCAATGGATGGCGTCAACACATTTTGAACATTCACATGAAGATCCTGGGTGGCTTGTTGGGCTGCCATCGCGAACATGTTTGGATTTCCAGAATCTTGATTATTGTACCCCGGTTGTGGCACCACGTTATTGTAGTGTTGTGTGGATGATGATGGCATGTTGTGTTCGTCAGTGCTCAACAGATCTGTGTAATGGTAGTCGAATTGAGAAGGAATATGCGGTTGCATTTGCATATGCTGTTGTTGCTGAGGAGCTGGCATGACTGCTCTTCCAACCTGAAAATTTATTAGATTAAATGAAGCAAAAAGAAAACGCATAACACAATCGATTATTTTTTCTTGAATTTTCTATACATTTCTTTGACCGAAAAAGTGTGTCTATACTAAAAGCACGGTATGTGCCACGGAATGATAAGAAAATTGAACTCTACTCTGGTCAACTTACGGCAGAAGTCAGACTTTTTGGTATAAGATACCGCAAGTGGAGGTTCTTCTTGTTACTAACAAGAAACATCATGGGCATTGTGTAAAAACGCCACAAAAAATTGTAGAATGAGAAATAAAAGGAAACGGAGCAGATGAATTTGGTCTACGTCTCACTGGTTGCTATGGGGAGTTTTAATCGAAGCAGCAGACCGGGGATAGGCTCCGGACCTGAGAGAAAGGCGACGTTACGCACTAACACTAGAGGAGATGAATAAAGTATGAGGGGGAGAAATGCGCAGCAGGCAGCGGACTATGTGCTCTATCTATAACATCAGATTTCGTAAACTAATTCCGCCCCAACGACATCGCTCATGATCTATGGAAGATTTTGAAGACAATCCGAAAGAGGATTAGAGCCACTTCTTCTTTTTCATCACACTGATTTCTTAGACTACTTTCCATTTTGAAGGAACTGCTGACTCATTTCAACTTTGATCGCTGCTCACAGAACTATTGACCTAGCTCTTTATGATTTCAAACGCAAACAACAAACCATAAAATATTTCACAAAGAAAAGAACAACAAATGTCTAACCTCTTCAATGACTGTTCTGTGAAATGGGAAGTTTGGCTGCTGATGCAAATCGCCATTTGGTTGATAGGCTTCTGATGACACTTCTTGCACAAAATTCCCGTTCATTAGTAAGGGCGGAGGGTCGGGATTCTGTATCTGTTTGTCAAAACTGGGCGGTCGATATGTATATGATTCTAAGGAGGAGTGTGGCGAGTGTCCTATGCTATCGGTCTCATTGCCCGACGAGTCCTTTTCCGCTTCGGATTTATTTTGAACCACTGAAACAGGGGATGTGAGATCTGCAATAGGGTGGGCATTGGCAAGAGGGGAGACGGGGAGCATGCTTGTGTTGATAATTTGGTCAGCAGCTGGCAGTACTTGAGTACCTACTTGTGCAGCTATTTTTAGGTCGTTCGAAAGTGTTAGGGTCAGGGTAGAACTGAATAAAAAACTCACTATCTTTACGCATCCCTACTCGTACACATTTTTCATATCGACAACATCTGCAGGAATATCTTTTGTCTGAAATTTGATTTTTGTTTTCTCATTATTCAGAATTTTTCATCATTTCCGGTGTCGTATTTCCCGTTGGCACAAAACGTAAACCATTGCGAAATAGACCAATGCCAATATGAGAATAAAAAACTTACTAAACGAAACTTCGCATTTCCGATCGAATCGGCATTTGTACCTAAGATTCATTGTGAGGGTTCTTCTGAAAAATGCCGCACACGCCCGACAACATCGGATTCCGAAGTGTTGACCGTGTGCGTCGGTCTCACAGACCAGGCACGACATTTGGGTATTTCAACTTGGATCTGAAAATAGTTCAGAATTAAGTAAATGGGTTGACGGCAGAAAATGTTTTTACTCGAGATTTGGTATAGAAAGTGAAAAACTGAAATCTATTTTACTCAAAACACAACAAAGTATAAAAGACTGTGTAAAAGATACAGATGTATAAGTACAAGCAAAGATACAAATACAAATACAAACTGAAACTAGAAAAAATATGCTTCTCTGATTGTATTCAAATCATCTTGAAGTCAGAAAGTTCTGGAAGTATGACTTGTGAGTCAAGTAGAAGGTCAATAGTGAGAGAAAAAGAAACGACGTCAACGGAAAAGCTCATAATGTTCCAGTAATGGTCGTCGCGCCGACCATCTTTTATGCGTGTAGAACTTTCCTTATCGCTGATTTCAAAAATTACTAATCATACGATATAATCAATAGACGAAGAGAAAAAATGCGCATTTTTCAGCCAATAAATTGACATCATTTATTTTTTTTAAAGTTATCAAGTCAAGTGTGACACAGTTCGTCTTCACAGTTCATTCTAGTCACAGTCTGAAGTTTTATGATTTACGTCAGGTTGCATGAAAAAAAAAGATTGTACAAAAAAAATTAAGTAACTTCACATCTTCTTGACAGACAGGTAAGCAAAACAATGGCAGTCAGATGGGTAGAGGAAATTGGATTTGCTGTCGTTTTCTATTTGGAATAACTTTTTTTCTTTCTCTTGTTTTCAGACAAGACCTGTTTTTGGAGTCAGAAGTGTAATTATACTCTTTGTTTATATCAGAACATAAGGGTTTCAGAAGAACTGCTGACGAAAAAGTTTCAACTTTTTATGGAGTATTATCCCTCATAGAAGATCACTAAGCCTGCGGTGTAAAACTGCGGGATTAAGGTCACTATATGAGTCAGCCCTAGACTTTGCTTCTGCAGTACGTCTAACAAAAAAGAAGGAATTGAAAAGCACCTGTTTCAAAGGCAATGCCATGGCGACGTAAGACTCTCCTGCCCCATGACAATGAAATTTTCGGGAGGTTCGGGAAAAGGGTGCTCTATGACAGCCAATATAAGAGAGTAGGAAATAAGTTCTTTGGAAGGAAATACGACAGCAACAAAAGGTATGATGCATGCTAAAAACTTGCAAGGATAAATAGGATTCAGTTTGATCCGAAAAGAAGTAAGATTGCGAAATCCTCAAAACAATTTGTCGTGGAATGTGTAGAGTGTGGTTCTCTTTTGACTGACAGATCAAAAAAGTAGATTAGCTTTTGAATGAAGACTTGAAGGACGTGAAAACTTCTAAAGAACGGAAACTTAAAATTTAATAGATTGTTTCAAAATGGAAATTTGAGTTTTTTTGCCAAAAAGTAGGTTCAAAAATTGAAAAAAAAGTCAAATGTTCTCATAAAAATCGGACTTTGGTGTGAGAAATCTATGAAAGTTATTTTTCCATGAAAAATATAACTAAAAATGTAAACCCTGTGAGTAATATGAGTCTTCAGAAAAAAAACGCGAGACGAACACAAATGGGATTTCCCTCAAATAGAGAAAGAGAAGCGAGAGAAATGAGAAATATGGTGTTCTATATTATTATAGGTTTTCTTTCTTGTTCGACACTACCTAGTTATTATGAGCATCTTGATTATGGGTTTGGAAAGGCTTGCTTAAAAATAAAAAAATAAAATTTTGAAAGAGTTGCATACTTTGGAAAATGATCATAGACAAATTTTTCACTTTTAATCCGTTTCTGATTTAGATCAAAATGATGCTACACCCATAAAACTGTATGCATATAAGTTACAAATCAAACAATTACTAATTGTAATGTAATAGAAAAAAAAGAACAAAAATATATATAGAAGAATTTCATATAGAATGTGGACATCGATAAGACAAGAAACACAGTCACACAGTACCGTTTGGGGTTTTCCTTATCGTAAAACTCATGATGAATGGAACAAAAATCAATAAGAATCGACGACAAACATGACGTGGGGAGAGGTTGGTAAAGTACGATAAAAATTTTAGATCGGGGGAAAACCTATTGCGAAATTCGGCCCGCTCTTCTCGTTTTTTCAAAAAATAATAGAAGAAGAGAGTGACGATAGGAAAATAAAAAAAGTTTTTTTTCGGACGGACCGACCACCTTTTTACCTCCCCGCCTGTCCAGTGTATTTTCCAATCTATACCTCTTCTATCTCTCTAGTACCTTGTCTTTTCCTCCAAAATTTCCCCCTGTTGCCCCGGGCGAATCGGCACTGTCGATCGGGAGAGGTAGAATGAGGCTAGACAGTGCGCGCATACTTTCGGCAAATATTCAAGCGCTACACGTCCTTCGATCCTAGTTTCTCTTTCTCTTGTTCACTCTCTATTCGATCGGAAAAGTCCTCTCTTTGCTGTTTGCTGATGACACAGAAATAGAAAAATAGAACGAGACAAAAAGAAACGTAAAGTTAGTGCGATTGTTCTTGTTCGAAGTTTTTTCGTGGTGTCTCGAGTTTGCCGAATTGCTTTTTTCTGGGGTCAAGGATACAAAAAATGAATTTAATGGAGAACTGGTCAAAAAGTGATCAAAAATAAAGAAAAAAAAACATTTTCACGTGTCTTTCACTTGACCTTGCAATGCTATTGCCAAAATAAATGGTCCGTAGAAAAGAAGAAAAGAAACACGTCACGAGGAGTAATGTTTCGAGAGACGCAGAACGTGAAACACTGGTGTAAAAGAAGCGCTTCAACGTCTCTTTACTTCGTCCTTTCTGCACTTTTCATTATGGATGATTTTCGATCTCTTGTGGAATACCCTTTTAAGACCTTTCAAGTACACTCATTCTAATCAAGTTTTTTATCAAGTTTAAAGATTTTTAACTTTTATTGCAGCAGAAGAAATAGAAAAAAAAGATGAGAGAATATGCTCTTCTTGTCTACCCCCTTCTCACTATTCCGTCCGTTCTAGACAATCTAATCTTATCTTTTGGAATGTGTCCCTCTTCGTCATTTTTTTTGGTTATTTGTAGTGAACGGAAACAAACCAGTTTCTTTGAAAAAAGGAATTATCACACATCTAGAATGAGAAAAAAAACACAGATAGGAAAAATGGATATCAATCGGATAGAAGGAAAAGATCAGTGCAAAACCTTCGGAAAGAAACGTCATGGTTAATTATTTCAGGTATGAAATAGATCAAATTAGAGTGCGAAAAACGTGTTAATCGGCAATGAAACTGACATCTTGATTCTTGTTCGACGACTTTAGTCAAGTCTCTTAGATGCTGAACTAAACATCGGTTTTTGATCGGGAATAACATCATGAACTGGTTTAGTCTAAAAAGTGAGCCAAGGGGAAAGAAAGCACATGTAATTCAAAACCTGGAGCAATTTTTGATGTGTGGGGGGGGGGGGTGTCTTGTATAGTTAAATCTAAAAATCTCAGTTTGCATTTCCCCCAAGTGTACAACAAATGCCTTCATGCCATCTTAATTTCATCAACTCTTTGTGGGGCAGCCAGCCGAATAGCAAATTCTAGACATAAAGAAGACCACTCAAACATATTTGTTCATGCGAATGTATTTCGAGCTCCTTTTTCTCTTTATTTGACTATTGAAAATATGAATCTAGAGAAATTAAACATTTCCAAAGGACAATATACATCTAATAGAATTAGCTGCAAGGAAAACGGAAACCAATGCAATTAAATGAAAATGCGATCTCTATTCAGGTACTATCTTCAGGCGAAGATCTTTGATCAAATGATTTGGCAAAAAGGGCAAACGCAGAAATAGAAAATAAACGGCATAGAAGGCGGGAAAAAAGAGATTGCAATCAAAAATTCTACCAAAAAAACTAGAGAATTGATGATGATAGAGATGTGGTGATGAACTGGTGGACTAATCGTTAAAGGGGAAAACGATTAGCGTACTCACGGTGGCGGCTTGATTCAAACAGACAGTTTTTGTTCTTTTTTTTCCAAAAAAGGAAAACCACCAGGTTTAGGACAGTTCTGTGTTGTGTTCCTCTGAACTCTGATCGAAAATTCGAAAAGTCGTTGAAAAATGTTGAACAATGGGGAAAAGAGATAATTTGCACTCACTAGTCAGAAACGCACGCCCCTTAGCGGTGCAAAGTTCTCCGGCCGCGCAGCTGACAGACCCATACATACATACCAAGAAGAAACTGGAGCATGAGAGCAGAGTCCACTGAGAGAATATTGTAAAGGATATTAATATCCTTTTAGGGTGATTTTACATTACCATAATATTTCCCCACCAGGTCATAGTCCAAGTTCCGCATTCCCATAGGGAGAGCAAAAAGTCCAACACGTCACGGGTGATAAGAAATCCCAGCGGGAAATCCATTAGATGACACATAGGCTGAAACACCACATTCCCCTCTCAGCGCCTCCGTTCTGTACACACACTCTAAGATTATTGTTTCAGATCAAACCACCAGCTCCTGGAATGAGGCAACATCATCGGCCAGCAGCTCCGCCCCACGCCCACAGGATCGATCCATATAAATATCCCCCCTTTCGTCTATTCGAGGCCTTTTATCTTGTTTTAGATGTCTTATTATTGTTCCTGGTCTCAGACCAGTTAAATAAACCATTTGTTAAATCTACCCAAAGCGTTGAACCTTCACTATATGAAAGGAAAACATAAAGGCGGAACTTGATGAAGGGATCATTCAGACTTATGCATGATCTCAAATCTAATTATTTGGTGTGAGCTAGTCTTGGAAGCATTTTGTTAGAAGAAATTTGCTTAGAAGTGCACTTCAATATCAAACAATTGATTTTCGACTCACCTTTCAGACCACATACAATATATTCATATTTAGAACGTGAACAAGCTGCTCAAAAGTGCTCTCGCCAAAGGGGATCACGCCTGAAAAAAAAGAAGATATTCGTCTATCTCTATTTTTGTTTTTAATGGGAAATCCCGTCTGAACATTCTCCGAATCTTTTTTTCCTTTTTTAAATAAGTGTTCTGATTTAGAAGGCACTTATCTTTCGGTATACGTAGTCAATGTGTGTTTGTATACAGAAATCACGTGCTCCAGAGACAAAAAGACAATGGTTTTTCAAAGAAGCATTGCTCTTTTTTCCGAAACAAAAGAATATCCTAATTGTTCAGCGACAACAGCTTTTTCCACTTCTTTTTCGTCGGAGCAAAAAAACAGTGCAGAAGATTGCCAGGATGTGCGAAGGGTGCAAAGAACAGCCAAGACCAAACCATGTCATGTGCTCGCACCTTGGTAACACTGCTGATACTGAAACTACAAAAGAAAATTATCGGAACGAAAATTTACCAAATTGTTTACCTGGAAGGCCGCTATATTTTGAAAACGCGAACAGAACATTTTTGAAAATGGGCCTATCAACCAAATGGCCTCAGAAATTATATAATTCCTCATAAGTATTAAAAAACAGCGAGTAAAACATATTCAAAATTTGGATGGGGTCTGAAATCAATAAGGACAGCAAGCAGATCAAGTGGTGTTACTATGGTAGCTGGAAATATGTTGCTCATCAAATGCAGCGACATTGAGTTATATGTAGTTGGACGAGAGAGGGAAGAAAAGGGAAAAGTGAAAATATTCACTTTTGAGCTTATGATTTGTGTCAAGACACAATTTTGGGAAATTCATGTGTTGTTATGAGGTTTGGGCAGAATTGTTCTTGTGATATCTAGCTGTGCGCGGATTCAAATTCAGTTTTTGTTTCATTTCATTTGTTCAGTATCAGATGTCGAATTGTTGTGATGATCGTAGTGAACATCCAAGGATCTCAAGGTTTACTGTCTCTATCAAGAATAATACATTTAAAACCTGTTCAATTTGGCAAAATCAAGAAAGTTGTTCGAAGATATTCACGTATATGAGCAGCCTATGACGTCATATAGACGATAAAAAATTTGTTATCTTTGAGTCGCTTTCAGGAAATCGAGAATTTTTGAAAAAAAATTCAAGAACCCCTAAACGTTTTTTTTTAAGATAAAGGGAGACTTTCTTAATATTCGTCATGATCTGAGCGTGTTCGAGATCTGAAGGTAGAGCTCTTTGAGTTTTCATTGATGAAAACGTGTAGTTTTTTGTGGGCGTACCTGTAGAGCAAGAGCATATCTTTCTTTCCCCCCAACTATCAACTATCACGAGCATTTCCGAAATTATGGGGTGAAAGAGTGTGCTTCTAATAAAGGAAATACGGTACTTTCAGTACAAATTTACGAATTAATTCATTTAATTATTTATTCATTAGATTAAGATTTCAAGAATCGAAGTTTAAAAAAACACGACAAACATATTCCAATTCAAGAGTAGGTTCTGATAGGGTAAATTAAAGGATAAGAATACATACATTACAAGGAAAAAAATACATACATTACAAGAACATAAAGATCAAAAATTGATTATGAAAAAAACGGAGTGATAGCATATAATAGAGGAAATGAATTTAAAATATTAGGTTGGTAAGAAAGTTTCTTCCTTTTTTGGCATATTTTTTGATCCGAATTTCCTTAAAGCGGAGGGGGCAAGATCAATGAAAGTAACGTCCATGAGCATCGACGATGGCTGCGATTGAAAAAGTGGGTCAACTCATTTTTTGTGTCATCTTTTCAATTGAAGTCTTTTCTATCAAGATGACGTTAAAGAGCTTCAAATGACCAGTTTTCTAATAGGGCAAGGTCTGGTAAATACGACTGGTGCAAAAGAATGGTTCAGCCAAACGAGATTCATTTTTAGCTGGTCCCTCTATTTACAGGTGGTCTCGGATTGTCGCGCAGGAAGCGGACTTTCGTTTTTTCTCCTCGTTTTGATCCGACTGTCAAATTCAATTCCTTGAATTAAAAACTATACAATGCGGCAATTATAGTGATATCTTCATCTAAAAGTTCCCAGACTCCATTCCATTGAAAAACCATCAAACACCTAGTATCCCCATTTTCAAGTAAAATTTAGGTTTCGGGACGTCCAGAGCTAGCTCTTCTTTGTCAATCGACTGACCCTTCCGCAGACTGATAGAGTAACTTACCCACTTATCATCTACGGTAATTAGATTTTTTTTTCTTTAACGCAATCGTAGATAATAGAACTTTTGAATCTTTTACTCTGAGACGATTTGAGCACTTGCCTCATTTTTTGGAAATAAACGAAAGTGATAATATATTCTGATAATCCATCTCAAAGAAAATTTCTATCAGGACCAAACTAGGAAACTTGGACAGTTTCATTTTTTGTTGTTCTGAGAATATTAAACAGTTGTAGAGAAACAGAAGTTATTATGAAACAAGAGAAGAAGTAACAAAGAAAAACGACTGATGTTCCAAATAAAAAATCGATGAGGAAAGGAGACGTTTTACGGCATGCCAGATGACGTTCAAACTCTTCATTGGTAAACTCAAGAAACCCTAGTTTTGAATCTATTAAGTTTTTTCAGTGATTCTTCTCTGGACAACCGAATCCGTACGATTTCCGCTTTAAAGAAGGGAGCGTTGAAGATTCTTGTGACTACTGATGAACTGTTTCATTGTATCGGCGTCGTTGATTTGGAACGCGTCGTCAACTTTGATCTTCCTGATGGATCGCCCGACACTGGAGCGGAAACATTCATCCGTCGCTCTAGACTTACGGGGCGCATGCAAAAAGGAGTCTGCCATTCGTTTGTCAACCCCGGATTCGATGATGATGTTCGGTTGGTGCCGAAGTTGATCGAGCTTGTGAAGTCAGTTGGGAATCCAGATGATCTTCCTAAGATTCCAGACTTCATGTCGGATTTGGCCAAAAAAGTTGAGCGATTTCAGCTAGAATAGAATAATTTATTACGGTGCAGGCTTGCTCGGAAAACTCTATTCGGAAAATCGAATATCCGATTTTTTCCGCTGGAAGTCGGATCTGGTTTTTTGCGCTTTTTCAAATGTTTTTTTTCGAAAAACTTGTTTTATTTTCCTGTAACTGACAAACAAAGGTTAAAAACAGCGAAAATCAACAAAAATTCCTATATTTTCCATAAAACTCTTTTTCGGAAAAAAAATTCGGAAATATTTTTGGGAAATTTTTCCGAAAAAAGTCGGAAAATTCGGAAAATCGGACCATCTGTTCTCTGACCCCGATCAAGCCTGTATTGGTGGAAAATTTTCATTCTTGGAGTTACCAACCTGGTGTTGGTACATAGCTACATCGTTTTGGGACAATGTGGAACACTTTGAGATAAGTGGTGAACGTTTAGTTTACATGACTTTCATGCGTGTTCACTCTGAAGACATCTTATTGAAGTCGTCTTTAGAACTTATTGACAATCTCATCATTAGGCGATGATTTTGTTCAGCCCCATTCGGTTCCTTTGTTACAGAGAATTTCTTGTCTGATAGACTAGTCTGGTGAACGTAGCCTTACTGTTCCTGGCTAGAAAAGGATTGTTTTTTTCGAGGAGCCCCATGTTAGAATCAGACCAGAAATCAATCCATGTTAGAATGAGACCAGAAATTATTCGTATTCAGTGTACTAAAAGTTCAAAATGACATTCTACTTTGAAGCTACCGGCCAAAGTGTTTCGATGAAGCCTTCGTCAGCGGCATTCAAAAATGGACGATTATGACCTAAATCATCATATTTTCTCAAATTTACCTAATAACTATTTACCTAATAACCTCCTTCTAAAAAAATTTACCTAATAACCTCCTTCTTCTATTTCGATATAGAGCATTTTTCGTTCAATAGAATAGTCTGGTAGACTTAACCGCATTGTTCCTGGCTAGGAAATGATTTTTGTTTTTAGCTGAAAAACCCCCATTAAATTCTTAAAGCTCATTGGGGAGTTTTCATTAAATGTTACTAGATATAAATACGTGCCTCCGTTATTTGAACATGAAACTATAGTAACGTCTTCTATTCTTGAAGATCATATTCCCTTGTTAGAATCAGTGCAGAAATCATCCGTATTCAGAGTATTTCATCTCATCGTTGAACGTTGACTTCGTTCAGCCCCTTCGGTTCCTTAGTTACAGATAATTTTTTGTCCAACAAATATTAACAAGGGAACCACAACACCTCGTCAATTTGGATTTTGATGAAAATTCCAGGATATGTTAAGGATAGCCTATCTAGACACCCCTGAAAATTTTAGAATCCGTTCGCCAGTCTCAGCCGAGTTATTTCAGTCCAAAATAGTGCTGAATTCAGTTTATTTGCATGCTTTACCACACATTCCAAACCGAATTGCCTACGAGAGAAGTTCAGGGAGGGCATAACATGTAACCGCCTTTCGAATCTATGGAAAATGTCAGCGGCGTGGTGTTGGGGATGTGGTGTGCGCCAGTGATCACAGGGTTTTGTATCTGCGACCTGATAGGACCTGATAGAACCTGATAGGATCCCTCTGCTATATTTTTTTTAGTTTTCATCGATTCAAGAGAGTTGATACAAAATTTAGTAAAAAAATTTTCAAGAAAAATTGTTTTGTCTTTATTCACTGGAAAGTAGCAGTTTTGAAGCGTTGTTTTGGTGCCCATACGAACAGAGATTGAATAATTCAAAATATGCAATCAAGAAATAGATTATGTATTAGTTGCATCATAATATTTTCCAACGATTATAACTGCTTTTCCAGAAGGCAAAAGTTCGATAAAATCTCCCATCCAAGTGGTGGACAAAATGTTCAAATTTTTTTCGAAAATTGTCACATTTTTTTGAGGAAATGGCTGAAATCTAAACTTCCATTGTATTCTGAGTATAACACAACAAGTTTCATTTTATGGAGCCTCCTAGAAGCGGAGAAAAACTTGACTTTGAAAACTGCTGTTTTTGCACTGAAAAGCGATTTTTGGTACTGAAACTGATATAATTCGGCTGAAGCTGGCGAGCGGAATCTAAAATTTTCAGGGGTTTCTAGATATACTTACATATCCTGAAATTTTCATCAGAATCCAAATTGACAAAGGATTGTGGTTCCCTTGTAAGAATAGTCTGATAGACGTAGTCTTCTTGCTCCTGGCTAGGAAAGGATTTTGGTTTTTAGCGGCGGGGCCCCCATAAAACCTCTACTCAAACATAAGCTTTATAAATTAAGCATTACTCCTATAAACTTGCAGCAGTCGGGATGGAATTGGCCGCGGCTCGTCAAACCATGAGAATTAAAGATTTGAAAAGTACAGGATACTGTGTCGAGTTTGATGACACAACTGCTAAGGTTGATTTTAAAGGTGGGGAGACTTGAAAAAAATAATGTTCTCGAAATTCCGTTCAAAGATGCCCCTCGAGGAGTTGAACTTGTGAAGGCGATGATTGAGGGTGCGGCGCCGCTACCGACTGAGCCACGCGGGCAAAGAGAAAGCGGACGCCCGATTGCATACATAAAGGCGAGGACGACAGCTGTACGCAGAGTGACATTAAGCGTTGTACACCGTGACGGTAGAATGCATACTCTAGCTACAAAAAAACTACGAAAAATCTCCTGTCCCCCCACCTTTAAAGAATATTCTAGAAAATCTGGGAATCTGAATATTTACAGTTTTATACATTGGAGCACGGATTGGTGGCGATGGACGTAGTGGAGGAACCTCCAAAACTCGGGAAATTTTATAAATTGTTTGAAAACGTGTGTTATATTTTTCTTATTTATTTTATTCGAAATTCGTCATCTTCCGTAAGAAATTCAGTTCTTTCCCCAATCACTGAACTCCTGACTTCTTCTCGGCTTCCTGAAATGTATTTATTCTTTTAAATATATCTCTCACAAAAACGGAAAAATCAAATAAAATTCAAAAATTTCAAAATTTTAAGACCTACGGGCGTTCGTCATTCGAATCGACTGGAAGCGAGTTTTGGGTGGAGAATGATGTGGTGTTTGTGAAAACCTACGTCATCATTCCCAACGACCTCCAACTGTCAAAAAACATGGCTAAAAGGTTCAGATCCCGGGTATGGTCCCCGTTCTTGAAATACCTTAACGATCCCAAAGAGAATTTTGTTGATTACTTCGCCGGAGGAGTAGTTGGTCTGGTAAGATTCTTTTAGATTTTGATTGTTTTGAAACTGCTACGATTTTTAGTTCAAAGCAAAGTATAACCCCAACGGGACCACTCTTTTCGAAGTTGTCGAGGTCTACAAGGAGAAAGTGCCATCAATGAGCACTGGCTTTGTACGCTGCACTGTGAGTATCACGTTTACAGGGACAAAATTCGCCAATTTTAAAAGCGTAAAACATTTTCAATTTACAGTTTTCGAAATTCCCGAAATCAACCTGAAAGTAGTGCATTGTAGCAAAATTTCAGTGATCCAAAAAAAAATTATAATTAGAAGATGCTGATCGACCTGCACTAAGACCTCATCGCCATAAAAGCTCAAAAAACCACAATTCGCTGTGAATCGTGAATCTTGGCATAGCTTTTTGAACAGGGCAACATTATGATCGTTGTGTTTTCATAGACATACATTTCTCATTTTCCCCTTTCTCAGCTAATGTTTTATTTCATTAAGTTCTCTCAATTGTTTTTAAACCAGAAAATTATTACCTCCGCCAAGCGGCTTAACCTACCTTTGAAAGCAGAAAAAAACCAAACTGTTCCCAAAAATAGGTTTTTGTAACCTCATGACCTCAGTTTTTTATATTATCAAAATCAAAATAGATGGGCATCAATTCGGATTTTCCGTGAAAATTTGGGAAATTTTGGTCCAGTGGGGACTTCGCTAGGGAATGTTGTGATTGTTAATAGTAAAGATAGGAAAAATAGGTCAAAGCCTAAAAAACTTAACCAGTCTGAACATGATTTTTATTTTTCAGCCATGGACTCTCGAATATGTTGGAAGAAACATGGAAGCAACATGTCTCCATGATAGCAAACACACTCTGGTGAGCTAATTCCCATATATTTCCCTGTTTTAATGTGTTTCGATATTTTAGGCACTGAACCAATATGCCATTGTTTCCGATATGGCCTGCCAAATTGGCAATTGCTTCGTGGCAAAGCACCGGAACATTGGTGGCAATGAGGAAGACAAGAAGCAGGGAATCAACACCTATTGTTCCTATATTTTTAATAGAGAACTGGGCGTCAAGACGTGAGTTTTATATGTCGGAGTCTGATTATTGGATTCCAAATATTTTATCTTCCGCAAGAAGAAACAGAAATACTAATGCTGTTCTTGAAATTAGGGTTGTTGAAATTCATTCATTTTCTGGATTCGTCTCTATTTCTCACGGAAAAGGAAAACAATAAATCACATTAGTAATTTTCAAATCTTCCAGGTATACGAGTATTCGTCATTCAAAACTGATCGATGCCAGATTTGGGTGGAAAATGGTGTGGTGTACGTGAAAACCTACGCCACCACTCCCAACGTTCTCCAACTGCCAAAGGATATGGCCAAAAGATTCAGGTACCGGGTATGGTCCCCGTTTCTGAAGTACCTCAACGACCCTGAGGACAAGTTCATTGATTACTTTTCCGGAGGATTAGTTGGACTAGTAAGATTGTTTAGATTCTGATTATTGTGAAACTGTTACGTTTTTTAGATCAAGGCAAAGTATAGCCCCAACGGAACCACTCTCTTCGAAGTGGTCGACGTATACAAGAAGGAAGTGCCGGTGATGGGAACGGGCTTCGTCCGTTGTACTGTGAGTATCTTCGAAAAGTTGAAACACCGAAATTCAAAAACTTTGATTTTTGATTTTTATTTTCGAAAATTTGAAAATTTCAAATGTTTTGTATTACCGTAAAACTCTATTAGATAGCCATGGCACTCTATTGTTCGGGGTGGTCTGGGGTGGCATTGTATTAGGGGGTGACATTCATTTAGAGGCTGTCACTCTATTTTTCGGAGTCAATTTCTACTGAAACTCATCACAAAAGTACTCAATTTTCAACTTTTTCATGAAATGACTTTCGAGGTTTTCTTGATTTTTCCACTTCCTTTTTAGAGATTTTCGGAGTCTGATATTATCCTGAAACCTTTTTGACAAATACAGTATCTCTCTTGAGCTTGAAAAAGGCTAGAAACCTATTAAATGATTTTGTGTTTCTCTTCAACTTTCACCACAGTGACATCAAATCCGCAGTGGCATTCTATTAGGGGCTGGCACTCTATTGTTCGGAGGTGCTCTGGGGTGGCACTATATCAGAGGCTGGCATTCAATTAGGGGTGTTTATCTAATGTAGTTTTTACGGTATTTAAAATATTTCAAAACTGTCATAAAAGGAGTGTGTCCTACCAAAATTATTTTACATCTTTTCCATTTTGACCTCCTGACAATCTATGAGCTAAAGTTTCACTTGGTGACTAAGTATGTACTCTACTAAAAAAAACGATTGGTCAGAGTAAACCTGAGAAAGGCAATCAATTTAAGCATGATTTTGATTTTTCAGCCATGGACTGTCGAATTTATTGGAAGAAACTTGAGAGCAACATGTCTCCGTGATAGAGAAAACAGTTTGGTGAGTTATTTCCGCATACTTCCATGTTTCAATGTGTTTTGATACTTCAGGCAACAAATCAATTAGCCACCGTTTCGGACCAGGACCGCCAAATAGGAATCTGTTTTGTGGCTGATTACATAAACATCGCGGGTTATGGACAAAATAAGGCACCGGGAGTCCAGAGCCATTGCTCCTACATCTTCAATAGAAATTTGGGCGTCATCCGTTGGATTCACAAAAATCCATCGTTCACGGACCATCCAGTTGGACACGTGAAGAACGGCGAAAAGCCAAAAGAGGAGATCCAGGACGTCTCTCAAAGCAAGTTTCGAGTGAGTTAATTTCATTAATTTATCTCGAATTTAGTCTTATATTTCAGCTTGGTAAATGGGTGGTGTTCAGCGCTATCGAGAAGCAACTGAAAAAAGAAGAAGTGAGAAAACCAGGAATTCACAGAATTACGGCCCGCAAAGTTGAAGAAACGTCGGATCAGAAGAAAACAAGGACTACCGACGGGATTCTGGAGGTATGTTGTTATATATTTGAAGAAATTAATTTAAGAGATTCTGTGAAAAGAATCCTTTCACGAATCCTTTCAAATTTTACACATTTCTGTTCAACTCTGCAATTGCTACACTTCCTTATTATATTTTGAATAATATTTTGAGTTTTAATCAAGTTGTGTTCACTGATTTTTCAAACATTTTTGTTCCAGATCGAGGCAAGTTTCCTCTTTGACCACAAAGAGTTGGAAGATCCTGAAAACCAAAACATGGGATGGGTACAAAGAAAGCCTCTTCTCTCGAAGACTGCTCATTTCTGGGATTTCGATTTGGGAAGAGTCGAAATCTACCCAGATGTCTCCAAAGTGATTCTGGAGGTAAGAATTCTAGGTTGAAATTGTCCACCTTTTGTCCTGAGCGTGACAAGTTGATCATTATCTGTCAAATCGTCTGAAATTTTGTCGAAGATGACTCTAACCAAATTTTTCCAGAATATCGAAACCCATCGCATGAATCTCTCAGAGACTGACCGCACCAAGTTGAAGGAAGAAGCAATTGTTGTTGTGGTGGACGCGAGAGTTCACAGAAATTGGATGGTCAATTTCAAAAACTACCCGGAAGCAGGCGTCTTCACTACTCATCGTGTGAAAAACATTTTCTATTTGGATGGCGGAAGATGTATTTTCAAGCAATGATCTGTTCTGTTTTATGATTCCCTTTGACCTCCCTCCCCACTCATTTTTAATTTTTTTGACCCTATCTTACCGTATTCATATCGCTTTTTGATTTCATTTATTACCCCCACTATCTTCTTTTTTCACATTTCTCAAGCCAAATAAAAACATACAAACATGACAATCAAGTGTTCATTATCTAATAATTCAGACTTCCAGATTGTGAAAAATGAACACGGATATAAAAAGAAAGGATAACTGGAGTGTATGATAAACGAATACATAAGAAGTAATACCGTTATAGCAACAAAAACAGAGTGTGAAGAAATTTTTACAAACAGTTTTCGAACACCATAACATTTCTGGGCATTAAAAACGAAGCGAAATTTTAATTTTTAAAATGTTCACAAGTAACTGACCTCTTTTCACAACAAAGCACGTCAAATAAAAGTTTATTGTCCAGAAATATTTTTAAATGTTTAAACAATGGAAATTGAGATCTCTTATTGAAAATTCTGTAGCCTTAAAATTTTTAAGAATATGAGTTTGCATTTGACTTATTTGTTGAACGGGTTTTCCAAAAATTGCAAGGTATGAAAATATTCTTGGGCTTCCCGTTTTGATCATCATTTGGTCTATAATTCATTCAAGATGTCACATCAGAGCTACCCCAACAAGCAGTTTTTAGACTGCTCAAGAAAATTCGGAAGATTTGCCGTGAAATTGGGATACTTAAATATAAAACAACGATGAAATTTATCAATGTGGGAATATAAATTTGATTAAAATGTAATATTTCCCAATGTCATCACGTTCAAAGCATATTTGAATTTGTGTGAACTACACAAATTTCTGACTGTATGTAAACGCAACTCTAAGATCCTAAAAGTACACATTTTCAGAAATATGTGTTATTATGAAGGTGTGCAGTGTCTCGTCATCAACTTTTTAATGCAAATCTCTCTCCTTTTTTTTCAATGTCCGCAAGTGCAATGGTGTTTGCGGACCTCTGTTTAGGATTTTGTACTAATCTCTTTTTCGATTCCTTCTTTCTTTCATATTCCCATGTTTGCAAATTTATATGTCAAGATGTGGCAAATAAAATCTCTTCTCAAAACGAAAATAATGTTTCTATTTAGCTCCAACGATGTTTATATTCAAATTTAGTCTTTTTTTCAATGTCCGCAACAGACATGAGCGGAATTCCTTATTCCTTATTCCTTCTTCCTTATTCCGGGTGTTTTTTCTATTCCTTATTCCAATTTTTTTTCTTTTTTTTTCCTAAGGAATACCTTCTTCCGGATTTTTTAATTTTTATTTCTTACTCCTTGTTCCTGATTTTCAATTTTAGTTCCTTATTCCTTATTCCTTCTTCCGGATTTTCAAAAATTTTATTCCCTCATGTCTGGTCCGCAAGTGCATTCGTGTTTACGGACCTCCTTTAAGGATTTCATCCTAATCTCCTTTTTCATTCTTGAGTTCGCGGATTTTTTTGTCAAGATATTCGAAACAATACCTCTTCTCAAAATAAAAATTAATCGTTGAAAATTAGGTGAAGTAGCATTATTTTCTTGAAAATGATCTTTTTAACGTTTTCATTTATATCACTTATTTTTTAAACTCAAATGTTTCAAAAACTAATATGTTTTTTAGCGTTTCATCGTCTAAACGGAAAAAAAATTGTTCAGACGATTGCGATTTCTTCTACCGCTTTGAAAGAACAACAGAAATGCGAGCACGTAAGTTTTCAAACAAAATCCATAAAAAAAATAGTTTTCATCCAACTTTTCGAAGTTTCATTATTACCTTCATTGTTTTTTAAAAACATTATTCTGATCGCCTATAAAAAACTAAATAAATATTGAGAACATTTCAGAGAATGTTGATTGGCAACATCAGTTAACATTTCAAAATTTGCAAAATTATCAACAACAACATCCACATGGAACCGAAGCTGGCAGTATAGAACAGTTTCTCATACAACAAGGTAAAAACGATTGAAAAATCCAATTTTTGTAATAAAAAATGAATTACAGCAACGGCTTTCGAGACATCATTGCGAAACTATTTACCAGGAAATGTTTATCATCAAGCTTCTCAACTGGAAAGAGTTGCAGCAGTTCTGGCAGCAGTACAATGTGGGGGGCTAGGGTCAGAAGCAGCTCCATCAGCTGGCATTAAGAGACAAAGTAAGTACTAGATAGCAATCTTCATTTCAAAATTTAGATTCGAAGCATAAACTATCACAGTCAATTAATGTTTTTACAGATGAAGCTGAAAATGCTGTATTGGCGAATAAAAAAAGTAGAGCAGATGCCTCCCAAGGAGCTGGAGAGCCACATGAGAGCGACACAAACGACGACGGATCAGACGACGACGAATCTGACGACGACGGAGTAGCCGGCAACGGAGAAGACGACGACGGTGTAACCGACAATGGAGCAAGCAATGACGGAGAAAGCGACTACGGAGCAGCCGACGAACATCTCTTGCCTGATGTTGCCTTTACTCCATCTAATAAGCTCTACTTCAATGCCCCCTACGACCGCAAAAACGACTTCATTTGGGTGGAAAATAAGTCCGACATCAATGTCAAGTTTAAGGCTCATATGCACTCTTCGAACGATACAGAACTCCCACGTCTGTCCAATAACGCAGGGTACATCCCCGCAAAAACCACCCTCCGACTCGATGTATCTTGCTCGGAAGGTACAAAATCGAGCGACGACCGCGCTGTAATATTGGAAATCATGAATTGCTCAAGAAATGAGAGAATGATGGATCGGGAAGGATTGTATCAAAATTGGAATCTATACGAAGGAGCAGTCTTGCGAAAAGTGATTAAAATTGAATACAACGACTAAACTAATGGATAAATACTTTGGTGATATTTGTAACTTTTTTCCTGTTTTTTTCCTAAAATCATCATCAATAAAAACTCTTACTTACGTTTCGTCTTGGTTCGTTAGGCGTTTCACTAATAAAATGTATCTGTCCCGACAACGTAATAGCCAGCTAAGAATTTGAGTGGCGACCGTTTTGTTCAGTGGAGCGCGATTGCGTAGTGACAAAAAAAGGACAGAAGATCGAAACTTTAAAAGTTTCCGAAAAACAAAAAACAATAATTTGTTCGGTGTTTTACAAACTAGTCAAAATCAATAATTAAGGAAATTATTTTGAGTGTTTCAGGCTATTATTCGCTAGAAATCTCTCCCGGATTTTTTCAAAACAAATAATTCTGGCGCCGTGTTCCGTATAAACTAGAGAGTAATAGATGATTACTGTTTCTAGAAAAGTGTTTTCGGCAAAATTTGCTATTGAAAATCGAAATTCTAGAAATACTGAAGACTTTGAAATCCGGAATTTTGGATTTTCCGGAAAAATCATCTGAAGTCCTCTAAATTCCAGCAAAGTATAAGAGTCTGAATATTTTCGCTTGAAAAATTCATATTAAAAAAAACCAAAAAGATAAGATATGAGTCATAATTGTTTCTCACAACAAGAAACCTAAAAAATTAGAAATTCGTTCAAACACTGAGGAATGGAAGATAGAAAAGAAATGTCTAGTAAACCTAGAGACGAAAAGGATATAGGACGCAGCATTAACAACCGGATTTTTTTCATCGCGCGCAGGAAGAAAACGATGTGAATTTTTTTGAATTGATTTCTCATCTTTGAATTCTTTCTTCCTCATCAGAGATTGACCGTTTATAAACAACTGTTCAGTATTTTTTTTCTGTCATTTGCTCTGCATAAAAACAGGTGAGTATGGAAACAACTTTTTTTTTGGTTTTTTTCTTTTTCAGTTTCATTGTTTGGTTTCTTTTCCTTCAGTGTAGCAGTGTTGTTTTTATTTATCATTGTGAAATGTAAAAAAGAAAATGAACCTGCTGTTCCACATAACAAACAGCGGGTGGCCTAGAATTCCGCCGTCTTTTTTCCGCTTTTACGGGCACTGAGTGCCTTCTCTCTCCACTCTTCCCTACTGACTCACTAGGGATATGTGTTTACACAATTGATTTTGACCTGACCGCTATTTGAAATAGAGTTCAGTTTCAAACGACAATTGTTTATATTTCAAATGAAAAAAGTTTCATAACTTCTATTTTATATTCATTCGTTTGCAGAATGAGTGAGGAGGATGCAGATGTTGTTCAAGTTAGGCCGTGTGAAGATGTAAGCTGTTTGAGGTGCTTCTTGTTAAACAAATATCTTGAATTTCAGGTAGTTGTTCCTAGAAGAAATGTGCGGCCAGATCATGATATCAGTTTTGCCAGAAAAATTGCTTATGGTAAATTTTTCTTCTTTATTGGATAATAACTTATCAAACTCAAAATTCTTTCAGGGGTTGGACATTTTTATAATGATTTATGCGCCAGTATGTGGTTTACGTATCTGATGATCTATATGGAAAAAGTTTTGAAGCTACAAAGCAGTCGAGCCGGGATGCTAATGCTCATAGGACAGGTATTCCTTGTCCCACCAAAAAAAAAACTATTTCGCAATACTTTCAGGTGACAGACGCTATTTCCACTCCACTGGTGGGAATATTCAGTGATTCCAGTATTTTACCGACATGTTTTGATAAAATTGGGAGGAGAATTTCATGGCATCTTATTGGAACCATATTGGTGTCTATCTCGTTCCCGATGATTTTCAATAGGTGCTTCCTATGTAGAAGTGATACGTCGGAGTGGTATGAAATGCTGTGGTTTGTTCCATTTATCATGGTTTTTCAATTTGGATGGGCTTCTGTGCAGGTCTGATTGTTTAAAATAGAATGAAAAATTGAATTCCCAATGTTCTAGATTTCCCATCTTGCCCTCATCCCAGAACTATCGTCTGTTCCATCCAGCAGATCTACTATGAACTCGTTAAGATACGCATTCACAGTTATTGCAAACCTATCCGTCTATTTTGTGCTAGCCTGGCTACTGTCGGAATCTACCGGACATTCTGGAATTGGCCCGTGGGATTTGGGACATTTTAGGGTGATAAAATCTTAATTAAAGGCAAAATTATATAAGTTTCTTTTCAGTTATCCGGCTGGCTAGTGGTGATTCTTGGAATAACAGTTTCTTTTGTGTTCTACGCATTTACCAGAGAGCCAACAAACCAAAGAAGGATCAGGTAAAGGTTTTCAGGTTTAAGAAACACTGGTTTGTATATTTCAGTCGTTTAAACTCATTTTCATCGGAAGCTAGTGAATTGGCTCGCATGCATTGGACCAGTTGGTTTGGTTATGTTCAATTCTATCAGGTATTTTTTTTCCAAATTGCCACCTTACCCTCTTTGATTTCAGATTGCCCTTCTCTATATGCTCTCTCGTTTGTATATAAACATCTCTCAAGTTTATTTCCCGTTTTATATCACGATGACTCAAAATTACGAAAAAGTGAGTTCAAAAAGTGAGTTGAAACTGTCTCTAAAATCACTTTTTTTAGAAATATGTCGCTATTCTTCCAATGGTCTCCTACCTCTCATCATTCAGCGTCTCAATGATCAATAGTACTCCGGTTGTGAGCAAACTCTCCAAAAAGGTTTTGACCCATAAAATTCAACAAAAAATCCTCTAATAGTTGGTTTAGATACTCTACACATTTGGGTTAGTAGCTGGACTGATGTCATGTGCTACAATGTGGCTCGACCTACCAGGATGGCGAATTTACGGCTTGGCAGTAGGAATTGGAATAGCACAAGCAATTTTGCTGATAACCTCGCTATCAATCACAGCTGATTTAATCAACAAAAATACAGTGGGTTTTTATATTTGAAAGTGGAAGTGTTGGGAAATGTTGAATTGAAAAATTGACAAAACTGCGATTCCTAATAAATAAGAACAAATACGTCAAAGACATTTTTCGCACTGATTATATCAATTCCTGTCAGAGATATCAGAAATTTGCGAACTGTAAAAGTGTTGGTGATGTTATGGCAAGCATTTTATCAGTTAGCAGATTTTTGGTATTGCTAGTAGGAACCCCGATAATTCATCGGAAAGTGGGTAGAAAAAATTGTTAAAAGAAAAACTTTGAAGTTTAGAAACCTAGGAAAATTTAGGACAAAAACTATCAGTACCTGAAGAAGTATTATGTTTTAGTTTAATTATTCAGGTAATACCGTATCATATTTGGCTTTTCTAAACTTTGTTGGAAAACTGAAATTTCAGGAAAGCGGCGCCTTTGTCTACGGAGCGATGAGCTTTTTCGACAAACTCTCAAACGGAATCGCTTATCAAATTATCGAATTGTGGACCCCCGCCTACGAGTAAGTGTGTTGTTTGTGTTTGCTCTATTAACCAACATTTGGGGATTATGATTTATTACAGTGCTCTCAAACCACATCAAGCGAGTGCCATTTTTTATCGACGAGTGATGGTATTCGTACCCGGAACATGCTTGGTCCTTGCCTTTCTGGTTCTCTTATCACTGGCACCATTCAAGATTGGCGATAGGAGACGAGCACGTCCTGTTCGAGGTTCGAAATTTATTGCCCAGAATACTGTAGCTTAACATTCTTTGTTTCAGATGATGAACAAGCTATTCTGGATGACCAGGATGACTTGTATCCGGAGATCACAGCTTGAAGTTGTTTACGATGTATTTAATAATTTATTACTGTTCATAATAATTTATCTCTTTCCTACGGTCATAATGGTTCTTGTGCCTTTCGTAAATCACTGTGATATTTTTTCTTACCTTTGTGATTATTCTCTGGTGTCTTACTCACTTTGTAATAAAAAGAACAATTTACAATCACATAGTCTAGTTTGATTTTATGGGTTCCATCAGAGAATTTATCACCTACCAGAGTAATGGTGCCACTGATAAAATCAACTGGACAACTATAATATAATTGAGCACAGTTTCCTTGCCGACATACACTGTGGCCTTCGATATTTTGATGAGAGAGTAGGAAGGGCAGAAGTGGGAAGAAGAAGGTCATGACGACTACATATATGCGTGAATTGGAGACGGAGACCGATAGACGCATCGTATGATAAGAAACGACAATATGCGCGTACACTGTGTTTAAGTTTCTGCGTCGGTTTGGTTTCTATGTGTATGCTTGTTGAAAAGCTTTTTCACACCTTACCGTTCTTTGGCCATTTATTTTTATCACTAGCATTCTCCAAAATACAATAAAATTGTTGCGATCTCTTTTTTTAGGGTATGTGGTCTGATTATGGCATGATCTCTCATTTTATTTCTTTGAACAGCCATTTGATGAAGTTCTCTCATACATTTCTCGAGTTTTTGTCCGTTCAAATTTCCGTTTCCATCTCGATCAGCTGAATGAACAGCCATCAAAAGTTAATAAGCAAAAAAAAAAACAGTCTCCGTCTGATAATTCCATAAATCATTTCTGATAAGAAACGAAAACTGTGCTGATCACATCATTCATTTCAGTCATACGTTTACTACTCCATTAAAGATGGGCGCTCTCTCAAAACTAGCCTATGCTCTGGGGCAGCCCGTATTAACAGCGAGCTGCTATGAAACAATTCATACGTGGAATCCAAACTGTTATGGTGCAGTATGGGTGAGTTTTAAAAATCGTATAGGGACCTCAACAACTGGAAAACCCAGGTTTCGATGGAACTATCAGTATAGGTTGAGAATATCTAGATATTTCTGAAATATTTAGAATTATATCAGATTCAGTACCAAAATAATCGTTGTCAAACAGTTTCTCAAACTTTTTAAACTTCCTAATAAATAAAAAAGGTGAGAAAAATTCGAAAATTGAAACATATTATTTCAGAAAATGTCTGACAAAAGAAATGGATATAACATTTCTTAGAACTGTCTAGATAGGCTAACCTATCCTGAAGTTTTAAGCGAAAGCTGGGCTCAAAAAGTGCTGAGCTTCCCTTGTTAACTTCTAAAAACAATAAATTCAAAAAACTAAACTCAAATATTTCAGGACGCCCTACCAACCGGATTGTATTTCTCTCTCAAAACTTATGCATCTTTCTATCTGGTAAATATTTCAAACCAATATTCGAAATAAATTATATTTTAGATCACAAATGTTGTTGCAAAACGCGGAAGACTAGATAAAATTAACTGGAAAAAATTTGGAATCGACGTATGCCAAAGTTCACTTTTCCTGGTGACTAATATGTGCTTCTTCTTAATTCTTTTATGCAAATTCAGGTAAGAAGTTGTGTATTCTTCAAATAATAATAGTTTTTAAGACACTGGCTAGGGTTTTTCACTCCTGTGACAATGGGGCTATTTTCAAGCATACTAGCTTCTGCAATAGCGATAATGGTGGAGAAAAAGACAAGGAGGCCAGCTCTAGCTTTGTATTTAACCAATTTAGTGAGTTTAAAAACTTTTTTCATTTCCATGTAAGATTTCCAGGCTTCTGAAACATGGTATCGCCATCTGGCCAATCACGGATACGCGAAAATGTACAAATATGGAGAATGTGTCCCTTTTGGAATCGGACTAATGCTTTTCACGTATCTTCAAAGCCGCGGAAGACTTCCCAAATCTTTTAACGGATTCATGAAGTGGGTGTTATTGAAAATTCTGCAAACGAACTTTGCCCCTGCGGCACAATTCCCCATTTTTTTATCTTTAGTTTGCTCTTCCGAATATTGAAATCGGAGTAGGACACTTGAGAATTCCTTACGGCATAATTCATCTCTAACTAAAAGATAGGCAATAAATCAAAGAATTTCCGGGAAGAACAAAAGCTTTAAACCTTTGGTCAACATTTAATTGTTTTGCAGTGCAGCTCTGAAGATAAATGTGTCGGATAATGTGATAAACGAGAAGAAGATTCCAGCCAATTTCCGGTCTTTCTTGGAAAAGTTAAGAAACGATTACGAGAAAACAGAACTATGTCAGCATCCTCATTCATGTGTCAGTCATTCCACAGAGGTGACCAATTCAAAATTCAGAATTTGAAAAAATAGAAACCTAATTTCAGAGTTTTCTGAAAAACTTCTCTGTTGGGTTAACAGCCAGTTCTGCTTTGACAGTGATGCGGAACTTCAGGACCATTTTTAAGAATCCATTGAACTTAGTCAATCTATTAATCTCAAAGCAGAATATGCAATTGCCATTGTTTGCAGGATTTTTACCTTTCATCTTCAACGTGAGCATTTTTAAATTTGCAAAAGTAGACGTTCTAAGATTTATACAGGTCTCCCGCTGCTCCTTGAACCGACTACCAGAAACTCCTCCCATGTTAAACAATATATTCTCTGCTGGATTGGCATCCATAGCAATGGCTTTCTACCCAACCGTCAGTATTGCCATGTATTGTCTTTGGAAGGCCATAGAGGTAGGCTTTTTTTAGAACTAGGTGTGCATAGAAACAAAAATAAACACTTTCGAGACAATGGGAAGTGTGAATTCTTCTGTTCCGCAGAGGTGGAATTTTTAAAAGTGCCGAGGCGGGAAAGTCATGGAAACAAACCTTGGCTAAACTATGATCTGCATCAAAAATAATCTCCTATTTCAGACGGTGTATTTTGATCTCATGGAACGAGGATACCTGCCAAAAATAAAAAATGCTGAAATTGTTCTCTACGCTATTACAACTGGTTACGTCCTTTGGAATTGCATCGTGGAGCCAAGAGCCATCCGTAGAGGTTATCTCAATTTCCTGTCAGGATTGGTTGGTGGGAAGTGAGTGGAGTTTTTTTTTGGAGAAATGATGTGTACTACTCGACCTTTTTGCAGAATTGGCTTGTTCAATAGACATCTTTACGACCATTTTAAGTATATCTCCCGTGATATCTACACCAAGATTCCTCTATTTGATGCGAAGCACGCTATGATCAATCCTTTGCTCTACACACCGCTTGTGGAATGAAAGATCTTTTTGTATGTATAGTGAAACCACTGATTCAATAAATTTGTCTTCTGATACCCTACAAAGTCGGAAGACAAGAGTTTAATTAACAACGCCTTTATTGTTCATAGAGAGAGCATAGAATATCAGAAAAAGTTGTTCGTGTTTTGATAGATACACCAAGAGAGAGGAGATCTGAGGATTAATTTCCTTTCGGAGTTTTAAGCGACACCAATCAAAAAACTAGACAGTCATAAAAAGAAAGAAAACGAGAGAGAAATTTTGGGGATGGGGGAAAGAAAGATGAGACAAATTAGAGTTGATGAATTCGCCTTAGCAACTGTTCGAGAAGATTGCGATCGTCGTCAGTCATTACTTGTTGCCGGCGTACTGAAGCTTCTGAAGAGTCGACAAAATGTCGTGCATGTGATCGATTTGACCGGACCGGCCGAATCGAACTGCAAAGCAAAATCAAAATCACGACACGTGAAGCCGTAGGCGGCGAAGCGAAATCAAAATGAATTTTAGATACCTACCGAATGGTTGAGGAGCTCCGTTTCGTTTTCCTTGAAGCGAGCTCTCTGGAGAAAAGTCCTCCTCATCCATAGCGGATCTCTTTCCAAATCGAACAAGAGCATTTCTCATTCCTCCACTTGCTCTTCCGAAACGAACCAAGGCGTTGCGCATGGCGCGCTTCTCCGCACTAAAAACCATGAAATTTTATAATTACATCGTTTTTACAAAAATGTAACTCACCTGACATCATCATACGGTTGGGCAAAGCTGGCAGCGACGAAGATGACCAAAATAAGAACCAATGCAGAGAATTTAGTCATGATTCAGTATGAAACTGGAAAAAGTGAGACAAGCGTCCAAACGCAGTCTTTTATACCTGCAACGAGCGCGTATTATTAGTGGGCGTTACGATTCGGATGAGAAGGGTTGGAGGAGGGTAAATAGCCGCGAGCTACATCTTATTACTATTTCCGAAACGTTTTGATGAGTTTTCTCAAATTTTGAAATGAAAGAATATTCGAGAAAAACAAAGTGATGTCAATGGAAGAATCCTGGTAAGCTCCCAAAAATAGGAGGAGGAAAGGGAGCTTGACTCTGACAAGAAATGGAGAAGTCAAGCGCAGGTGTTCTGGGGCCGAAACTTTCTCCAAGCCACGCCCATTTTTTGGCGGCGATGACGCATCGGAGAGCGGAGAAGAAGCGAGGGGACAAGAATTCATTGTCGAGCAAAAGAGAAAGCACAAAAATGGAAGCATCAGGAAAAAGTGGGTGTTCGATGGAGGTTCAAATAGGGTCAACATGTTAATAAAATCGAATTTTCTATGAATTTGAAAAATCATCCTATCAATCAAAATTTGACACAAAGAACAATGGATCAAAAAATTAAAATCTTTCAGAAAGCAGAATTATGTTTTTCGGTTAAAAACGTGTTTAATTGTTCCCACTGAAAACGTCTCCCATCTATTCGAACTTGACTATATTTTTCTAGAAAATTCGTCGAGCAAAAAAGGGAACAAAAAAGTAACAACCACACATTTTCGTGTTTCGGACCTTCCTCACGAAGTCTGTGGCTCAAAATTTGAAACAAAGTGTTGTTGTTTTGTTTGGTTTCACCAAAGTTTCACTGCTATCTTATATACAGATCTATGCGCATTTTTGCACTTTTTCGATATTCCCCACCCAATCTTTTTTTCCTATAAATCTTCGTTTTGTAAATGTACACGAGTGGGCCCAAATCTCAAAGAAACTTCCCCAGGCGGAACATGATAGAAATCTTAACGTGCAAACTAGTTACATTTTCCGGAAAAAATATTTCTGAGGTTCGATCATGATTAATTCATTCACAAAAACCCACGAAGGTAAAACGCGGAAACATTTTATTACTATGAGGACACGTCAGAGGACACCTCGTCACAGTTTTGCATCTTCTTTTTTTTCGAAAAACTCTAGTCGCTAATCGTTTATTCTTGAGACCAAATGCAGAAAGTCAAAGAGTGTGGGTGTCCGATTTGTGGGTGGACTATTGTGGGTGGACTGATAGGGGAATACCTTTAAAAAAGATTGGTGGAACAGAATAAAAATCTGAAAAAGCACTCCAACAGAATTGGAGGACATATAAGAGTGCGAAACTTTCGGTTGGGAACTTAACTGGAGCTGATGGCTCGTAAAACCAACAAACTTTAGATCCTCTCTCTCTCTCTCTTACCCGCTTCATCAATTATATCGGTTGGGGGTTTTTCGAGATACTTGTTTTTTTTTCTTCAGATTCAAAACCCCTCTTGTTTTCAAAAGAGTGTTCATTTATCAAAGTTTGAAGGAGAGAAAGGACAATGGCCCCCTCAAGAATCAGTTTCATATTGTGACAAGTTGAGAGAAAAGCGATGAGACTGGAACCTAGACTTTTCTTGTTCCTCCAAAACATCATGTCCAGACAGAGAAGAACAAGCTCTATGTTTTCATGTTTCAACAAGAGAACACAAATAATTCAATGATATTGCTTTTTTCAGAGAGATCAGTCATCATCAGAAATAAAAGTTAGGAAGAGAACATATGTCTGCATTATAAATTTCGGTAGGAGTTGAGTCAAGTTTTGTTTTGTTGGAGTTGGAAATTGAAACAACAACAGTTTGAAAAATGACGAATCATGATCTTTGATAGGAATGCAAAAATGGTAGTCTTCTGCTGCTTAATTTTAATATTAGGTCGCTCACGAAAGTAACTTATTTAGGTTTCAATAAACATTTTCCGAAAAACGAGTTTTGTTTTACTCTGAAGTGTTTAATAGAAGAGCTGATTTGGCATAAACTGACGAAATTGATCTCGGTTGTTTACGCGGTATTCAAAAAAAAATTTGATTGACAAAGTTACCGGAAACAGTCTAATAAAAGGTCACAATATTCTTGAACTTCTAGTTCAATTATCCTGATTTCGGTAAGAGTTAACAAAATTTGGCCAACTGATAAAATTTTTACCATAATATCTCCAGAAATTGAGATAATCGAGCTCAAAGTGTAAGTATAGGTCCCGTTCTTTCAGCGTGTTTACGGTATTTGAAATCATCAAAAGCGTTTTGTATCAGTTGACCACTAATTGAAATCTTCTACAAGAAATGCGACAATTGATAAAGTTGACACTTAGAGAACCCTTTTTTTCACGGACTTTGCAAAATCTTTTGTTGAAAAATTTTTGCAAAAGTGTTCGAAAACTTTTGTTGTGAGCAAAATTTAAATTTCAGATGAGCCATTTTTAGCCAGAAATGTCATTTTTCTATATATTTTCAGGACCATAAATGCGTCAGAACCTAGACAAAAAACAAGGTCATAAATTGGATTAATTTCGAAAAAAATTGAAAAATATGGTTTCAAAATTTGAGCCCGGTGGGTGAGCCTACTAAAAGGACCAATTCATTTTCTAATGCACTTGTAAACATCTTTCTGGCTCCGCATTTTTTATCTCCTTCTCTTCTAGTTTTTTTATCTTCTAAATCATAAAAAAAAACAGACCCACATCATCAACCCGGGTTTGTTTTATGTGCCCCATAGGTCCTCCCAAATGACGTGTTAAGAGAGATATCCATACCAAAAATGAGTAAAAAGCACAAGACTTCATTCATTTGAGTAATGGGTAAAAGTGGGATTAAAAGGGGAACCAGAACACAGTGTATTGGGTTGATGGTAAAATGGAAAAAATTGAAGAAGGATGAAGAATGAAATGAATAAATAGAGGGGTGAGTTAGAAAATTTGGGATTAAAGGGAAGGAAGTCTTGCACAGAAGAGAGGGCCAATATGAAAATGAAACTGTGTGGCCCTCGAGGGTCACTATAAATAGTAAAGTCAAAAAGAGCCAAAAGCGTGGGTGGGGTGAGAGAGAAAGGGAATGGACGAGTTTTGGTTGTAAAGTGATTGATAAAGCTGTGAAACGAAAGAAGAGGGATAAGTCATTGGGGATATGGAAGGCTGCTCTCTATACTCATATTCACAAACATTTGTTGAACTTTGACGCTCCTTTGTCAAATTTTGGTCTCCTCTATGTCACGTCAATTCCTGTGTAGCCATGATTCCTCCACTCGACATAGCCAATGGATCGTCCGAAGCGAGGGCGGACGAAAGAGTCCATTTGGGCAAGGATGTTGTCAACTCGGAATCCGCCATCTCTGTAGTGACGTCTTCTTTTGTGTCTAGAAGAACAAAAATGTATAGATTCAACATCATGAAGTCTCTTGACAATTTCTTGGATGTAGTTTTGAGGGGTCTCATCTCAGAGAGCAAACACAATGATAAATGGTAGTAGTATAACTTTGGGTTGTGGGTCAAGTGATGCTTCAAAACAATCTTCTGGGTCAAAATCGGGTTTTTCGAGATGACATATCCCAAAACTTTTTTACTGGATGCGAAGAATGAAAAGGAAAACTTATTGAAAATTCCTAAAGTAATTATAAAATGGCCTAGATACATATATACTACCCTTTGATTGATAGAAACCATAAGTCATGCGTGATCTCTTAATTCACTTCCTTCTTTCCTATCCCCTTCTAATTCAAAAAAGTCATACTGTACCTGTGTCGTCGATGCCGATGTTTATGGACTGCGTTCTTCCAGTCATGTAACGTTCGCTTGTGCAGTCGATCCAGTCGGCCGCCTTTCCTCACCAAGAATCTACAAAACTACACCATTTTACAACCGTTTTTTGATGATCAAGACACGGACACAGGACGAGAAGAAGAAGAGGATGAGATGGGGCAATTTCATGAGTGCCGCTCGTAAAAATTTAGGCTTTTTAAGGCAAACGGAAGCGTCTCTTTTCCATTCCATCGACTCATAAACCCTTCTCTTTATCTACAGTTGTTTTATATTTTGGAGACAGAAAGTGTTTCTTGAGACAGAGTTTATTTCGAGAAGAGGTCAAACTCACTTTTCATTCGCGAAGGCAAAGTCCAGAAGGACAAGAATCAGCAGTAAAACTGCAATGTACCGTATCCTGAGCACCATTGTTTGTGAAGGCTTCTATATGAAAAAAAACAAGTTATTGATAATCATCATAATGATAAGTGACAAGATTGACAAGGGGCACAAAAAAAGTTTATTGTTGTCTCGGGTGGGCAAAAATTTGGCCAAAAATGGGTGTGATATGAAGCAGAGGTTGCAAGACAAAACACTGTGGACACTATCAATAAAGAAACGGTTCGTCTATTTTTATTGTTTCAAAACTTGCAGAAGCTTCTGCAGCCAGGGAAACTGCAAGGCGACGTGACATGCCAATAGTTTGGAATAGGGATGGGAGGGAAGAGAAAGATGATGATAGAGGTTAACGAACGGGAGACTGTGCAGGAAAACACTGGATTTTAATTGCCAGACTAACGAGAACAAGGTGTTAATCGAATCAACTAAAAAGGTAAACAGAGATAAATGTCTTGTTTTTTTTTTCTGCAGTCAGGTTATAGACTAACTCAAATAGAGACTACTGTAAAATGGAGTTGCATCTTGACTGTCAGGTTTCAGCCAAAGTTTCTCGATTTCTAAAAATGATATGAAAAAGATGTAAACTAACAAATTTTTTATAATAATATCAAGAATATTTTGTTAGTGCAACATTTTTTGATACCTATTACAGGAACCGAGAAATTATTACTGAAAGTTGATGGTCGTGGTGTAACACGAGCAGTAATAGATATTCTCAACCTATCCTGAAAATTCTATTAAAATCTGGGCTAAAAAGGTTGATGTTACTTTGTAAAGGGCCTAGGGTAATATGGGTAAATGAAGACTATACAGAATGCATTTCTACAGTAACCAGATTTTCCAATATTCTAGACCTCACCAGTCCCCGAGATGAAAATAGAGAAACTGAGAAATCCCAACTCCTAGAATGCCGAAATACAAAAAAAGTAACGACATGCAGTTCTAAACTTCTAGACACTCTGTCAGGATTCTCCCCTCCTTCCAAATAATAACTGGTCGGGGAACTGTGATGATGAAAAGAAGCAGCAGAATGGAAAATGGGAAGAGGGCACTGCATTTACATATGACGACGAAGTGGTGTCTTCTACAGTATGCTGCGCTTTTATGGGTGTGGCCGAGATGTATACGTAAAAAAAAGAAGAAGAAGTAGAAGAAGAAGACAGTGGGACATACTGTGAATGATGGGAGAAGACAGCTGCTGGGACGCGCAGGTGAGTGAGTTATCGGGAGGTTATGAAATGAGTCGGTTCAAAGTGGTTTGTCAAATGACTCACTTCTTGCCCTCGATTTTTGACAAATCATCAGCATACTGTGCAGTTTCTGGGAATGGGTCACAACGGAAGCGAGAAAAAAAGAGGCGCGGTTTCTATAGGAGGAGGTGAGAAATAGTAGCAGGCTTCACCTTTTCTTTATTTCTTCGACAATAGTGTTCTACTCTTCACTTTCACCGCCTGGTTTTTTCTCGAACGTTGCAAGCTGATGAGAGGAATTAGTAAGAGAGGAGGAGAAAAGGGAAAAAGGGTTCGACGGCTTGGGATATAGAGATGAATCACATAAGTGATGAGTGACATCAGTCAGTTCCTCTCCTAGTGAATCATAGATTGGAATTTAAGTTAGCTAGCAGCAGACCACCCTTAAGAATTTATGCAGCTGTTGTTGCATTCCTGTATTTCGAAATTTTCGAAACTGTGAAATTCAAATTCAAATTTCACACACTGAAGAAAAGTGACTGAGGGTATCCTAGTAATTTGGGAAAAAGGATCCAAGAGAAAGTGTGGATAATAAAATCTTTGAACGCGACGGAATGACGTCTGGGTTTGATGTTTCAAGTTGAGACTTCTAATTCAGCAAACTGTATATTCCAGTATTCGAAATGGTTGGTGTTCAATAAATCACGCTGAGAAAAAGAATGAAAACCTATTGTTAAAACGTCAGTGATAATTTGCTGGACACTCGGGTGGTGACGTTCATTCTTCTCTTCATTCCTACAAAACTTTCCTACAAAACTTCTCACATGGGAGACTGAATCAAATCAAATCATATTCAGCGATCTGTCACGTTAACTTTGGAAAATCGCATCTTGAACCAACATCAGCGTACCTGATAAGAGTAGATAGATCATGTTGAATGAGATTGTCTTGAACAGATGTTTTCGTTTTCTATCTTCTATTTTTTATCGCTGAATTTGATCCAATACAAACTGTGACCACTAGCCGATACTAAACAACTTTCTTGGTTGGCAAATGACCTTTGCACAAAATTCAATTCAACCTTGGACTGTGTCAACACAGTTAAAGTGGTCTATTAAGCTTATTCTTCTTGAAATTAACTTTCGCCACAATTAGATCTTCGTCGAGATTGCTGTGTAATATTCTAATCCAACCAAAATGTGTAATAATTGTATGTAGGTAAAATGTTCGTTTATGTCATGCAGAAGGTGAAAAAGCTTAATTTGCAGATTGTGTAGTTGTAGCATTCCACAGTAACTGAATGGGACAAAATACAAAATAGGAGAAGGGAAATTGAAATGAAACTCTTTCGGATCTCAAGGGCGAGAGGAAAATGAAACGAACGACCGCCGGAAACAAAAAAATCGCCATGGGTGACTAATCTGGTATCGTTCCAATGAGCGGAAATCTAATTAGCCACCGGATTACTGTAGAGAAACAAAAACAGGGAAATTGAAAAAAGAAACAAAAAGGAAATGGTTGTCTATTCGGATATAGAAAAAAGTATATATATTTATAATAACTGTAAATTGTGGACGTGAAGATAATTTTCACTATCCTAACATAAGACACAACATATGAAACGGTTGTCTTTGCAATATTTCTTGTGTCTTGAGTGATAATTGTTGGCTGAAAAGAAACCGAATGGAAGTGATATCACGATACGGATATGTGTGGTCGATGCTGGCGACAACTTTAGCGATTTACGACGCTACAGGTGTGACATTAGAATGAACCGTAGTGTTGACACTATGCTGACAGAAAATACGAGGTGATGACAATCACAAACTACGTAAAATATTAAGAGAGAGGCAAGCAAGTACAGTTTTTGCAATATTAAAAATATCAGATGTAGAATAAGACAGAAAAAATGATCTCATAAATAATACTGTATTGGCAAAAAATTTAATTACTGTGAGAACGGTGCTAGACAAGTCGTTCCACTTTCAGCTCAATGATCTTGATTCCCATGAAAGATATCAAGTTTTTGTCAACGGATACATTTTTAATCATTAACTCGCTAAACATTTTTGTAAATAGTAGAGTTTTGATATCTATAATATAATTCGAAAAAATTCAGCTCAAAATGCAGATCGTACCGTACACTTTTCACTTTTCACTTTGAGGCCATATTCATAAACATTTTCCTTGGAAAACCATTTTCCCTCTGAAAATCAACTGAATTATTTTCCCAAAGGAAAATGATAGCGTGAAAATGTACTGAACATCAATTAAACGGTTTTCCGACTCTCAGGGTCAGAAAATGACTTTTGAACTAAATGTTCTCAAAAACTATGAACTGAAAATTGCTCATATTTGGTGAAAGTATTCAAAAATTCCCAGCTCTATCCATTCAAAATACAACTTTTATAGAATCAAAAAAATCAGAAACCAACTATAAACATATATCGAAGTTGGCACACTTATTTCATGAAAATATAAGGATTTTCCAAAAAGAAAACTATTTTCCTCCAATTTTCACATCTTCTCAGTTGATTTTCTGAGGGAAAAGGATTTTCCAATAAAAATGTTCATGAATATGGCCTCTGATTTCATTTGACTCATTTCATTTCATTTGAAACTTTGGTTGTCTAAAAATATAGTAGATTTAGTTAAAAAAGACTGAAAAAATTCCGATCAACTGAACAAAAATAGACCATGAGTTGTAAAAAAAAGAGCCTGATTTTTTCAAAATTGTTATTTCAGGAAGTTTTGGGGACTTGGTTGATTTTAAGCTGTGTACGTCGTTTGGATGATTTTTTTCAAAAAAGTCTTTAAAGGTGGGGGGACAGGAGATTTTCCGTAGTTTTTTTGTAGCTAGAGTATGCATTCTACCGTCACGGTGTACAACGCTTAATGTCACTCTGCGTACAGCTATCGTCCTCGCCTTTATGTATGCAATCGGGCGTGCGCTTTCTCTTTGCCCGCGTGGCTCAGTCGGTAGCGGCGCCGCACCCTCAATCATCGCCCTCACAAGTTCAACTCCTCGAGGGGCATCTTTGAACGGAATTTCGAGAACATATTTTTTTCATGTCCCCTCACCTTTAAAGACGAAATTCAACTTGTATTTTTGTTTAGTAGCCTCGAAAATGTCAGTTTCATCTATAGAAGTTGCCGTGAAACCTGTATCAGAATGGCCCCACAATAATATGCTACTAACAAGTTTCAGCAGAATTATTTCATTTCTTATGCAAAATAGAGAAAACGTGCCAACTGACAAAAAACTTTTCATATTAAAATAAACAATTTATACTTCTACAACTTTTTTATATTTTCGACAGAAACCAAAGAAAAAAGGTACGAAGTTTTTAAAGGTACCCTTCTATAACTGGTTTTACGGCATATTTTTCAGACAACAGAAGTTGGTCATTTTAAACTAAAAATGGGTGTGATTGGTAAACTTTTTGCCGGTGTTTTATACGTGAAAATCAGCATACGATTTGACACTTTCCGTTTTTCGGATTCTTGAATTAATCTCATCTGTTAACTAAACTAAGACTCATCAGACAACTAAATAAGGACGGCAGAATAAGCTAATAGCAACGTAGTAAACATATTGAACCAGTTTTGTCATGCGAATGTTCAGATTTGCATGTCATTTAGCTATTTATCAGAAAGAATTTGGACAAAACTGCAATAATACATCCAGCTGCAAAACGATTCTATTGATAGGAATGGGAAATCGGGGAAAAATTATGTCATCATATCTAATCTGCTTGGGATTTCGGAATTGTTCCCGACAAGAAAGATATTTCAAAACCGGCTTCACATCATTATTGGGGTTGCGTAAGTCAAAATCAATTATGAATTGATGGAAATGTCAAAATCGGTACAAAATCGGACTGAGAGATTGGAATCATTTGTTGAAATTTTATTTCGAAATAAATTAAAAGAAATAAACCAAGAGTTTCTTGAAGAAATAAAAAATATGTTCAAAAAATATCACAATACAAAAAAAAACGAGATGACTGGAAAGGAAAAAAAGTACAATGTATAATTTCAGGAAATTTTTAAAAATTTAGAACCCGATTAATTAAAGACGAGTTTTGAAAGAGTTTTTGAGAAAAAATCCCGTGAACTGAAGATAAGGAACACATTGAATAACTGAAGAAGAAGTAGAAGACACACCACGACACAACAACTAGTACACCATAGTTTGGGGTGACAATCCGGTTGGCAGATTCTGAACATTCACACGGTTATTTAGTAGATATGTTTCTTTTCTTCACAGTTGCACCTTTTCATACGACATCTTCACTGATTCGGAAGCGTCGGTGTCTAATGTGCGGCACGATTCTTTGCCACTTGGTTTGTCGGATTCTTTGTAGAAGTAGGCGGCCATAAACAGTAACACACCCCCGGTCAGCTTGACGGCGATAGCTGAACGGTTTCGGTTTGAAGGAGGAATTTTTGCTTTTGGAACTCACTGAAGATAAAGAAAGCCCATCCCAAATTGGACGCATTATAGTATTGACACTTTTGTGAGACACAATCTTTTTGCCAATACATACAATTGACATCAATGATGTATCCAAAAACAATTGCTCCAGGAATACTTCCGAGAATTCTCATCCACAACCATCCAAAACATGTGAAATGGTCTCGATGCTTGTGATTCACAACTCGAAGGGAAGAACTTTGCAAAACTGGTGCAGTGATGAAAATGCAGAAGGAGAGAGCGATGAACATGATTATGAATTGATAGATCTGTTTCTGACAGGAAGCGTCACAGTATCCCTTCTTGACAATCGTGTTCTTTGAGCATCCACAATTCGTCCAGTTTTGAGCTCCAAACTTTATGTCCTGAACAAAAAATTATACACAAGTCAAGCGTACTGACTGATTACCGGTGAATCTGCACATCCAGCATGACATGGGGAAAGGAAAGTGAGCTTGCTCTCTTCGGAGCACACTGGATTGAAGAAAGGATCACAGTGACAGTTTTCGCTGCATGTCTCTAGAGCTCCAAACTTTGGAAGGCTGAAAACAAAAAAAATTATACTGACCGAAAACTTTAAAAGCTCACTCTGCAGAAGGAACATTCACTCCAAAAACGTTCAAGGATTCACATCGGATCAAAAGGCAGCTACTGCATCCGGCAGCCAATATTCCAAACGTCATTACAAAATACATTGATGGTTTAAAGCGATTTTCGAATACTTTAGCAATTCTTCCACCGATGTAGCTAGCGACAATACCGACTGGAACAACTACTCCTCCTGAAAAATATTTTCAGTGTTTGAATTACTCGCAAATTGTCAGTACCTGTGATTAAACTAGCGTTTCCTGATGAGAATCCAAGAAGAGTTTCAAGAAGTTTTGGGATGAAAGTGATGTATCCATTCATAAGCATAGCTTCAATAGTTTGCATGAGGATGACACACATGCAAGTTTTGTTTTTAAGAAGCATCTGGAAATTCGATTAGGGTCACAAGTTTAGGATCAGTTGACTCACAAGAATGATTTTGAAGAATTCATATTTGTGGTCAGAAAAATCCTTGTCAAGTGAAGCATCGGTCCGGTGGACGTCGTTAGCTTTTCGAAGACCGGTGTCTGAAAATTGGGTTTTCAGTGGGTATTGATTCGGCGATATGTCAAGATTTTCGGCTCTGGGACTTGTTCTTTATAAACATTTCGCCACAATGATAATGCAGGCAAATGAGTAGGTTTCGAACTAAAATTATATTTTCAGAGCTTTCAAAAATGTTGTTTCAAATAAAAGTTCAAAACTTTTTGAATTTCAGAACAATGCGAAATGTAGCAGTTGCTAAACGTCTTGTGACGGAATGTCCCGGATTTTTTTTGAGTTTTAAGAGCTTTAAGCATATATACTAGTTTCTCAAAACTAATTTTTCATTTGGAATGCTTCAAATCACCTACCCTTGAGCCTCTTCGGAAACATGAGCAATGGGAAAGCAGTGAAAAGTGCAATAACTCCACACAGAACAAAACCAATCCACCACATCCCAATGAACCGAGGATCTGCTGCACCATCGATTCCCATGCTGAATTATTTATGCATTTTATTTTTTTGTATCAAGGTCTCACTCTGCGGGCGAAGTTCTCCAATCTCCCCACAACCGCAGCATGAATCCACATCCAACAAATGCGAGAGCAGGTCCGACAGTTGAGGCGATCATGTAGAGAGCTGGAGAGATAAATTGTCGGCTGAATCAGGCACAAAAACCCACCTAGATTTCTTCCTGTTCGCTTGTGTGAATCGAATTCATCCAAACAGGTAATACCATAAGTGAATAGTGGACTGGCTCCAATACCAACAAACGCTTGAGAGAGGAGGAGGAGAAGAAGCTCACTAAAAAAATACAATCTGGTGCTGAAAAATTGGCAAGATTCCTACCGGTGTGCAGAAAAAGAATCGCTACTTCCTTCGGAGCATTTCTTGTCTGGTCCGCCAGTGACACAAACATCTTTTCTCGCTTCACCAACGGAATATGGTCCAGCTGTATATTCCGGAATGATAACCAGAATACTTCCAATGCCGACAATCATCATGCCAAGTCCGATGCATTTCACCTTGTTCACTGAAAAAATGAATAAGTTCAAACAATACTCGAAAAATCAGAGGTCGGCCCGCTCCACATTTGAAAGAAGATTGAAATTTCATTAATGTTTTTTTAAGAAAATGATTTTCATGCAGCTCCGTTCATGACGAGCTTTTTTGACAGAAAGTTTGCTTATTTTTTAACTGACCTTGAAATGTTTTTGAAAAGACGGAAAAATTACTGAACCCGGCTTTGGAAATTTAGAAAAACCAGGTCCGTTGCTGGTATGGGTTAAACAAATTATAGAATCTCACCTTTCGTTGCGTAAAGTGCAAGTGGGATGAGCATGATTGTAACAAATACGTCATATGTTGCGGCGAAGATTCCACTTTGTGTTGAGGTAAGTTTGAATCTGAAAATGTGTCATGAAAACATGAAGTCTTGTCATAAAACCGTCACGCAAAACACTCACCTTTTCTCAATGGAACTAATCGAAACAGACACTAATCCATTGACAATTGCTCCTTGTAAAAGTGCATTACTTGATAGAATGATCATGAACGGAATGAAATTCGATAAGACTTGGAGACTTTTCGGCCGAAACCAAGAGAACCCGAACTGTGTTTCATCGGCTTCACCCATGCTGAAAAATCATATTTTTTGAGCATTGATCAGCTTAACAAACGTATTTGGCAAGATTTCATAGAAGTTCTTATCGGAGTTCACCAGTTTCATCCAGTTTTACCAAACAAACACCCTCTACTCCCTAGTGGCCAGTTCTCTTTTTCGGATTATGTAAATGTCTTTAAACTGGACAATGTTTTGGGGGATTTTGTTACGGGAGAACACCTAGTCAGAGAAAGTGGGAAGGTTAATAATAGGCAGTCTTGTAAATTAAATAGGTTAGAAAGTCTCGAAAGAGGCTAATCAAAAGATTAACCGTTAATTTACGAAGCGGAAGTGAAAGTTCAAGAACGTTATATGATGATCGAAAATGAAGAAAATATCTTGACAAGTGACAGAAAGCAAGAAAACTGACAGATGGCGCCCGCAAGGGACCAGTGGAAGGAAAGTGAATCAGAACTTTTGAAGAGCAGCTTGATGAACGGGGCAAAGCGGAAAGTAGAGAAAAAAGCAAACGGATAAATGGTTTGGAAGAAAATGAAAGAGAAACTGGAAGAAAAAAATGAAAGAAAAAGGAAAAGTTCAGCGGATCACGGATAATAAATGGATGTGGGAAAGGGAATTTTTCTTCTGTCTCTCTTTGCCTTAGATGCTCATGCTAGTTAGATCAACGGCGACCAAATACTTCTTTTTTCTGTGTGTGTTCCCCTCATTTGACTCGGTCCTTCCAAAACATCTTTCTGTCTTTTTTCTTCTGCTGTTTCCATCCTTTGCATTTTTTCTTTGACTCTGACCATATATCTCAAGGAGAGCCAAAAGAAAAATTCTAGATTTTCTTTTTCTCTAGATTTCAGAATGGCCAATTTGTTTACACATAAGGTCCCGCAGTCATGCTCGGTGTTCCTTTTTTGGCAAATTGAAAATGAAGCAAAATAGTAAAAGACTCAGATGGATTTCTAAACATTTTTCTTTGGAACGTGAAAACTAGGCAAGAATTTATGCATAAAATATTTATTGTTGCGGGTGGCATTATAAAATATTCTAAAAGTGTTGCCCAAGTTTTCGAGCGCAGACGAAAAAGCATATATATATTTTTCGTCAAAAACAGTGTGGTTTTTCAAAAAAAAAAAAGAAAAAGAAAAAGAAAAAAGTGAAAAGTCGGATTTGATGCCATAAATTACATCTCTCGACGCCCCAATTTCCGGACTGAGCATAAAAAAACTGACTTTTTTTGCAAAGATTTTCTTCAAATACGCGGTTTTGGAAAAGAATGTCGATAAGAATACATTCAAAAAAAACCATTTAAATTTTACCGACCAGAAAATGTGAATTTTTGTAAAATTCAAGAAATCGACAACAAAACTGATTCAGCATACAGAATTCCGGAAAATGGTGACTATGACTAGTAAAACGTTTTCTCAGAGGACGAATTACACACTTTTAGTTTTGAACACGCGTGTGGAAATCGGAGGAAAAGGAAATGTTTATTAATGTGTTGCTACTTTCTTTTTCTATTTCTTTTTTCCCATTTCGGATGGTGTAAAACATGTAAAACGTAGAGGTATGAGTGTTTTAGAAACCAGAGAATTCTGATCATTCTCTGAAAACTAGATTCTGTTGAAAATGATTTCCAAACAAGAACCAAGAATTGACTGATTTGGAGAAAATATTAAACTAAAAAATGTATTCAAATACAAAAATTCTTTCGAAATGTTTTTACTAAAAAACAAAAAATCTTTCTCTAGAAAATTGAGAAATCAGAAAATGAAGCTGATCAACAAAACACCTAACCAACACTGTTCACCCATTTGATAAGATATCAGTATCGCCAAAAGATGATCATTAAGCTTCTCTATCAGATTTTATCAGATTTCTAATGAAGGTACATTCTCCATAATGACTTTTTGAATTGCTGCGAATGACAGGAAGACAGGAGAGGCAGAAAAAAACGTCAAACCCGGAAAAATGACCAAACTAGTGAACCAGGACAAGAGACAGAAAATGGATTGAGGGTGAAGAGTGGAAAGTGGCTATAATTTGATTCAAATTGCAAAACCCACCAGTGAAAAAAAAACAGAAAAAATGATGTAATTTTATATATTTCATATTTTTGTTCAAAAACTCTAGTACTACCCAAAAATGACGATGCAAATGTTGTTCTCTCTATGTTAAGTCTTGCAAACTAGAGCAATTGGCCCCGAAAAAAGAAGGATTCTCCGTTTTTTTTTCAGCAAACGAGAAGAAAAAGTTGATTGAAATGGAGTGGAAGTAAATAATGCGCCTTCTCTCAAAATGCATGAAGAGCGGCGCCGTTTCAATTCGATACCTCCATGCATCAAGGTCAATCAAATAGAGAAGACGATGTTCGAAACATTGAAAAAGAAGAGGAAGACTATGTAACTATGTTCAGCTTTAGCCAGTTTCTGCGTGAAAAGTTGTATAGGGATAACCCGAAAAGTTCTCATTTTTCTTTTTTTCTCCGCGTTTACTATTTTTTTTGTTCGTCAAAACGTTAAAACAACGGGGAGAAGGATATGACCAAATGACAAAAAGAAGATGAAAAAAAAACGAAATTGTCAGACAAACTAGACAAGCATTTTCGACAGATGAGTGTGATATATATGCATATTCAAATACGAAACGCCTGGGATCCTGAGAACTGTGACCTAGATGAAGGGGCGATTTAGTTGCGTCGCATTCATTCTCGCATCTTCCTGAACAGCAACCAGAAGATGAGTGAGGGAGAGAAGGAGGAGGCGCTCTTCTTTTCCTTATTCGGATGTGACTTCAAAACAACGCATATCTTTCAGTGTAGCCGTAGAAGCTGTGTTTGTTTCTTTTACAACTTTAGCTTCAGCATTCTCTCCCTCTGATTCGACTGGTAACTGACAAGTTAGTAAATGAGGATAAGACGAAAGTAGAAAGAACGAGATGAATACCAGACAAGCACGAACATCGAAGGAAGAAGGAATGAATGGCTAGCTAGCCAACAAGATGGACTATTCCTATGTAGACAACTTGGGCGAGGTGAACATGACTGATTAGATTAACTCCGTCTTTCTTCTTATAAGGAAATAGACTGGTCTTACTGATAGTGAGATTATTTGAACGCCCGAGTATAAGGACCAATAGCTATCAGAGGTCCACTCAAATAGTAGAATGCTCAAAGAGGGATGCCGGTAATTGCGGGCGAATGAGATAATGATAATATCACTTCTTTGATTCTCTAACAAGATGAGAAGGTACAGGTCAACCGAGATTGCAGGTTCCTGTCACAGAAATCAATAACAGTTGGAAAAGAAGTAATTCATTGAAATTAAAGAATCGGTTATTGGTCAGTTTCGCAAAAAATAATTTATTAAATAACTCGCACAAGTGATGATGTAAATAAAATCTGACACTTCAGTATTCTCACATTTCATTCAAAATTAGAATTTGAAGAGAATCGTGGCCAAAATTCAGTGGTGTATGTGTTCAATAATCAGTTATTTTTTGCATCGTAGTTTTGAATGAGAGGAGAATATGTTTAAAAAATTTAACGAGAACGTTTTGAGATATTGGTATTACCAGAACACTTTACATACATTGTTTTACATTTTTATTTTCGACTTTTTTGAAAAATTGTAAATCGATAAAAAAAACGAGAGAATAAGTCCTGAAAATGAAGCTAACTTTCAGGTTACGACGATACTAGTTTTGGTACTTTTGGCCATGACAATCAACAATTTCTTATAGCCGGAAACATTTGAAAATGTTTTGAAGAAGACTCAAAAAATAGAAAAGTTGATTTTCAACAATTTCCTGATTACAGTCTCATTTCTTTTGTATTGTCTTTTTTTAATCGTTATAAGTCAGACACAATTTGAATGTTTTGTCTTCTAAAAAACCCACGAACTCTTGAATTCGGAATATCAGCAGTATATTCTAGACTAAAAAATACTAGAAATAATCAAAAATTGACCAATTCATTAGACAATTCACCCCAGACAACAACAGGAAAGACGTAAAAGATCTGAAGTTGTTTTCGAGTAAATCTGTAGATTTCTTTAGAAAACAACAGTAATTGACGAGTTACGAAATATTTTTTGATGACCTCATATTTTTGTTTTCAGGTTTATTCTAAGTTTCAGTGGTCAATCGCTAAGAAAATAATTTGAAACGAGCAGAATAGTAATTCTATAAAAACTTTATCTTCAAAAAAGCAAATCAACGAAAAAAACACAAAAAGGCAAGAAGTACGGAACACTCATTTGGCACGCCGTTTCATAGCGATTAGGTGATTAGGTACTTTGGTTCTTATTCGATTCAGACAATAATGGTCCACAGTGGGCGTAAACGATCTGAGCAAATATGAGGTGGGAAGGGGAGGAGGGAGGAAACAAGCTTTTAATTAGGGAGTTGATTTCAGAAAAAAATATATTAAGAACGGCAAAGAATAAAGAATAGGAAAATGAGAAAATTTAGATGACAACTAATTAAACAATTTAAGACATGTACTAAGTGCACTTTCCGGAATGTGAATCTCTCGGGAGGGTCAGGAGGTTGTGTTGAAGGTAGATTTGAATAAATATGAAAACAATTGAAATTTCCTAATGAACTAATCATCCTTGCTCTTTTCTTGATTCTTGGCTTTCTCACGGTTCACAGCAGAGTTCTCGTCGAAGTCTTCACGGACGTCGTCGACCACTCCGTATTTGACAGTGTCGTATGCGATCTGAAATAATTGAAGAGTTAGATAAGGATGACAAAATTGTTTCATTCCAGTTTGTCAAAAATGGATTTTCTGTTTATTCAGCCAGTTAAGAAGTCAGAGTAGCCTTAAAAACTAAAAATAAACTTAAAAACTAAAATGAAATATTAAACAAGTACTACTAAATGTTTCATCGAGGCCTAAATTTCCAAACGAAACTTCTTGGTCTGAATGGTTTTATTTCAAATAAGAGACTACGTGCAACAAAGTGGAAATTTTGGCTCTTTTCTAGTTTAGAGGTCCCAAAAAAATTTAGAGGTCCGAAAACAAATTAGAGGTCCAAAAATAAAATAGAGGTCCCAAAAAAATTAGAGGTCCCAAAAAAGTTTAGAGGTCCCAAGAAAAAATAGAGGTCCAAAATACGAAAAACGCGCAGATGTTGGAATAATGTACTAGTATTTGAACTGTGCGAGTAGTTTGAGTTTTAGGGTCTTATAGGATGACATGACTACTCCTAACAATTTTAGCTCCAATTCTCTCGCATCTTGCCGATGAACCCAATTTACATATGAGGAAAATTTGGGCAATACAGTAATCACTCCGTGATTATGCTGTTTCTCAGGCTTAGATAATTGTCAGAAAATATGCATTCCTAAGCCTATTAGAAGTATAAAATATCTCATCAACAATTATTTTTCTATAAGACCTCAAAACTTTAAATTCTTACACAATTCAAATTTTAGTACATTATTCCGGTATCTGTGCATTTTTAAGTTTTGTACCACTATTTTTTCTTGGGACCACTAAACTTTTTTGGGACCTCTAATTTTTTTTGGGACCTCTATTCTTTTTTGGGACCTTTATTCTTTTTTGGGACCTCTAAACTAGAAAAGAGCCGAAATTTTCCGTTTGTGTCTGGAAAATAGATTTCTATGTCTGAAAATATTCTTCAAATGTGAATTGATAACTTCTGATGAAATGGATCATGAACTCTGTCAAGCTTCAAACCTAGTAATATGACAATTTTCGAGCAGGATCTGACTATGGCCCGCTATTCAGTTTTTGGAGCAAGTTCCGACTAGAATTTTGGACGAAGTATGTCAAATACCCAACCCCTCCAATTTCTGACAAACAGCTACAAGCCGACATCCAAGACCACTTCAAAAATATTTCTGACTTCTAAAAAATAATTCACCAAACAGTGGATTGTGGTTTCCTTCTTTTTTACTTTGTCTTTAGTTTTTAATCTAATCAAAACCACTTCACATTCACTAACCTTGAAGAGAATATAAGCCCAGAAGATGTGAAGAACTAGAAGAGCCGTCAAAAGGAACATGATGAATCGTGGAGCCTGTGGTTGCTGGCTGAAGTTCAACCACTCATAATCGTCCTGAATCAAAGCCGGGGCGTCGAACCAAACCGATCGAATGATCCAGAATGGGTAGTAGACGAGGCGAGTGGCAACCCATACGATGAGAACTCCGGCAAAGCAGATAGCCAAGGCGGTGTCGAGTTGCTCGTAACGCAAAATTTTCCCGACATCGCTGGAAAAGTGATTTTTCAAAGGAATTATTAGAAATTCAACAACTCACATTAAGATATCAACAGCGTCGTGGCTGACCAAGATAAGAGTACCCACGCGGGACATGTTCATGATCCATGAGATTCCAACCAGTGCCAAAGTGATGAAATGGTGGACAAGCATTTGCCAGAAGTCACTTCGTTTAGCATCGAGGAAGAGGATTCTGAAAAAAATCGGTTTATGTCAGAGCTCCTTCAACACCGTCTCCAATAAATAAACACTCACCCAAAGACGAGCGAGATGTAGAATCCTCCCTGAATCCAATAATACCATGCGATGGTGGTTGGGATCGGGTGGAACGGCCATTTCCTCCAGCATTCTGTGATGTCATAGAAGTGCGACTCGTTGGACACAAGGTACAATCTGAAATCACACCATTTTCTAAATTTTTTTGTGTCTTCTATTGTGATTGAAAGAAAATTTACAACCGATAAGATAACTCAATTAATAATAGTGTAGTTATGATTTCTGAAACTGCATTAGTGTAACCACTACTTCATTTGTCGGTTTAAAAAAAAATTACCCTAAATTTTCCATGAAAACGTTGTAACCGTCAACAAGTGTCTAGGTTGATAATAGTTCTAACAACCTTTGAGCATGTATTTTCATTTTAAAAAAGGGCAAAAAATCACGCGATAACGGAGAAACACCGCATTTTTCAAACTGGAAGACTTACCCGGAGCAGAAGGATAGTGTGTAGTAGAGAGCTCGCATTGCACATTCCGCCATTCGAGTGTACTTCTTCTCACGATCAAGTACTCCTTCTGAAAAATGAGTACATTGGAAAAATGATACTGTTGGGGTGATGAACTTGGGACTTACGTCGAGTCTCTGGTGGATTTTTTCTGCTGAGAAAATAGGCAAGTGGAACGAAGACGTAGTTTTCAAAGACGAGGCGATAGATCTGAAATTCATAATTTTTTACTTTCCAAGGTTTTGAATAGTTTAGAACTCAGCGGCAAGTTTTTAGAAAAAAAATAGAAAAAAAACTTACAATAAGTGAAATACCGGTAAGAACTGTCATCCATAAGTGTGAGTAGTGTGGATACATAAAACCCGGTTCCGTCGTTTTGTTGTACATATCTGCCCAAGAGACGCCACGTGGCAGCCAATACTCAGCATCCCACCACCAGAACATGGCTGAAAAATGATAGTTCAGAAAAACAAGAGGATAGTAAAAACGACGAGGTGGAATAATAAAAGTTGTGTTGGCAGTTTGCAAAAAAAGGAGAAAAGGGACATAGAACCGCCCAAAAGGTGATTCATTTTTTATTTAAAAGGAACACAATTGGTGACGGAAAATGGCAAAAAAATAAACGCAAAACAAACGACGGGGTCCCCTCCCGCCCGCCGCGTGTTTGCCCAGACAGACTGTCCTAAACTGCAAGCGAGAAAATTTTGGCGGGAAAAAGTGAGAAATTGCGTTGGGATAACTGAAGATGTTTCGTGGCTAGGTTATCAGTAGAGCAGTGTTGCATTGAGCGGTTGCAACGGCATCGCAAGGGTCAACCCGACAGACACACTCAATGTGTCCCGGCCCGACCCGCCTTTCCTCCTCGCCTCCCAATTCTTCTTTTTACTCGCCCCCCGTTGTTCTTCTCCACATTGTCTCTCGTGACCGCTGGGATGACGAACATGTCTGGTTAGAAATGACAATGAAGAAAAGATCTTCAAAGATATGAGAGGGCCAAATGCAAGAAGACCGTATCTCATAGTCCCGTTGGTTGCAAATGAGTAGGAATAGAATTAAATGGAGAAAATGGAAATGAAAAAAGAGAGAGAGAAATAGGAGGAGATTACCAGTAAGTGTTTGGCGGTGGCGATTCGTTAATATATTTCTACACCACTCATTTCTTTCATTTCCGTTGGTTTTCCGTTTTTCGCTCCCATTTTTTCAATACTAAATGGGGTGAAAGTCGAATGTGTGGCAGAACAGACGGAAACGATAGTGTAAATGATAAAAAGTGAAAAAGAGGGAGAGAGGAAAAAAAACCAACTGTTGGCAAGAAGACAATTTCCTAGAGTTCTTATCAACCCAACACATGCTGATAATGGGGATACCTAGACGTGCACAATTTCTAAAATTACAATCGGAATCATGTGTTCTTTCGATTTGTTTCCTTTCTTCTCACTAACCTAGGAAATAATTTCCAAGAAAAAAACTTAAAAATCGAAGGAGCGCAAAAAGAATCGAACGATAATTGTCGTGGAGAGCGTAAACGAGTATTGTAGAGTGTTGGGAAACGGGGCGAGCGCAGTGAAGAGAAAGACGAAGAGAAGACGATGAACAAGAAGAAGATGTTGGGGAGGAAAGAAGTGTTCCGACGAGTGGAAAGAGGCGACAACGAGCCGCCCTTCCACTGCTGCGCATCTGTTGCACATTCGCAACGTTTCTTGGCCAGAAGGAAAGAAAACGAACCATTGCGCAAAATCTACAAACCCGGGGAAGGTCTTTTAGGCCAGCAGAGGCAGAAGAGTCTAGTGTAATCAAATTGGAGTGGTGAATGCCAAGAAATAAGTGAATTCGGTTCTGTTAGTATTTTAGCAACAGAACGAGGGTAGAAGGGAAATTCAAACAATTCGATTTTGGTTCCATTTTTTTTGACAAAAATCAGATAAAATAGGATGCGAATAAAATTTTGCAAAAATTTCGTACCATTAATAAAACTAATTTTTTTGTATTTTTTAGTTTCCGCAAAAGGCAAAATATAAAAAATGAATGTTTTAGAATTTTAGAAAAATTTCAGAAGCTGTTACCGTCAAACCTGTAATAAAAGGGCCCTCACACTGTGAAGTTTGAGCTCAACTATCTCAGTTCCTATGTAAGATATACAAAATTTGTCAACTGATAAAACACTTTTGATATCAAGATAAACAATTTTTCAGTTGACAACTTTTTATATCTTTGACAGAAAGCAAGAAAAATTAGCTCGAAGTTGAAAGTTAGCGGGGATTTCTATCACAGGTTTTACGATATGTCAATAGGTTATATGCTTACAGATTTGATACAGAAATTTTTGTAGAAAAGGTTCTTACATGATGCTCCAAATATCTCAGCCGCTGTTTTCGTTTTGAAATTTTTTCCAAATTCCGCGACATTTCTGCAAAGATTTTTCACGGGAAAATTGTTTGAAAAGCTCAAATAAATGTTTTCCACAAAAATCTTGTTTGAAACGTTTTGGCAGAATTGGGAATAATTAATCAATCACAATAAAATCAATTTGTAATTTTTGCCCTGATAAATCACTCAAAAATCGATCCCTTGATTTTCAATTTTTATAGAATAAAAACCAGAAACCAGATGTAACTTTCAAAAAACTTTTGCAAAACTCAAGAGCGCGCTTTTTTAAAAAATACAGGTGAAAAATTAATTTTTTGAAAATGGATTCAGCCAACCTTTTATTGTCAGCTTCTCCTATTTCGAAACCGGAAACCAATCGAAAGAGGTTTTCTTCCAAATGCTTCCGCCAAATCCTCTTATGACTACCAACCCAAAAACATATCAAAGTTCATACCAACATCATGTTGCTATTTTTGATGAAAATTCGTAACACATTGAAGTTCATATAAAGATCAGACAAGAATTGAACGTGAATCGAACAATAAGATAAATACCTAAAAGATAAGATGTCAAACACAAAGCGAGGCATTGAATGGAAAGTTCGTAAAAAGAAGGCACATATTTTTTTTTCTGAAGAAGACAATTGGGGGCTAGTGTGTGGATCGGTGGGGTGGGAGCTGTGAAGGTGTCAAGAAAAAACTGGACAACATCTGCATAAAAAGCAATATAGAGAAACAAAAAAAACAGGACGAACACTCTCTACTAATATCGACGATCGGCTGTTGTAATTTGCGTACGGCTAGATTCGAAAACCTGATAGCTGGGTGTGTATTGTCTTGGTGCTGCAATTTCTCCGCGGGCCCTGGAAACAAGAACACAAAAAGTAAGTGATGGGTGGCTGGTAGTGATCAAACTTGTTGGATCCACAAGTGGTTTGACACTAATGTACAATTATATTTCTGAGGGGATGGATTATAATAACTATAATACATTATAATAACAGTCTATTCTACGTTTTTGTTTGAAAAATGATCTGAGAAACAGGGAAACTGAAGGGTTGGTCGGATCAAAGATATAATAAAACAGGAGACAGATCAAATATCCTTTCCCCTTCAAGTATCAGTCTGCGTATCAATACTGATCCTTGTACACGTCGTCCTCACCTCGACAAAGTGTTGTCGTATCCGATCAGGATGCCTTCCGAATTTCTCTGCATATCCTGCAATATTTTCATCTTTTTTTCGTATTCTCTCTTTTTTTGCAACATGCTAGATTTGAAAATGAAAAATGCAAAACGCTATATGTACATCATTTATTATGCCGAAACCAATTTTCCGTGTTTCCACGTTTTCATGCAAAAATGCAAAGCCAATTGAAATGCATTGAATAAAATAATGAAAGTATTGAATAAATTGATGTTAGTAGTCGGGAAACAGAAAATGCATACGAAAGTGTTAAAAACGAATAATAGTTGGCTCCCAGAGAGCCGGATTCTGAAAGGTTAAAGCAATCAATATATATTTAAAGCAATCAATATATTCGTAATATCATTAAAATTTATCTATTTTCAAATCTTATTGCGAAAAAATTCAAAGAAAATCCGAAATCCCCGAAAAACGGCGTTGAAAAGGAAGAAAATTCAAAAAAAGGTGCCGCCGGGGGACGAGGATTTTCAGTGAGAAACCTAGGCCACGGATCCTGACAGCTTTTTTTTCAAGTCGCCGACAGTGGTTTTTTACGTTTTTTACCTGCCGGACATGAAATTGAAAAAAATCCGGAAAATTTGCCACATAGGAAAGGCGCCCGCTGCCGTGGCCTAGGTTTCTCACTGAAAATTCTCGTCCCCCGGCGGCACCTTTTTTTGAATTTTCTTCCTTTTCAACGGCGTTTTTGGGAATTTCGGATTTTTTTGAATTTTTTCGCAATAATATTCTGAAAATAGATAATTTTTTAACACATTTTAATGCAATAAAAATTTTTGGTCGGAGTCTCCCTTTAATAGCTGCTACTGCTAGTACTGCTGTATTCTCTATCAACCTTCACACTAACATTAAACCCCTTGGCTGGCTGAATATCGAGACTCTCGTTCATTCCGTGGAGTCCAACGAAGATTTTGTAAATCCATGCCCCAATAACAGCTCCGATAAGAGCACCGACGATTGGAATCCAGAAGTAATAATAATGAGCACTGAATACTTCCCAACCATATCCAGCACAAAGACAGAAGAGACGTGGTCCAAAGTCACGAGCTGGGTTGATAGCGAATCCACCATTTGCTCCAAAAGTCATAGCGACCTGAGAACTTATATTACTTTCAGGAAGCAATTTTGAATTATACCATGCTCATGATACTTCCAGCCAGAACAGGAACAACACCGGTTGGGATCTGATGGCGTTTGTCAGTGATAAGACAGACCAATCCAGACAGCATTGCTGTTCCGATAATCTGCAAAAACAGAGGCAGGTGTACTTGATGTATCACCTAAACATTTCCTTCACAATTCTTGATTTTTAATCGGTTGGTTTGGAGCGTGAAGTGTTCTCCTCTTCTATTCTCGAATATAATTTGATTACACAAGTATTTCTAGTTTCTTGATGAACAAACCATCTTTACTGTAGTTTCTATTTTAACGTTGCCCGTCACAGAAAAGATAAATCAATTATCCATCTCATCAATCAAACTGCGAAGCTACATTGATAACTTTTTATAAGAACTGATATCGAGTGTTCTATAAAGATATCGAGTTTCCAAAAATAGCACTGACCTGATCAAGAAGGCTTCCCCATACTGACATGTGATCCGATGGGAAAGTGGTGAACAATCCAGCCGTGGCTTGACCTCCCGTCACCTGCCGGATACCGCCATCCAGCTTCCACAAGTCATCTGAAAGTTCCACATGATACTCTTACCTCAGATACCGTCATTTTTTAAGAAGAGATTATTCGAACCGGCAAATTTGAGCTCAGTAATCTTGATTCCAGTGAAAACTATGAAAAAATTTGCTGACTGATATATAACTTGTCAGGGAAACAAATAAGTAATTCATCAGTTGACGAAAATTTGATATCTTCCACGGGAATCAAAATAATTGAGCTTTAATTTGACGGTTTGTACGACCTTCCATTAGAAGAAATACGGTAACTTCACAGCCAGACTAGGATTATCACTCACCATGATGTCCAAAGTAGGCAACAGCGGCGCCTAGGAATGCTCCAATAACTTGAGCAATGGCATATGGAATGATCTTCCATGGAGGCAGATTTCCGAGAATGCTTTGAGCAATCGAAATAGCTGGGTTCAAATGTCCTCCGGATACACTAGCAGCCAAGTAAACTGCAAACATGAATCCGATTCCCCAGGCAATATGACACGACGTAGAGTTTCCACCAACAGCGACTGCAGCTTGGACGTTAGCGGCATTTCCGATAAGCTAAATTATCCCAGTTCACCTTATTAGTTAACGATGTGAGCTCACCAGAAGGAAAAAGGTTCCAATGCATTCTGCCAGCAGTTCTCTGGTGAATTGTTGATCTTCAATTCGAAGTATGCTGGCTATTTTGTCTTGAAAGACACCCATATCTGAAAATAATTAGTAAAATTAAAGCAAAAAATTCTTGGGAAAAAACAACAGTGGACGCAGAATGTCCTTATCTAGAAGGCGTGTCGCTTATTTTAAATAGGCAACCGGACACGGTCAAAATGGGCGGGAAGTTACGGTAGCGGGTGACAAGAAAAATTTCGATGAGATGATGCGAATGCGTTGATTTGAAGGCGGGGAGTTTTATGTCGGTTTCGGTTGATAAAATTGAAAAACTGCTTAGTATGATAATCCGGACCGAATTTTCAATTCTATGCAAATTTCAGAGTTGTCAATGTTTTAACTTCAACCGTGAATCATGCATGACAATGTGTCACTGTCTACGCAGAGGGACTAAAAAATTCTGGACACACAAACCATGAATTCTGAAAAATCGTAAAGTCGGAAGTGTGACCTGAAACATTCGTACCTGACTATAACTCAGTTATCTTCTAGTATGACTTTTCGTAATTTTCAAAGAGCGCAGAAGTATTCACATGATATGAAAATTAAATTAACGATGCAGGTTCTCCGGTTGAATTCCAATTTTGGATTTCTGAACTTTGCTGTAAAACTCGTGCGTCATTCTGTTCTGAGTATTGGGGCCTGAATGAATTCCATGTTGATTACGGTAGTTTTGTTGTAGAAACGGGTAAATACCAAATTTTATGGGGTTTTCTGGAATGTCAAAAGTTGGTGTCTCGTGTTTTCAATTCACAAAGGAATGACTATTACTTCATTATGCGAGTACTCCACCCTTTTTTCTCTTCCTGGTCGGCAATTGAACAGCGAAATAACCACAAGGAACTATTCTTCTTCTCGAAATCTTATTAAATTGATCATGTGCAATGACTAAGGTCATACATTACTTTCCAAACGAAAACCGTATTTTAAACAAGAAAACGACACAATTAGATGACATTGAAAAATCAGTTATCACGTTTTGCAAAGAAAACGCAACTTTCAAAGATTTTTTCTCAATGGTTGCGCGAAAATAGATGTTATCTTTTCTTCTTCTCAATTTTTTGAGAAGTATTATAATGCGAGTGTGAATTTAACACGGAAAAGTGAATGATGTGGGAGAGATGGTGCATTAGTAAAACTTGATTAATTGGAGAGATAATAACTTTTTTCACGAAGTTAGCCAAGAATAGGAATGAAACCAAAACCGAACTGGGAAAAAAAGTTCCAAATGATAGTTTTACAAGGAAGAAATCAACATTTGGTGTCTGAAAAGATAATTAGTATCATACTCCATCTGCTCGATATCACAAACCTGGAAAATGTATAATCAGCAAAGAAATACCGTAGTTTCTCTAATAGAAATTCTACACGTGCAATTAGCTTGATTCCTTCCAATGGTATATACAAAACTGTCAAATAATATAGTATGTATAGGGCATTGCATGATAAATAATTTAACATTGAAATTACTTTATAACTGTCATAGAAGCCAAGCTGATTAAGCTCGAAGTTCCCGTATAGGGTGAGCATTTGTAAGCGTGAATACGATATACAAAAATCTATCAACTACAACGATAAAGTTCTACAAATTTTTCATAGTTTTTGAAATTGCCCAACAAAGCGCACAAGCGCTGAATAATTACACAGAGGCTCAAATATGTCAAGTTGGGACTCAAAAGAAACGGATTCTGAAAAAAACTCATTTCACCAATCATCCTCCTTCATATCGGATTCTAGCAACCATAGCTCCCGTTCATGATCTACTGATAATCTCATAAATCTTCCATCTTCATGGTTGATTCAAATGATCTTCATGTCGGAAGTATTTCACCATCAACCACCCATATTTCATGTTCAAATGTGTATTTGATTTTTTCGCAAAAAAAGAAAGGAATGACCATTGAAGGTCACATGTGATAAATCTCAAAGAACAAACCATCCCACTCAAAAATCACCAAGATAATTTTTTAAACATTGAATTGGAGAAGTCTGAAAAATCCACAAAGAAAGATCAGAAACATTTTTTTTGTAGACACTACTACTTCAATTTGGGATAACGAATTTGACGAATCTTCATGACTAATTGAGGTTTCGAGGTTGCAGCAGCAGAGATAAGTGTTGGTGACTCAGTAGATAAGGCACATCAAGTTCATCCGGATTCTGGAGACTTTTTTGATCTGATAATTGCCAGATTGGGATTAGGGTACTAGGAAGTCAACTGCAGGGGAAAACCTGTAATAAACTGCAGGGTAAAACCTGCAATAAATGTGCACTCTAACTTCAATCTTTTAGCCATTTTATCTCGATTCTTGTTGAGTTATGGAAAAGTAGTTGACTGATAAATTGTTCGCCATAATATCACGAACATTTTATTAGTTGACACATTTTTTCGTTCATAAGAGCCGAGATAATTGACCTCAGACTTGACAGTGCTGGGGACCTTCTATTATATGATAGTTTTCACGGTAAATTCCTAAAAAGTTATGTTTGATGAGATATGAAACTACCTCTTTTTCTATATATAACACCTTTGTGAGCTCAATCATCTCATTTTATGACAGAGATATCAAACGTTTGTCAATCAATGAAATTTTTAGTAAAAATTACTGACATTTCGGGTGTTCAAATTGTTGATACCTTTTACCCAAATTGAGATAATTGAATGCACAGTGAGAAAATAAGACTGGCTTCCAGTTAGTGACAAAAAAGAGTCCTCCTAGTAAACAAGCATTTTTCCGTTTTGCATAAAACAGAGAATCTGTTCATTTTTAGTTGTTCGAAAAATTTTCAATTTTCTTCAATTTGTTCGATATCGCCTGAATTAATCCAATTCAAAGAAGTTATGAAAATTATCTGTTCGCATCAATCACTGTTACTCGGCTGATCTCTACGAATTGATTCCAGCTCTGACACTTTCTTCTAATATTTCGCCCAGAACCTCTCGAAAATGACGTCGTCATAATTCACTTCTTTCTCAATCCGTCATAATTTCCAATGCAATCGAGTCGTTGTGAGTCGCCCTCCAGCACACACCCCGCGCGCGCTCACCCATACACAAGACGAATGCCATCTGCCCATTGTGTGCTATTGGTGCAATATGCCGTGATGGTGTTTGCACCATCAGTGCAGCAACGATCGGTTTTCTATGCATATTTACTTTACACTTCGGGATTCTTCCGTTTTCTTCCATTTTATAGTAGTGAAATCATCATTAAGTTTTGTGATAAGAACGATCGAATTTCGCTATTTTATATTGATTTCATTACACTCTTTTTCTTTTCAGGAACCCATGGGCTTGGTAATGGTTAACCAAAAATTAGCAATACTCGGAGAGTTTCTAGTCAAATGGGGAGGAACTATGCTTGTGGTGAGGTTTTGTTTTCACATTCTTCTCTCGAAATCTATGAATTTTCAGTCATTCGTTCTGATGAGTACCTACTACTCGTGTGTGCATATAATTGCAGAAAACGTAAGTGTCCCTTTTCTTTCTCAAAAAATACATCTAATCTTCTAAAAGACTTTTACGACCTTGTAGATGTACGATAACCCAACGCTGATTTATTGGTTGACATTAATTGCAAGAGTCATCATTTTGGAAATCATCGTCAACTTGGCCTGTTTTGTTTATTATGCACGGTAAGACCATTAAAAAACAATGATTTACGATATGTCGTTTGAAATCCCCATCTTCAGATATAACAGCGTGACCTATTGGCATCGAAAGTCGTGCGTAGCTGACCTGAGAGTGTACGCAGAAGACAATGAAGGTTAGAGAGATTAATTTGGAATCTTTCTGTAAAAAACCAGTGTTTTCAGCGCAGCCAGAAGTGGAATACGCAAGTGCTCAGCCAAGAGTAGACAGACATCTGAGTTGGGAGCCCGCTAATGAGGCCGGAAGTAAATTCTGTTTTACCTGTAATAAGGAAGCACCACAGAGGTGAGAAATGGAGAGAAAACTTTGACCGCCAAATCGTATGAGGAATAGGTACATATAGGGGCGAGGAAAACAAGAAATCAGTGAACTTTGGTGTTCAGTTGTATGTTGGGAAAAATGTTGCCACCCAGAAGACGAGAAAAGATACGAGATTAGAAAGTCCAGTTGCCGTAAAATCTGTTTTAGAAAAACTCCTTTGATCGAAAAGCCCCTCTAATAGAAGAGACCTCCGAGAGGGGCTTAGAAAAACAGAAGGAACGTGTGAAAGAAAATTTCCTTCAAAACTTTTTGTTTGAAGTCCAAAATATTCTCAAAATTAGTTTTCGAAATTCTTTCCAAAGTCCTGATGACCAAAAAATAGTCAAACTCAAAAATATAAAATAATTTCTTATTTCAGAAGCCACCACTGTCCTTTATGCAAAATGTGCGTTCTCCGTAAAGATCATCACTGTTTTATCACTGGTGCTTGTGTCGGATTGGGCAACCAGGTAAGGTCTTTTTGGTTTCTAGCGCACTCAGCTATATACAAAAATCTTCCAGCGATACTTCATGGTTTTCTTGTTCTGGTGCGCAATTGGGCTCGTCATCGCCATGCCACATCTCTTTTTCTATATGAATACTGAAATTGCCTATTGGTGAGTCATTTCTTTCTTTTACCTCTAAAGTTGCGTGCTTTCGGTACCCATTTGGCTGGTGCTACTACATCGGACCTGTCGCTGTGATTCGCTGGATCCTCGGCTACACACCATTCAGTCAGGCTTGCTTTTCAACACTTTTTTCATTTGCTGGTGCCTCACTTATCACTGCTTGTGGATTTTTTGGGATGCAGGTGGGTCTTTTTTCAGTACAAAGTATTTGCTAGAAGATCAGCGACATACCATGTTATCCTTACTTTTGCGCAAGCAACATGAGTCAAACATTTTCATTTCCGAACATTTTTTGTGTCAGCATTGCAAACAAGCAAACACCAACTTGGTTCACTGGGATTATATATGATTTTCAGGTGTACTATACAACACAAGGCTACACAATGTATGAATACAACAATTTGACAGTTCGAGCAACGTTCCAAGGCGATGGGTGGGCTTTGAAATAATTTTCAGTGTATTTTATTCAATTGTTTCAGAGAAAATATGGGGGAACGACTTCGACTAGTTTTCGGCAAGAATTGGGCGCTCAACTTTTTGGTCCCGCTTCCATGGAATCTACCCGTACTCACACCTGCAATCTCCGATAGTCTTTTCCGTGTGAGGAGCAAAGTTCTGTGACTTCTCAATCGGAGGAAAAACCAGTTCATTCGTTTACGGGGTGTGTATAACTTATTCTCGCTTTTTTTTGTTTGTTACCGCTCACTCAAAAAGAAAACTTCTGAATCTCATATGGCATTTTGCTTGAACAATGCAATGAAATAAAAAATTTACATATAAAATTCTTTTTAGCGTTTCTTATCAACTTAGAAAAGAGAAGAAAAATGTATTTATCACGGTTGTAGCGGTGGAATTAACACATTATTCACAGTTGCTGGTATGATTTTCTGTTTGATTATGGGGGGAGAATGTCGGGAATGAGGGGGAAGACTGGGAGCATTTATAGAAAGAAAAAAAAGGAAGAACCGTTACTTAGTTTACAATACCATTTTTAAAAATTTAGCACATTTTTGCTTCTTGGCACGACCATCTTGGCGAGAAGTGGTTGGCTGTTTGCGAGCAGAAGATTGGGAACGAGAACGGGAACGAGAACGGGAACGAGAGTGGGAATTGCTCTTATCTCGATCTGCTAGTGGATCACAGAAAGATGTTCCAACAACGTCAGCTAAACCTACTGCAGCTGAAGGACGCATGAAGAAAACTACCGTGCCAAAAAGAAGAGACTCGATGAGAGGTCCCTCAACAACTCTTATTCTTCGTACCGAAGGCGCAGTCACTCGTTCTCAATTTAAGCTTCGCGAGGAATTGAGAATGAACAAGGAGACTAAGAAACCTGGAGCATCGAGAAAAAGAGATAAGAGCAATTCCCAATCTCGTTCCCGTTCTCGTTCCCGTTCTCGTTCCCAATCTTCTGCTCGCAAACAGCCAACCACTTCTCGCTCTCGTATTTTAATTTTTGTCTCGTGGGGAAATAAGTGAAAGGTGGAAAAATATGTATATGAATTCAAAACCAGTTGCGTGAATAAAAAAAGTTAGTTTTGATTCATCAGCCATTATAAAAAACGCTGCAACAGAAAACATAAGGGAAACACTGGAACTGTGGACCATTGGATTTTTTTAAAAAGGGGTGTTTTTGTGGATTCGAAAATAAAACAGTGTTTTCCGGTAGTGGAAAACTCGGGAAGGGGAAAAGAAAACATAAGGGAAGAAGATTTACCAGATGATAACAAGGAGACACGAACAATAATCTGGACTCTTTCTATTCTCTGAAAATTATCAAGTTTAAAAAATCAATCTCAAATATTGCTCTCAACGGAGCCATACTTTTGAGGAGGCGGTGGTGGCATGGCAATCACAATTGGTACACTTCTATCGGCGCTTGACGGAATTTCAATATCAGCTCGAGCTGTTGGCTGTTCTGTGACCACGTCTCCATCGGAATTCTCGTCTCCAAAGTCGTCTTCCGGCTTCGGCTTGTATTTCCCGCAACAGAAGTTACAGCAACATTGACAACAGCACATGCAACCGCAACAACAGAAGAAGAATCCACACGTGAGGAGTGCGAAGGCGAAGAACGTCCACTTAAACCATGGTTTCAGCATCCATTGCAAAATCTTCTCGTCCTCTCCAAACTGTTCCATCAGTTTCAGTCCCGTCTCACCCATCTCATCGTAAACCTTTCGTTTATTCGGATTCGAGAGCACTGCGTTCGCATAGTTGATCTCTTTGAATTTTTCTGTTTTTTCAGGGTCGCCATCGAGATTTTTATCCGGGTGGTAACGAAGCGCCAGTTTGCGGTAGGCTCTGCAAAAAAAAAGAATTTGTGTTCATGTTCGTTCTCAATTTGTTTCAATTAAAAAGACCGTAAAAAGTTCATATGACTTAAAACTGCTGTCCTACCCAACACCGTCACCTAGTTCAAACAAATTCGCCAAATTGTATTGCTATACAAAAAATAATTGAAGGAACAAAGCACAATACCATATTGTTTTCGAAACAAACAGAATTTCCAAAAATATAGAAATTTGTCAACAACAAAATCAGCTTTGTTGAACTTTTTGATCGGACAACAAATCCATGAAAGTTTTCTAAACATATTTCAAAATACTCACTTTTTAATCTCATCCTCAGTGGCATTCTTTTTTATACCAAGCACATTGTACAAATGCGTCCCTTTTTTAGCATCCATGTCGGGCCTTTCAGACGGTTGATCAGAGTTCGGAGGTGATTGCCCTCCTGTTCTTCCTTCCTCCGCTTCTCGCAGCCCGTCTGCGTTCATACTGGCTGCAAAATCATAAAATATTTTTGTATTTTGAAAAAAGGTTGAACACAAAACGAATACGAAACAAAAAAACTGCAACTGAAACACATTTAAACACCGAATGGCATATAATGATGGGGTGTGAAAACGAGTGAAAGTGGCGATTGAGAGAGAAGGACGAAAAAATTACAATTCGATGAACTGTTCAGATCACAAGTCAAAATCAATATGTAAAACACTTGTGAGCCATTGCGGTGGAGGAGAGCGCGAAAAATGCGACTCGGGAGGGGAAAGACAACGGCAAAGAAAGAGGGTGTAAATAGAAGCGACCCCCATCCACCACACACACACTATCCATCTATCGTGTGTCCTCGGTGACACATTGTATGAGGGTCGATGCAATCGCGCCCCTTCGCTACGCGACGGGTCTCGCCGCGCGCGACCCAGCCCTTCGACACACAGGAAAACAAGTGTTACCGTACTATCAGCCCTGATCATCTCTCTAGTTCCTAAAATTTTCTGCGTTTTTTTTCGTTTTTTTTCCTGTTTCCCGGCGATTTCTTGCGTTTTTCTTCATGTTTTCAGTGTTAATCAAAAATTGAGAGTTTTTCAGAGATCGCGACACATGGAATGTTCCTCGGCACCAGATACTATGGAATTTTTATTTTGCCACTGGTCATTTGCCAGTTCATTCCGCCTCCAACACGTCCGGTAAACTTGTGGGATCCTTTCGAGACAACAACAACACCACGACCATCAGGATTAAACCAAGTATGTTATTTTTTACCGTTGTTTTTGCAGTATTGTCGCTGACTTGAGGAAAATTTCTGTTGGAATTCGGAAAGCTCGTCCTGAAAAATCCTAAAAATGGCCAGAAAATCTAGTTATCGAGCATTTTCTGCTTCTTTTCTTCCCTTGTTGCCCTGAAAGAGCATGGAAACAAGCAAAGATGGGTCTATTTGCTCAGACGTTTATCGATTCTTCACCGCGACTTCTTCGCTTTCACCTAATACTTGTTTGCATTGCAGGGGTTAAACCGTGATGAAGTGGTCGTTCGTCTTCCTCTTGGAGACATTGTTGGCAAGGAAGTACATCTTCGCAACCTGCCCTGGACCATTCACAAAGACCCGACGGAAGAGCTGCCAAGGGATGGAACTCACTTTGACCCGAATCCTTTGAGAAAGAATAACAACATCACAGTCTTCACGTTTCTAGGGGTGCCTTACGCGGAGCCACCAACGTCTCAGAGGCGATTCAAGGTAAAGTTTTATATTATAAAAGGGTCCGTATCGCAGTGAAATTCTTTCAGCCGCCACAACAATTGACAGTTTTTCCTGGGAAACAGCCGTTCCTAGCTTTCAACTATGCTGCTTCATGTGCTCAGGACGTTGAGAAGAGACCCAGCCCGTTCGTAGACCATCCATATCCATTCACAGTTGACGAAGATTGTCTCTACCTCAATATTTTCTCCCCTGACGTAAGAAGATGAAGAATAATACCAACGTCACACAAGCTTTTCAGATATCAAAGAATGCGCCAACAACCTACCCAGTGATTGTGTTCTTTCACGGAGGCAATTTTCAAACAGGATCCGCAAATGAGTGGCCTGCCCATGGTTTAGCGTCTCGAGGGATGGTAGTCGTCACTGTTAACTACCGCCTTGGAGCTTTCGGATTCATGAGCTTGGGAGACTCTGATACCGGAAACTATGGGCTTCAGGATCAACGGCTGGCTCTGGAATTTGTTCGCGATCACATTGCAACGTTCGGTGGAGATCCACAAGCTGTCACCGTGATCGGCCATGATGCTGGAGCAGCATCCATTGGATTACACATGCAGTCTCCCAAATCTAGACACCTCTTCCGATCCGCTGCGACAATGTCTGGAGCAGAAGTTTCCTATCACTCGTACATCGGAAAGCCAGCATTGGCTTTCAACAACACTATAAAGCTTGGACGTTACGTTGGTTGTTCTGAAACCGTCCCACAGAATGTGTGGGATTGTCTCATGACGAAAGCCACCAACGACATCGTTTACGCAACGCAGACCATTCCAATTGAGTAAGCCACTAAATTTCCTCTCCACCCAGTCTAAATTTCAAATTTTAGATATAACCGCTACCTATTCATGCCAACTGTAGATGGGAATGAAGTTCCTGCAAATCCACTCTGGACACTGATGAACGCTCCGAGTGGAGAGGTTTCCATCATGAGTCCAGTGCCGCTGCTGATCGGAATGAACGCTCAGGATGGAAGCGAAGTGGTCTTGGAGGATAGGCGCTTGGGAGAGTTTAGTCAGTTTAACGATGTGGACCACGAGTACCTTAAAAGCTACGCATTGGAGTATTGCTACCGACACAACTACTCGATGAACCGGGAAGCCACTGCTGACGCCATCGTTTCAAAGTACACCTTCTGGCCTGATAGAGCTGCTGTATGGGCGATCAAGGAGAACTTCATCCATTTTGCAACCGATGCCTACTACACAGCTCCAATGCAGCTCTCAGCACATCTTCACAGTGCATCAGGATCACGTGTGTTCCAGTATGTGAACAACTACAATTTCAGCAAGCAGCATCCAGATCTGTCGTTTATTCCCGATTGGATGGGAGTCTGCAGAGATTGTGACTTGTACCTGATGTTTGGATATCCATTCCTACCTGACGAGTTGCGACCGCTGGGGCTCCGAGGTATCAACTTCACAGACATGGATCGTAATGCTAGTCGGACGTTCTCCAACATCGTCCGTCGTTTCACCTACTATCAGAATCCAAACTTCTTGTATGATGGTAGTTGGGTGGCTTACGAACCAAGACGTCATTGGTACATGAACTTCAACTACTCACACGAGGAAGACTGGAAGGTTCCTGGAACCATCGCGAGGGACTATCGATACCAAGACGTCGCATTCTGGAATGAGTACATCCCGGCATTGGTCAATTACATGACCACTACATTTTCTCCGGAGAATGTTGCGTATCGACGGGAGATTATCGTCTATAGATGGATCACTGGAGTCAATGCGATCATCATAATTCTGCTTGTAGTGTTGGCTGGTGCATTTGGATACATGGTATTCGGTCACAAGGAAGAAGAGGATGCCGTCTACAAGGGCGAGAGCCATCAACTCGTCGACTTTGGAATCCGTTCAGTATCCGATGGAACGGTATCTTCCAGGACGAGATCCCCTCATTCTAGAATCAGAGGAGGTGGAACTCAGTATCTGGAGCGAGAGTCGAATATATAATATTTTGAATTGTATAAATTGTAAATTATTAACTTATTATCATTTACCAAATTAATTACTAACATAATAGGACTAACTTAATATTTATATTAGCATCTCATTTTTTAATCTAACTTGATCTCAAGTCTACCATTGATGCCTTAATGTTGTGAAAACTTTACTTCTGTCATATCAAATCTCGTTCATTTGCATTTCAAAGAGAAACCAATATGTTTTATTGAATTCTATATGTTGTGTCGTCCATTTATTTCTGCAAAATTTTTTTCACCGGTTATACATACCGCGAAGTACCTAAATTTTAATTATTTTTTATTTCATCCTCTTTTTTCATTCAAACCTCTTAATCGAATCAGTTCTTCAGGGTAAAATGGCTCCAAGCGCTCAAGCTAAGACCGCCAAGGCTCTCGACGCCAAGAAGAAGGTCGCCAAGGGACAACGCACCTCCCACAAGCGTCAAGTCCGCACCTCCGTCCACTTCCGTCGCCCAGTCACCTTGAAGACTGCCCGTCAGGCTCGGTGAGTGTTGCTAGACCTTCTAGGCTCGCTGAGCTCCTTTGTACGGTTTATTCAATCATTCAATATTTTAGTTTCCCACGCAAGTCGGCTCCAAAGGCCTCCAAGATGGACCACTACCGCATCATCCAACACCCATTGACGACTGAGTCGGCCATGAAGAAGATCGAAGAGCACAACACTCTTGTCTTCATCGTCAACAACGACGCCAACAAGTACCAGATCAAGGATGCCGTCCACAAGCTCTATAACGTCCAGGCCCTCAAGGTTTGTGGTCAAATGCAAAATACTGGAATACAAAAATGTCACTTTCAGGTCAACACTCTCATCACCCCACTCCAACAGAAGAAGGCCTACGTCCGCCTCACCGCTGACTACGATGCCCTCGACGTCGCCAACAAGATTGGAGTCATCTAAATTTGTTGCCTTGTTCGTTGTTTGTTCAATAAACACTTTGTTATAAAAAATTAATTTTCGAGATTTTCTTTATCTTTGAAAGAAGGTTGTTTCGTCTGGCACCACCTTAACCTTCTTTCAAAACACGTTTCATTTCTTTCAGGTCGTTCAGATTCTCTTTAGCTGCTCAAACAGTTGTCTCTGCTACAAGCTTTTAGCTCTTTTAAGATAACAAGTTGTCTCTTCCAAAAAAAAATCATTCACAAATAAATACCAGGTTTCAAACGAGGAAAAAGAGGCAAAATTAAGCAAAGTGATAGCTAAGAAGACGTTGAGATCATTGAATGTACACATGACTGGGGGAAAAAGAATCAGAACAGGCGAAGAACAAAATTGAAGTGAGAATATTTAGTCAAATTACTATATGCGTCTTAAAAACCGTCTATAGAAGGAAAAGCTACAAGAAGAAGCGTTCTAACCGGGATTTTGTTACAAAAGGTTCTTTGAGAAAAATAATTATTCGGTGTATGGCGGTGGTGGGTCACGCATCAGAGCAATGATCAAGTCTTCTTCGTGGTTCGTACGTGGTCTGAAAACGCAATTTATTGATTTTTAAGACAAACAGAAGAATGATTATCATTTTCATAAATAAAGTTGCGTATATGTTGTTCTTTTTATGTCTGCCATTCCGAACAAGTTTTGAAAATTTAGAAAACTGAATATACCGTAAAGGATAGAATGCTCTCAGACCTTGAATTCATATATCTAATTTATTTTCAAAGATATCAATAAGTGACCAATTGATAGAATGTTTATTATGAATTTGATTACATTTTGTCAGTGAAAAACTTTTTGATATCTTTGACAGGAACTGAAATAAATTTGCTCATAGTTGAAAGATAACGACAATTCTCTAAAACAGCCAACAATAAAGCGACAAAAACGTGCCCACGGCCCGACAGGCATTTTACTTACCGTTTATTTCTCATTATAATTCTAGAGAGACTCCTTTCTAGCTGCCTGTCTCTTATGACTGCTATCAATGGATTCGCAACACAGTGCACGGAAAATGCGGCAACTTCGATACCCATGATAGAGTTGTTTTGTCCTGAAACACAATGATTTGATAAAATGTAAGAATTTCAATGTTCCCACCTTTTCTTTCGACTCCCATGCCACCATCATGAAAATGATAATGAAGGACAAACTGTTGAGAAGCAACCAGAGTGACGCTGTCGCACAATCCTTTTTCAACCGAACCGTATGACTGTTCTCCTGCAAATTCTGCTCCAAAAATGTTAATCCTGATTATTTGATAATTCTTACCTCGGGATTTAATCTTTGTGAAATTATCAGTTGGATCAAATTGAGCGGATGGATAATCAGATTAAGCACGAGAAAGACTGATAGGAGAGCGAGGTGGAATGGAACGGCTAAGACGAAAGAGCGGGATAGACGGATTAGGAAGAAGTCGGATAACAGTAGCAACGTCACGAGAAGCCAAGTTGAACCGATCAGACGGGACAGTTGCGATCTGTAAATTTGATTTTGCGCACACTTGTCTATGTGCTCATTCAGGGCTATCACAGATCGGCTGAAAACTCGCTCCGAAGTTTAAACTCTGAGCAAACAGAATACCAAATGATAGAGCTCGGGAAGCTATACAACCTCTAATGAATATCGATCTACTTCAAAAGCGGCATCATAGTCTTGGGCAGGACCTGTCTATTAAATGTCGGCGCTCACCCGGTTACTGATTTCAATGCTGGTTGAATATTATTAGAGGTTGTAGGGTTTGCCGAGCACAATCATCTGGCATGATGTTTCGTCCGAAACTTTAATTTTGAAGCTAGTTATCAGCCGGCTCGTAAACAAGTTTGGATTTGTGAACTTTATTGAGCAGCGTCATAACTAACTAAAGCGTTTTTTTATTGATTGGATGAACCGAAACTTTTATCTTGCTGAAACGCGGTAAGCTTTTGATCACAAAGTGCAAGACCATAAATATTTTGCCATCCCCATGAGATTCAATTAAAATTTATCTGTTGAAAGAAAGAAAGAGATGAGATGTTCCACTCGGCTGATTCTTTTTGCACTTTATGAATTGAGTAAGCTATCGAGCCGTGACGAAGTGGTTTGTTGTGGTCCTTGTAGTTTAATCGTCTTGGATTCTTAATAATCCCGCTAGTTCCAATTCCTTATTCATGGCTTCTCGGAAACTAAAAACCCGATTATCAACTCGGCGAAAACAGCAGCATTTTTTCTTATTTTCCTCAGTTCCTTCCGTCTAGTTCCTGCTCAACGAAGAGTGTTCATTAGTGAAACCCCTTGAAAAACAAAAACGATGTTTTTTGTTGTCTTCCCTGGCATCTCCTTTTACTCTGAATAAACGCAAAGTCAGCTAAAAAAGTTTCATGTTGCTCCTCTTCTTCCCATCAGACGACACTAATGAAAATCTCGAGAGACTCCTTTTTGTGACGTTGCGAGAAGAAACAAGAATGCGATGTGACATTTGGTGCACATGTCCTTTCCATCAAGTTCATTGACTTCCGGGAAAAAGCAAAGTATTTTTTTAGTCGGTGCACCTGATATGTTCCCCGGGATATCCTTTACAAGAAGCGCATCTATATAAAACCAACCTCGATAGATGATAGTTGTGTCGAGCGAGCGCGTGTACAAATCCAATTGTCAGCAAGGTCAGCAAGCTAATCGTCGAGTTCAACAGAATCGCTGTCGTCAGCGCCGGAAACTTTTCCAATTCGGCGAACGAGCGGGACTTCATGTCGACGAGCTGCAAATGACAGGATGTATCGCTTACTTTTAAAAGATGCGTTTTTTCCAATCTTTGCAGATTTACAGGTACGAAAATAGTTTTTTGGACTCTCTACCTCTTTTTTGGGCTCAATTTCAAGAAACCACATGATTCATGATTTCCGCTTCCGTGTCCGGTTCATTCGTCAACACTCGGTTGCATTTTTAGCAATGTGATCGCTGACAGAGCCCCATTGCTCACTTTTAAATTCATAATGTGCTGTGTGAGAAAAAACCAATGCCAAAAATGTTTGTGTATGTGTTTACAATTATCGGAAGACGGAACATAATTTTGTCCCCTACACGGAGCCTAATGGAGCGTGAAACATGCTCAATGTATATTTTTTCTTGATGGGGAGACAAAAAAGAAAAAAGAGAGAGAGAAGATGAGATTCTAACTAGAATCTCTTCTCATTCAATTAGCCATCATTAGGCGATTTTCGTTTTGGATTGTTTTCCCGAGAGCCAAAATGTAGTTTGAACACTAAAAACTACAAAAAGTACTTTTTTTTTGTTTTGCTGCCCCATAAGGTTTTCAGCTACCATCGACCCCATTCAAGTTCATTTTTGATCTCAAAGAAGCACTATCAAAAGTGCGAGCCCCTTCTATTCCTCACAAAGAAATCTGAACAAAAAAAGAGAGGTTTCTTAGGAATGCTGTTATTTTATGTGCATGGCTGAGTGGATGCAGAAAGTTCTTAAGAAAGCACATTCAATTTCCCATCAGCAGTTATGAGTCACGCGGGGCTCGTCTTCCTTTTTTCTCCTCCGGCATTTTTATATATAGGCATTGTACACGCAACTTCCGGTAACTTTCGAGAGACAATTGTTCGAAAATGAGCTAGTTGAGTGTTCCATGAGATTAAACCCACATCAAACATCGGGTGAGACTTAGGGGGTTAAGAAGTCAAAAAAACAAAAGACAAACGTCATCTTTCTAGGTACAAACTTCTTACCTGTTTCGGAAGTTGTTGATGCTGGAAACATGGTACTTCTAGACATTGCGATGGATTTAGAGAGAAGAAGATGGTGACGATTGCAGTGATACTATTGCAAACCCATAAGCTAGTGGATAGGAGATGGATGTTGGTATGAAGACGACGATCCGAAGCAACAGCGATCAATACGAGTAGATTGAAACCCAGTTGAAGTATTGCCAAGACGAAGTTGAGAGACGATGTCCACAACCACATCATGAGAAGTACTAGAAAATCAAAAATTCGTAAGATTTCACAGGTTCAAATAAAGATTCAAATAAAAGTTAGTATACGTAACGGAAATGTCTGGATGTGTGTCAAAACCATTCATGCGTTTTGGGAGGAAGTTCGGGATATTGCCATTGGGAACGAATGTGAAAAATGTAGTCTGCTGTGTAAATCGAAAAGCTTGGAACCTCTCAAATATCTCACTCAAAAATGGGATGTGAATCAAGATGATAGTGGAGGTACGTCGTTGAAGGAAAAGGAGAGGGAAAACGGAAAAGTGAAGATTGGAAAACTATTTCTTGAAGAGGTTGAGAGATTGGCTGGGGAAAGAAGTGAATGAAAAAAAGAAAAAGCGTCAAAGAAGAAAAAAACAGGCAGGATAAGTCGTCGCTTCCTGAAAAAAAAGAAAAACGAAGAAGAAGAAGAAGCGGTGAAGCGACGGTGGCACGTCGTCGGGAGCTTGGGGGCACACAAGCACTTTGACGGAGGATAATTGGAAGAAGTGCTCTGATTGAGAGCAAATGCGTGGAGCACACACATACACATCTTCCCTTTATGCTCCACCAACTTTTCAACCTTTTTTGAGGCGAAAGAAGAAGAAAAAGAAGAAGAAAAAGCAATAGAAAAAAGAAAACCGCCGCTCTCACTCGCCTCCTTTCTTTTGGGCCCAACTGAAAAACCGCGGGGCGCCTCGTCGGCCCTCTCCTGTCGACTCTACAGCCCGCCCCTCTCTTCGTTTTTCAACATCGATTATTCATCTATTGAGTTCCGCCCATTTCTTCATGTTTTTTCTTGCTCTTAGCGCACCGCGTGTCTATTTTTTTCCCTACTCTCGTTCTCTATCCTCGCGGCCCCATCATCTTCGGCCACTCTGTGTTCTTTTTTTCTGTTCAGACAAAGATGGCGTTCTAATAGGTAGACGACGACGGATGTGTTTGTCGGGGAGAATGTAAAATGGGAAAAAAGCTCTCAGCCATAAGCACTGGAAGTCGGAATGCATATTTTTGCTAGAATAACTTCCATGGAATTGAAACTATAAATTGAAAAGGAAAGAAAAGAGAAGACGTGAATCACAAAGCAGGGGTGATAAGGGGAAAGGTGGGTAATAGGACAAAAAGTGTGGTACAGGGATTGAAACGAAAATGATACGTATTTGGGAACGCCCCTTGAAATAAATATACTGACCTGTAAAACTCAGACAATACAAAAAATGTAACTGATCTCAAAATTAACGAAAAACGGAAAAAAGTGGAATTTGCCGTGAACAATCTAATAGAAGGCGACCCTGTCACATGCACTTTCAACTCAGTTATATAAATTTCTATTAGAAACTTCAGAAATCTGACGAAAGCTTGAACTCATACTATTACCAACATTTTAGCAGTTAACACATTCGTGATATCTCTTATAGAGGTTGAGATAATTGAGCTCAAAATGCGTGCATAGGCCTTTCGATTACTGACGGTAATCATCTGCTTTAAAAAAAAATTATCGGAGAGAGTGAACTTAGTTTTTATGGATGATTCAGATCAAATTAGACTAACTGAGTTTCAGATAATGAGTTGGCCTCTAACGAACTTTTAGTACTTTTTCTCAACGGAAAACTATCTGAGCATTTTTTTCTAGTTCACATGATGTATGCGGACATAGATTTAATATGAATTGCACTAAAAGTTCGTTAGGCAAACCTTAATTTTGGATAATACAATTACGAGCGATTTCTAAACCTTTCTTTATCAGAAAAATGGGTCAACAGAATCACAAACGCGAAATAAAATTTGAAACACATCAAAGGTATTCCAGACTTTTAGAATCTTATCAACTTGATATCATTGGAGAAAATCTGAACATTTCTATCACCGATCATGGGCAGATTTATCACTTATTCATGACATGGTGAGGTATGTCGGTCGTTCAGAAAACATCAATCTTTCTTCGAAATGAAACGAAAACCGAATGCTGTTTGGTTTCTTTTCTCCTGCCACCAAAAGCGCATCCAGCAAAGTTTTACACGCGGTGTCAGGACGGAATGAGACACTTCCGAGTACCCTAGTGTCCTAGTGAACATGCATACACTCTTCCAACAAACAGCCCGCCAAAAATGGTTGTTGTTGTTGTTGACCAGAAAGCGGAAAAATGTCGCGTCTGTTTCTGTTTCAGAATATGAATGAATGAATAGAAATGCGACATTTTTGTCTCTCTCCAGGTTTTTTTCTTCAATTATGCTCGTTTCCCAGATGGGCTTAGGAGAGTTTTTATGGGCATTGCAATATGGGAATATTTCATGAGATACCAAAAAACAGATAGAGAGAAGGAAAAAATATATAGAAATACAGGCACGTATTTGAACATTGTTTGGGAAAAAATAGTGATGCAGAAAAACTTTTTTAAAAAATGATAGGAAAAAATGTTTAGGAAGACAAAATTATGACATGGTTGATTTTACATTCGGAGCACGAAAACATATGTATTCTCTGGTAACACAATTTTCAATTGTTGACAGTGAGGTAATACGTCCAGTAAATGATGTTGAACACAGTGAACAGTCCGGGGAACATGATCATCGACATTTGGTCGATCTCCTCGGTGGTCCATTGCTGGAAATAATCCAAATTGACTAGGCTAACTGCAGTCGCTGTGCCAACCTTCTTCATCTTGATTGTGACCATCGAACTGTACTTGGTGTCCACCTGTGAGAACTGCGTCTCTTCCAATCCGTCTAGCAGGAGCACTTTCTCGGCTCGGTTCTCGTGAGGAGCGTGGGAAATTGCGGTATTCGAAGTGAGCATCAGTCGCTTTCTCATTCTTGGGTCTGAATAACGAAAGAGTGAGAATTTTCCTGACAGCTGCTTACTTGAATTATGAGGAACCCTGTATATTCAAGAAATAATTAAATTTAGGTGTCGTGGGAAAAAACGAAGTTATCAAGAATTTTCGATGAATCTAAATTATTGGGAAGTCTGGTTGGGGCGCTGAAAAAATTTGGAGGGAAGAATCTTTGCGCAAATTAAGACTGAATTTCATGAACTGATTTCTATTTTTTGAATTTTTCAGCAATAACTTTTGAAGGAACAATAGAAAAGAATCCCTTTTGATACAGGGTTTACGGTAAAGCATAATTTGATATGTTTACATGCAAAATGCAGTGTTCCGTAAATGCTGTAATAGCCGCGCCTTCATAATTGCGCTTTGGGCTCAGTTGTCTAGCTTTCCGTAAAGAATATCAAAAATTTGTTAACAAAAATGTTGGTGATATAGCGACAATGATTTTATTGGCTAAGGTGTTTTTAAATTTTTCACAGAAATTGAGATGAATTAGTCCACGTTGTAAGTATAGAGGTGGAGGTCTATCAAACAAAAATCGGTATGTTGTGATTTTTTTAAAAATTTGATTTCCACCATTAAACGTACCTGTTGACCCATAGCTTTTGAAAGATTGTGGCACATCGTTTGGCACATGATTCCTGCATATCCTTGGACTACTCGGACACGACGATGGAGACATCATATGAGAACACGTACTATTCTCACGACCTTTTTGTTGTTTTGTCGTCTCTTCTTCTAGTTGTTTTTGCTTCTGAGCTTGATTTTCAGAGCGAGCACCCATCGAGCCAATGATCGCCAGCTCCAAAAGAGAGCAGAAAACAAAAGTGAGGCATACCAGCATCCAAACGTCTAGAATAAATCTTAATGTAATTAATAATCCTAGATTTCATTAAAAACCAACCTAAAGCTTTCACATAGCTGACTCTTGGTAAGTTCCTCATAATATTTCCGAATTGGAATGTGAGAGCCAGAAGAGAGTTAACCCCCAACATTGTCCTTGCTGGTATCATTTTTGATCCCAGACAGAAACTGATCCAGCTGAAAGATTTTTGTTATAAAAAGAAAGAAAAATATTATGAAAACATGTTTTTGTTTTCAATAGTACCTTATGAATATTGTGAGATATGTAGGAATATAGGCTTGGAAAATATACCACCCGTAACGTCTACTGAAAACAAATGTCATTGTGAGCTCATTCCATACACCGGCTGGATAAATCTGGAAAAAGTTGATCAATGCAAAAATGGGAAAACAAGAGATCATTTGTGTATACCTCATGTTTCAGACTAGTTGAATAGTTAGACATTACAAAATCCGGTAAAACGATTTCCTTCTTTAAAAGTGACAATGGTGTGGTCCAGTTCATCCATTGCATATCAACCTGACAATTGTTTCTCATATTGCTAGATTACTATACCTCTATTCTCACTTCTTGATTATTATAACTGAACGACTCTAATGTTAGATGGCAAGACTGTTGATCCATTGGGAAAGCACTGAAGTCCATGGTACAAGGACCTTTGACTTGAACTCTATAGTTGACCCATACAGTTCCATTTGGGTAGATCATGAGAAACACGTTTTTGAATGGCGATTTGTGGATATTAGCTGATTTGCTGTTGATAAAAACTGTATTTGGTTTCCAGATTTGGTCGAGAATCTGAAAATCGACCGTCGTCAATGTTTTCTTTTTAGATACTAAGTGTATTATGTTTATAAAGAATTGTACTTTCTTATTACATAGGTAAATTGTTCGAATTCACATTTCCTTCCCTTCATCAAAATTACGTGACCTATGAGAACAACCTTTCAGAACGTTTTCAAGAGGTGCAGATTCACTCACTTCAGAATTGAGAGATAGGTTGTACTTGCACGGATTCAAGTGTTCATAACGGAGAGCCGTGTCTATCCAAAGCTCAGTGACGTAAATGTCCATATCGAAGTCACTTGTGATCTCGTTCACTGAGTTCACTTCTTGTACCCATACCTGAAAACTTGAATGTTTGGAATGGTTTGATTTGGATTTGGAACGAGGTTATCAAGCGAAATGTGTTAATCATTTTTGCTTCAAAACTGCAATCATTTACACACGTTCCCAGAGAACAACATTTAATTTCAAATTTAATTTTGATCTAACATGATAAAATTTGGTGTCGCAGGTCTGAAGCCCACTTTCAGCATTTTTTTATCAAGAAGAAATTCAATATCAGCCGAACAAGCCTAAAAAATTGATTCGTGGTTTAAGAATCCTCTATGGTCTTTTTTTAGGAGAAAGTATTCGAAGAAATTGCTAAAGGGTCGACGAGGATTCTAATACTAATTGATTTTTTGAAACTCATTCGAATCATCCAGAAATTCTACAAGAGCTCAATTTTAAAAATGGGCTCCAGACCTGCCGCACCAAATTTTTCCATGGTAAATCAAAATCAAATAGGAAGTTCAAATTTTCTCTGTGAGATTAATAAACAGGGAAAAACAGTAAATTTAGGTTTTCTTTCATGAATCCTCACTTCTATCCATACTATCACTCCAGTCTCTGACGGTGTCTTGAAGGATTTATAGTTGCTCAACAACTTCTCAATGATTGTTTTATCAGAAGTGCACTGATCATCATGATCGTCGTCTACTGCAGCCTGAAAAAAACCCCGATTTGAAAACTGAAACAACACATTGATCTACCACTGCATTGGTGGGTAACGGAGTTGTGGGCGGCAGAGGGAAAAACTTGTTCTCCTAAAAAAATAATAAAAATGGGCATGTAAGTAAAATTGAAAAAAATTGGTAGGAGATGTTGGTTAGAAGTTAGGGGGATCATATGCACTCTTATGAAAACCAGAAAACGTGCGTTGAGAAGTAGAAGTGTTGAATACCGTTTATCATCATGAGATTATCTATTATTTTGTTGTACATGCAGAAAAAAAGAAGAAGTGAGAAACACCCTATCATAACCACCTCTTTATATCGTTCTCTCAGTTCACTGAGTATCAGATTATTCTGTACATAAAGTTTCCAATAGTAACTCTGAAACTTTCTTGAAGCATTTTATCTAGTTGTTCTGCCAATTCTTACCTCCAGTGATTGCTCCGTTGGTGGCGTATCTGTCGGTGTCAAATTCTGTGAATCTGTCAAAGCCAAGAAAACGGCAAACAGGAAGAGTTTCCGTGTTCGAATCATCCGAATACATTCGATGGTGACTGCTAAAAAGAGAACATTAGATGACGGGATGGGAATCTATAAATGTTTCTGCAAACGAAAAATTAGGGAAAGTAGGAAAAAACGGATGGCATCATTTTCTTCTCTTCAAACTAACAAATTGACAGATTCAAAACTCGGATAACGATGTTATAAATGTGTGAAATTCGCTAACTGCAATTTCCTAATAAAAGAGATCTCTAACAGTTTGAGTGGATATAACAATTTTTTGAAGTTGAAAAGAAAGGTTCTAACACTTCAATTGAGCAATTATTTTTTTGAAACATTTTAAGAGAATAGTGAAAGTTCATATGCGGGTGGATATAAGAATTTTCTTCCAATTAAGTGATCAAAATTCAACTTTTCGTAACTTCAGCACTAAGTTTCATATGAGTTTTTGAGACAAGACCAAATAATTCCTTATTTTTCAGATTATCGGGAAATCAAATTTTTTAACATGTTGGACAAAATAGAAAATATACATTTCTGGAAACAACGTAATTTATTCTTTCGAAAGATCATCCTTTTGAGAACAATTTTCAAACGTAGTAGAATTAGCAGTCAAACTCTTTATTATAAAATAAGTATCTGACTTACTGTAACAAAAATTCTATTCACTTTTGTCTCCCAGTGCTTGATGACTCCTATTCAGTTGTTTCTGAAAGATCGAGGACGAAATTCGTACGAGGAAATGGGAGGCCGAAAAGTTGCGAGATTCGATGTAGATTTAATTGGAGAGGACAAGGTGCGCTTGGGGACATAGGTGCACGTGAACATTTGATCCATAAGATTCGAAGCGAAAAAGAAGCAATTTTCGTCTTTTTGGACCCCATTCCTAGTTCTCAAAAACCCTTCCTCACCTCAACCTAACGACTTCACACATTCTGTATTCAATAACACACATTTTTGAGCAAAAAGGAAGCAAATGGCATTGGAAGGGTGAGGTGAGGTAAATGGAGCAACATGTTGTAGAAAGGAAGGAGGGAAATGCGGAAAATGTATGGGGATCAGACAATTGGTCGATTCATAATTCATGACACGTGATAAATAGACTATTCTGACAATTGTGAATTAAGACGGGAAGAAGCCGTGAGAAAGAAAAAATAAGAAAATTGCTATGCGGAAACATATGATCATAAGAAGAAACATTCTGGAGGTGTGTATATGTAGGGTTCAGAACATAGTTTTATATCTGCAGAGAATTTCCAACAGGAAAGGTCCATCGGAAGTAAACCAATGAAAAAGCCAAATCGTCTAACGAGCTATTATGAAACGGCGATGAGATAAGAGGCAAATTGGCCCATAGACGTTCGGGTGATTTGTGGTAGTTTAACACCTCTCGGACCACCAGTTCTAACCGACCGAGCAATAAAAATGAGATTCAAACGACGAGATGGGTCGCGGGCCGCAAAAAAATCTTTCGACCCTCCTTCTCCTCTGTTAGAATAGAGCTACCGTATTGTTTTATGGGATGAAAGTCAATTTGCGAAATTGGACAAGGTACATGAAACCACCACCATTGTAAATGGAATTTTTGAAAAAACACCCATCTTTGCAAATGGGGGCCTTGAAATTTTTACGACGAGATGCTCGGAAAAAAGTGGAAGCGACATGGATTGATAAAAAGTTGCCATCTTTTTTTTAGTTCCACGATCTTTGCAGAATTAATCAGCAAGCAACAGATTTTTGGATTAACTTATCAAAGCATTTTTTGACGAGGGCATTATTTTAGATTGGGAGGAAATATTTGAGTTTAATTCTGAATGAGGAATTGAAAGGAAGTAGTAAAAAATATAGAGAGAAGAAAAAAATAAAACTTCACTTTTTCAGTTTCAGCTTTTTTTATCGTTCATAGATTCTCGGTTGTTTATATGAAACTCCTGTTCTTAATTCAATTCCTTGAACAATTTATATTGGAAAAGTATTTCCGTCAAATTTCTGTTGCAAACTTCAACTGATTCTGATTAGTAAAACCATGGATATCGTAAAAACGTTCTACTTTTAGCCTAAATATCTCAATTTCTGTGAGAGATATCAAAATTTCCTCAACTACTGAACTAATTATTATGTTATCACCAATATTTTATCATTTGACAAATTGTTGATATTTTTCACAGAAAACAAAATAATAGAGCGCAAACACTACGGTTTGACTGGGCTTCTATTATAGGAAACGCAGTATTATTTTTCATGTTTCAAAAACTACTGTGTTTCCTCTAATGGAAACCCATGGGCTCCTATTTTTCAACTTCCTCCTGTGGGTGGACTAATATTAGAGAAATCGATCAAATTATAAGGTTTTCTGTTTTTAACTGGTCAGGGATAGTTATTAAACGCCAAGAAATAACGGAAATTGCCAGAAAAATAGCCAGGGTGGACTTCTACTAGAGGTGGGCTTCAAATAGAGGCGGTTTCTATTAGAGTAAATACGGTAACTTGATTACAGAAAAACATTTTGCTCCCGAAAATATGCCAGTAACTTCTATATCCATAAAACAAGAAGAAGAAGAAGAAGAAGGATCGGAACAAATTTTTTGCATTTCCACATATATGAAGATCTCAAGTATTTGATGCAAATTGAATTGTCCTTGAGAGGTGGTGGCACAGAGGTGAAAGAGCAAATAGAACAAAAAACGTCTCTGGTTCCCTACGATGATGACGACTACGACGAGACAAGATCGTTGTGCAATTTGAATAGAAGTTTTCTCTTTTTGAAAAAAATATATGGCTCGCCCTTTTTTCTTCCAAACCAGAATGGCATCTGTTCGGTTTCTTTCCGTTTTGCTGGTGCACTCGCTTTATATAGAACTAGTTCTCGATTTCCGAAAAAAAAAACATAATCACGTTTTCATGTAAAATGGCCTACGTGTGCTACCTTGATTACGGGAAGCGGCCGAGCACCACTCACGCACACTTTTTTTGGTGCTCCAAAAGGAGAAAATTATCCAATTCCTGGATAGAACTAAACGAGGCACAGAACCGGATGGGTGGACTGGACGACAGGACAGTTTGTGTAGCGAATAATCGAGGTGCATTGTACAAAAATAGAGGTGGATGATGTTTTGCTATATTTTTGAAGGTCTTTGGTGGTTTGGGAAGATTTCTGTTGTGTGGAACACGGACCATGAACGTTTTTGACATACAGCAGGAAACTGGTGATTAGTAACATATGAGAACATGAGGGATATGAAAAAATAACACATATGAGATGTATTTCATTTTCTTGTGAGGGGGGGGGGGGGGGGGAGATGCGGAAAAGGAAAAGAAGGAAAAGAGAGGAAGAAAAGGATCAGACTTTTTTCACGGCTCATGGAAGTTAAGTTCAAAAACAAGAAGAACAGGAAAACTGGGGCATCGTCTTTATATGGACGATAAGAACCCTCTTGTCTTTTTTCTATCTTTTCTTTATATTTCCAATAACATCATAAATGCTCTCTCCCTATATCCCTTTCTCGGTTTCTTCTCACCTTTTCTGAAGCTTCACGTTGAAATATTGAGAAGATTGGATTGCACTCTGGAAAAGGGGAGAAATGGGAGGGTGAAATAAACTAAAGAATTCTGATGTGATGTTGTTTAAATGATTGATGTCGTTCAGGTTAGAAAGGTGAATCAAGGGACTACTGTATTGGGAACATTACAGTATGTTTTCTGATAGTTTCTCTAATATTTTTGAAACCTCTCTTGAAAATTCGAAGAAATCAGCCTGAATTTTTCTTATCCGATCAAAGCCGGAAAATTTCTTCTGGTCCTCATGAAACGTTTCTCCAAAATGTTTATCATAATTACCAGTAAGCCTCTAATTCTTGTGAACGCAGGTTTTGATGAAAATTTCAAGGTTCAGATTAGACTGTTTAGACACTTCTAAAAACTGAAAAATCAGCTGGCCAGCTTCAATCGAGGTAAACCAGTATCAGTATCAGAAATTAAGTTTTCAGTGCAAACAAAAACAATTTTCAAAGAATAAAACAGATGTAACTCGTCTGAAACTGGCAAGCAGATGTTGAAGTTTTCAGAAGTGTCTAGAGTGACTTAAAAATTTTTAGAATTTTGTTTGATTTTACTAGAGCCGGCACAGAATATTTTGAATGTGGCCCAACCCGTGACATGTTTGGCCAGGCAAAATTTACAAAACTTTATTGAATCTTTTCCACTTTATTAGTTATTGATTTGAAATTCTGGAAAAGTAGGCCAGATTTTGAAAAAAGACAAATTAAAAACAGAAATGTTACAATTTCAGACTTTTGCTTTTTTACAAACAGCTTTTTAATTCTGTTGATCATGCCAAAATTGAATTTAAAAAAGGCGGATATTGGTTTCTCGAACCCATTCAGTTTTTTTGGTTCCACCTTTTCCAATTACTTCGATTCGAGGAAAATAATTGGTTACAAACCAATCCCACTTATTTTTATCAGACAATTTCTGGGAGAGAGGAATGAGTAATACCGAGAGGAATCAGAAAAAAAAACAATTGAGAGTTTAGTAACTACAGAAAACATCAATAGAAGAACTTTGTAAAATAAAAATAGAAGGTGAACCATCCCTCCAACACAAATCTTTTTGAACAGTCATAATTCAAACGATTGGTGCACTCAGGGCTCACGCTTCTCTTACTAACTACCTGACAGATTGAGGCAAATGAAATATGAAGGGACAATGATTGGGAGCATACGTATGTGTATGTGCTCCCACAACTCGGGAGCCAACGTAATGAAATTAGCTGACACGAGGTGAGAAGAGGATTATCACCCACACCACTCAAGAGTTTTTTTTGCTCTGGTCCGGATTGTTTAACACATAACAAATTGCAAGCGAAGAACCGCAGAACAGATACGTTGGTTGTTAGGGTTAGGGGGTTTCACGAAAAATGTGAACATTTTTTCTGGGTGGTTTCATGCAGCTCCAAATTTTTTTGCTGCTAATATGCTTGGATTTAGTTGGTCAACTAAGAAATTTTGTCTCGCTTCAGTAGAAAACTGCTTGAAAACATACTTCCGGGCGGTATCCAGAAACAGCAAAAATAAAAAAAAGAGGAGAAGAAGAAACGTAGGCGATATAAACTCACGTAGATATACATGAAACAGCAAATAGCCCCTATTTTTTGGGAGGGTCAGTTTTTGGAGAAGTGGGCGGGGTTTCATGTGAAATTTGGTTGGTTTTATGTAATTGTCAATATATTGGAGGAAACAAAAGAGATTTAGAGAAAATGAGAAGTCTACCAACAAAAATGGGACGCGTTTAATTTTCCTTTTTTTGAAAGAGGCAACCCACTAGTTGAGAAATTACACTCTCATCAATTAACCTCTTGTGACAGCTTGCGTCCCAATTTCGCGCGCACCAATTTCAGATTTGTCATTCCTAGCACCTTTTCCCTATCCAACTGGTGGTGTGTGCTCTTTTTCGATTAGGATCTCATGGTTGTATGGGGTATCGTGGGGGACAAGGAACAAATGGGGGAGAAGAAGAAATGAGTCTAAGAGAAATGAGAATAGGAGTCAGTAAATGAATGTTTTGTGATGTCTCGATTACCCTAATCTCGGTTAAAAAACGAAAATACGACCGGAGAGCAAGGACATTTGCTCAACATCTGCCATTCGGAGCAGCCAGCGAAAACCACTCCAATTTCAATTTCATTGCACCGAGCGCAGTTTCGGAATGATGCGACTGACACTGAACCCTAGGCAAAGTAGGAAGGAAGTTGTGGTGCATATCAGAAAAAAGGAGAAACCATCGCTTTGCCAAACTAATCCCAAAGAAATGCCTTTTGCGCGGACAAAAATGTATCACGGGAACGCGCGTACCCACACAAGCGGTGTGTTTTAAATAATGAACTTTTTTATAGTCGAAAGCTGGAAATTGGCTACTAGAAATAAGGAGCAAAAAAGCAACCAAGAATTGATCAAAAAGAAATTTTGAAATTTTCAGAACAACAGTCAGCTGTAACAAATTGAAGTATGTAATCGGTGTGACAGTACCGATCAAACAGTTTATTCATTTTACCTTATTTGAGTTGAAAATCGCTGAAGTCTGAAAATAGATAATTATAAAGAATTTTTATGTTTACAGAACCAAAAGATGTAACTTGGTTAAATTTTTTAGAGTTTCATACAAATGAGGTCTGCCACTTCAAAGCAACCAATTAACAAAAATTCAAATAATACCACTGACACTAGTTTAGCGTCGTGAAGCCGTTAATTTATTTAGAAGAATTTTTACAAAAAATCTCAACTACAAAATTCGAGTCTTATCTTTGTTAAATGGACCTCAAAATGTCTCATCTTATTCAACAGCATCCACTTCACTTTTACGCGTCTAAAGTAGTGTTTAAAAAAATGCGGTCAAATTGTTGTATTTGCCCCAACAATATGCTACTCTATACTTCTGCTATAAGCTTCATTATTTCGGTTATTTCAAAAAACATTGAAAAATTTTAACAAATAAACTGTTCATCATAATAGAACCGATGTTTCATTAGTTGACAGGTTTTTTATAGGAAACTAGAAGGTCAAAGTGCACATACCGGGTAAACTTTTATTAGAGTTCAAATGGTATTGTATTCTGAAAATTTTATGAATTGACGTGAAAAAAAATTTTCTTAATTTTTTCAGGTACCCAATTTAGACATCTCAGTTTTAAAACGTTACAACCCACTTTTTGCAAAATTTGTTTATCACGTCTGGAACTGGCTTTCAACCTCTGATCTTAAACCATTCACAAATACTATACTCTATGCTCCGTCCATTCTAAACAATCCATATGTTTACTTGACGAGAAAAATGTTTATCAGGAACAGGTCATGGTACAAACTGATACGAATAACTTGATACTTTATACGGTATCAACTTACTAGCGTACCACTATAAAGGTGATTGCTTGAAACACAACAAACATTCATCACTCTTATCATTTGACCTTGGCTAGTCTCTCATTCTCAACTTATTGCGTTCAAACTATCATTCACCCATAATGGGTAAAATACTCTTTCTTCTATTCCTAATAAAATTTTCGTATGCTGAGGAAGCTCAAAAATGCGCATGGGATGTAAGTTAAAGCATGATGACGTTTGAACATAAGAGAAATTAGAACTGTCATGCCACCGATCCGGATCCTAACGTCATCACAGCACATTTGATTCCACATACTCATGATGATCTGGGATGGATCAAAACTGTGGATCAGTATTTTTGGGGAGGTTTGTCTCAACTTTTTTCCGGAAGTTCCTCAGCACATCGCCTTAGGCGATTTCTTGTTTTTATTTACATATTTCAGCCAAGCCCGAGTTAGTTCCTGTTGGTGTGCAATACATCTATAATACAGTTGTTGAAGAACTCATGAAAAATCCGGAGAGAAGGTTTTCATTTGCTGAAACTGGATTTTTGTGGAGATGGTGGACAACCACTACAGATAAAAACAGAGAAAAGTTCAAATATTTGATACAAACTGGACAAATTGAGATGATCGGTGGTGGATGGGTACAGAATGATGAGGCTACTTCTCATTATGTTGATATTCTTGATCAAATGACATTAGGATTATATGTGAGTCAAGTTGTAAAAGAATAAAAGAATAGAAGTCAAATAAGGATTTTTTTAAGAGATTGAGCCACACTTTCGGCAAATGCGGTAAACCAGTAACTGGGTGGCAGATCGACCCATTCGGACATTCTCGAGAAATGGCTAATATTTATGCGCAGGTATTCAGTTTCAGATTTCCACGTCATTTTGTTTTTGATCCAGATGAATTACACATCTCTTTACTTCGCGCGTATTCACTATCTCGAAAAGGAGGTGAGATTGAAAAATAAAACTTTGGAATTCAACTGGAAGGCATCGGATGACATTGGTGAGTGGCAACCTAGAGAGAGAGAGAGAAAGAGAGATAAGTTCAAAATCTATTTCAGAATCCGAGATTTTCACTGGCGCATTTTTCAATGACAATTATGGACCACCGGAGGGTTTTTGCTGGGATTCTCTATGTGGTGATGATCCAATCATGGATAATGAAGAACTGGAGGAATATAATGTGAAAGAGAAAGTTGATGATTTTGTAGCGCATGTCAAGAAACAAGTAAGGACCATTGCGAATTTCGGAGTGAAAATTGATTTTTCAGGCTGCTCATCAAGCCACAAACCAGGTTATGCTTTTGATGGGAAGCGATTTCCAGTACACTAATGCGAATTCATGGTACGTCAATTTGGATAAGCTTATCAAATATGTCAATGCTGATGTGAGTCAAAAATGTATTAAGTCAATTGAAAACAGTATTTTTCAGGAATCCGAGAAAGTCAAAGTTATCTATTCCACCCCAGCTTGTTACACCCAAGCTGTAAAACGTAGATCTCCAAAATTGTCCACCAAAGCTGACGATTTCTTCCCTTACGCATCTGGAAAACATTCCTATTGGACTGGATATTTCACAAGCCGTCCAGCGTTCAAGGGAATGATTCGACAAGCCAGCTCAATGCTGCAATTGGCAAAACAGTTGGAAGCTCTCGCTGATTTGAATCCAAGTATCAATTCTCCAGTGACGCGTCTGAAGGAAGCATGTGGTTTAGTGCAGCATCACGATGCAGTGACGTTAGTTGAATCTGATTTCAGATCTGATTCCAAATTCAAATGTTTATATAACTTTGCAGAGGAACAGCGAAAGAGAATGTAACTCGAGATTATGAAAAACAGTTGGCGCGAGGAATAAGTGGATTAGAGGTGATCTTTTGATTTTTTTCCTTTTTTTAATGAACCATTTTTAAGAATGTTATCAACGACTACATGGATAAACTCCATCCACATGCGCTCAAATCAAATTTGATTCTGTGTCCACTACTGAATGAAACCATCTGTCAGCCAATAAGGTAAGTCGCCAAGTATATTTTTAAAAAGTTTTTGTGCCTATTACAGTAATTCCGATGAATTTGCTGTAGTGATATTCAACTCTCACGCTAGATATTATAACTTCACAGTTCGAATTCCGTACAAACATGAATCAGCGGTAGTTAAGAATTCCAAAAAAGAAGTCATAAAAAGTCAGGTAATATTTTATTGTTCGAAAGTGGGGGTCATTACAAAAGTCTCTTAAAATTCGTTTATATACGCCCCTCGAGGAGTTTCGCTTGCCGTAAAATTTGTAATAGAAGGGTTTCTATACTGCCCAATTCGAGCTAATTTTTTCAGCTTGTATTCAAGGTATCAATAATGTATCAACTGATAAAATGTTTGTGATATTATAATAAACAGTTTAGTAGTTGATAACTTCTTATATCTTCAACAGAAACCAAGATGAATCGGTTGAAAATTTAAGGTTGTTGCTCTCTTCATTCACAGGTTTCACGGGATGCACCCAACGCTAGAGGTGGGGCGCCGAGAAAAAACTCTAAGACATCTCTTTTCTGACCTCCTTTTATTTCGGAAAAATATATTGTTCCAGGTTGCTGAAACATTCAAAGTGGCTCAACTGAATTCTACAGACCAGTTGCCATACGAAATCCATGCCTTTGTTTCAATTCCACCATTAGGATACTCTACAGTTTTTGTCTCTAAGGGAGAGAGAAAAGTTCGGAAAGTTAGGAAGAATCCAAGTGGAAATACAACAATTACAAACGAGCATCTGATTGCAACATTCGACAACAGAGGATATCTAACATCCCTTCAGAATAGGAAAACTGGTCTTTTGAAAAGTATTCGTCAGGAATTTTTCTTCTATGAAGGAATTGATTCAAAAGATGACCAACCATCGGGAGCTTACATCTTCCGACCAAAATCTCAGCAGCCAATTGCATTCGATTCGAAAATTGAGCTGGAAGTTGTGAAGGGCTCTGTGACCAACGAAGTACGTCAGAAAATTAATCCATACGTTTCACAAATTGTTCGTCTTCCAAAAAACAAAAACTATGTTGAATTTGAATGGATCGTTGGGCCAATTCCTAAAGAGTTCAAAAATCCTGTAACAAAAGAGTTTGTTACGAGATACACAACGGAGATCAATTCTAAGAGTGTGTCGTATACCGATTCTAATGGACGTCAGGTTATGAAAAGATAGTATGTTCGAAAAAAAATTTCTGTAATAATCATTGCTTTTCTCTTTTAGTTTCGATGGAGCCACTTCTTTTGATTATGATGACACTGAACCAGTTGCCGGAAACTACTATCCAATCACTAGTTTTGGATATATCAAGGATGATAAAAATCAGTTCAGTGTGATCACCGATAGAGCTCAAGGGATGATGGCTAACGAGGGAGTTGTAGAGATCATGCTGCATCGCCGTTGCTTCTATGATGATCATTTTGGAGTTGAGGAAGCTTTGGATGAACCTGGAAAAGATGGTCGTGGTCTGGTAGCAAAAGGAAAGCATATTGTTCTGTTCACGGATCTGGAGGTTTTCGTATTTTTGATGATTCTTGATAAATCTGAAACTTCAGGAATCAGCCGCTCAACTCCGTCCACTTGTCGCTGAAAATTTCCATCAGCCAGTGTTGGCGTTCTATAACAACTCCAATCTAGAGAAGTTCGAATTCAATAGACAACTAGAGTCACCTGAACGTATTCACGAGTTTCCTCCATGGCTCAATTTTCTTACTATCGAGATGCTAGAAAATCGTGTGGACGGTAAAAACAATGTACTGCTTCGGTTTGAACACATTTATCACAATGATAGCGCCAAAGCTGCAAAATACGCGGTGCCTCAAATACTAGACTTGGATGTAAGTTAGCATTCAATTCTCAAAAAAATTTAAATATTTTCAGAATTTATTCAAAAGCTTCAAACTTGATTTTCTGGAAAAAATGACATTGGGAGGAAATAAGAAACTGTTGGAAACTGGCAAAAATCGTTTCATTCGCAAAAAAGGAAATGTTTATGAGCTTCATCCATCTGAAATTCTCACGTTGATGTATGTCCCGAATGATTTTTAAAAGGTTTCATCAAATTTTTTGATGTTTTTTATTCGTACATATTATATTATTAACTGAGAATCGCCATTTGAAATAAATCATTTTTCGAAAAAAAAACGGCCCTCGATTCATGGGCCTGCTGTAAAACTGTGAAAGGGATGAACCAGAATTTGAGAAATAACATAAAACTGACAGTGAATCCAACCCGAGGTAGATTCACGAATCAATAAAACCTGATGAACAGCTGAAGAGAGAAGAAAAAAGAGGAAGATGGATACCCATAAATTGTGGCGTAACGTTTTTTGGTCTGAGTGGGAGGATGAGCAAAAAATGACGGAGAAAACAAGAGAATTGGGCACAAAGAGAAGACCGGGATGGTACAGACTATCACTAACGGAAAATTGATGACTAGAGGAAAAAATTAGAAAAATCGAATGATTGCAATGATGATAAGTGACGTGAGAGCAGATACAGTTGAAGATCCATCAGGTTGACTTCCTTGTTCGGTGACAATGACCGAAGGCCCTTTTGGATTCGTGGAGAGGTCTGTAAACGGAAGTTGTAAATTGTGCTTTCCCCGATATTTCTGTTCAGACATTTTATGACACACTGAGAATTAAATTCTTCAAAATATAATATTCATAACCCCTTCTATTCAACCTTCGATCAAAAAAAAACTTACCAATATTCTTTGGATGATCCTCTTGAATAACAGCCTTCACCGGATTCCTGTCAATGATGATTGGCGGCATTCCTGATCCTGATCCCTCAAAACCATCCGAGTCTTCGTCATCCCACAATGGACTTGCCGATCCTTCGACAGCGATTTTCTTCTCATTCTTCTTCTCGATCCAATCCATCTGCAATTAACCAATACAAAATAAGTCATTAAATCAACTGGCCACCCAATGAATTCCATGTATATATCACATCGCGACCTCATTAAAAAAAGTGTTTTTCACTCTCCCTCTACTTCTTCACGACGAACTGATGGCGCTGACAGATCTTTATCTCTACGAAGCGCCAAGTGTTTCTCAAGTGTCAGAATCAGCCTTTTTTCTCAAAATAACCAAAAAAGGGGAAAGAAATGTGCCATCCGAAATTACTAGTTTCGTCCGTGTCACCTTGGCATGGGAAGCAGTGGAAAAAAGAGCTTAAGTGTGTCAAGTGATCCCTCTTCTCCTAATGATGGATGGAGAAGGGTACCCATTTCGAAAAGGAGGCCTTTTCTCTCTCTCCACAAAAATATTTTGGTGGCACTGAGTCAATGTTTGCACTCTTCTCAATTGAGGTCCTCTCCCTATGGCTGGAAGCAATGAATAATTGCCTCAAATTGTTTCTGTGGGTCCGTAAATGTCAAGAATGTTACAAAAAGGTTAAAACAATGCATTCGTTTTCCACAGTGTAACTATTGGTAATCCTTCTGCACTTTTCATAAGCACCAAAATAAAAAATGGGCAAAAAAAAAGAGCAAGGGATTCCTTGAGACGGTGGCGCGCTTCTCATAAATTATAAACAACTATACGTTTATATATGAGACCACCACACTCATTTTTCTTTTCCCTTGTTCCTTAGAGCCTTTCCTTTGATTCTTTATTTTTTCTTTAAATGGGCGCCACGAGCACACAGCAATTATTTGTGCCCTCTTCTGGTTTGCTCCAAACTTGTTCTGTTTTTTGTTTGGCGGTGAATGTTCAAAGAAAAAAGGGACGCATTAAAATGGTTCCTTAAAGTCAGTTTCTCTTGAAAAAAAGAGGAGAAGGGCGGAACAATACTGGAGATGGGCAGATGAGAGGAGATGGGAACCGAATGGGGGGAAGGATAAAACTAATTTATAACCGAAATGGGCAAGAAAACAAAGAACACGTTGGTTCTTGTCTTTTTTCGACTTTTTGCTGAGAGAGAAGGGATAAGAAATGCAAATGGATGTGTTTGGAACAAACCGTTTGTTTGGAACAAACCCATGCACTTCAAACCAGTAAATCCTACTGTATGAATAACAGAATGTAACAGTTCAAAAAAATGCTCAGTCCTGAATGACTATTTGAATTATGAAAAACAATTTGAATTATGAAAAATTTGTCTAAATTTTAAAAGTCTCTCTGACACTGCGTATTAGGTATTTACCGCATTTCCCCTGTGAAAAGACCACCCAAACCGTCAACTTTGAGCTCAATTATCTCGATTCCTGTGGAAGATATCATAAAGTGGCAAAATATTTTCGAAATTCTCATCAGTATTTTGTTAATTGATAACTTTTTTATATCTCTTACAGGAAAAGAGATATATAAGCTTAAAGTTGACAGTTCGGCTAATTTATTAGATGAAATACGGTAGGTACTTTTCGATAGGTTGATTGACTAGAAAAGTATGGTACATCTGGTTTTAAAAATCTTCAAAAAGTGTAAATCGCTTTTTATCGAAACTATAACTTTTTTTTGGTTTCTCAATTCTCAAGTATTATTGGATTACTATTCCTCTTTTTTTTGCCGAAAATCCGGCAAATTAAATATTCAATGGTAAACGGGCCCTTTTTTGCATGACCAATCCCAGAATTAATATCCGATTTCGCAATTTCCGGTCATCCTTCCTCCCCTTTTTTCTCGCTTTTCTCATCCCACCCGTTTATCCACCCTCCGCTACACGGAGATGTACAAAATCATCATTCAACTTCTGACACATTGTCTTTGTACATAGAAGCACTCGTTTCACTACGAATTATCAAGCTCTTTCTCAAATGGAGGGAAGTACATAAAAGAGTTTTCCTAGTGAAGAAGTGCCGTCACCCGTCGCGGTGGGTCCAAACGATACTCTGGGGGATTTTGGGTGGTGACCAGTCTTGTGTGTGTTGTCTACTTCTTAAGATGGTGGTGACTCTTAGGACGCACCCAAAAAAACTAAAAAAGAGTTGACCATTCCAGAAATCGTAAAAATGGCTTGGGCGTTGACAACTTGGCACCCACACTTTCATGTGTCTCACAAAAAACGGCTCAAACATTTCTGCCGCCTCTTTTTATGTTCCTTGAGTCAATCAGACGCTCTTTTGTGTCATCCTCCAAATGCAACAGAAGAGTATTTGTAAGAAAGATGTCGAAAAAAAAATAAAGAATCAATCTCCTGCTGTCTCGGTTGACAAATCACACAGCCCTACTACCTATCTCAGACATTCACCAATTGTTTCTCTCCCTGTGTTTTTTTTTCACTCCACACCCCATTATCATATGAGAAAATGGGAAATGTTCAAGGTGAGACAAGGAGGAACGATGGGGAAAAAGATGGCTTTCCTTTTGACAAGAACCAAAAAAATCTTTTTGCGCTGCGATATGATTCTAAAGGCCCCAAGGGCAGCCTCGCTACGGGAGCCACCCATTTATCAAATTCGAGTTGTTTTACAAATGGATCCGCGCTTTTTAGCCTTCACCTCAACGCTTTTTGCTTTCTTCATATGTGCAAATATGAAAAGCTCATGGAACCGTTTGGTGCCTTATTGAACATACATTAAGCAGAAGGTGTAAAACAAACAGTACTAATTACTAGGCTCCTATTCAGTGGGAAATAGTAATCAACCTCTTTTAATAGAATAAGCCGTTTACACAGAATCCCTACTTCATAGAATTTTTCAGAAGATGCACTTTACAAAATTGAAAAAAGAGGGCAGAGTGCAATAGTCGGATAGATGGCTCTCAAAACAAAAATCCATTTAACAAAACCTCTGTTACCTCTTGGTCTCCTGTATTACACAAAAAAGTATGAAGGTTTTAAAAATAGGTTTAAAAGTTCTAAAAGATTAAAAATTCGACTCACCATTGGCCTTGGTCGTACATCTTTGGTTATCGGCAACAGTTCGTGTTCAACTCTGTAATTTTTGGCACTGGCCATTGCTAATCCATTAAAAAGTAAACATGGCGCTAGAATAATCAGTAGGGAGTGCATGGTGAAGGCCCTTTTCTTCGTTTCCGAGACCGCGACTGAACATACCCGACCGCGTCGTCGTTGGTCTTCAACTCTCCCTCTTTCCCCGGCGTCGCCCCGCCCACTTTTTCCCTCAATTCTTTTTCGACAGGCATGAGCCATTGTCTGAGTCTAGTATGTTTTATACACTATTTCGGAAACTACGGGTGCTGGATGGACATGCAAATTTTTTTTCTGACCGACACGAAAAAAATGATAACACTGATAGGAATGAAAGGTTACTTTGAATGACATCTTCGGGACAAGGAATGAAAGTGAGAGTCATTAATTAACTGGAACTGCCAAATATGTATGCTCTTATGAATACTCTCGGTTTCCCGAACTCTATAGAAAAGCGTCCCACGTAATTATCTTTTCTCATCCTTCTCTTTTCAAATTCTTTCTTTTATGACAATGAACAACGTGAGCTGCGTAATGAAATAGTTAATTACGAACCGCCGGCGAAGAACAAAATGTGCTCTTGAGTGACATGCAATGGCTACTTTTGACCCTCATCCTTTCTATAATAAACTTCTAGTACTTGACCATCTCAACCTTGGTATATGTACAAAACCATCGTAAAATGCGCACACCTGATTCATATCTCAAGATTTATGCATATTTATATTTGCCAATTTCTATGGGAACAAAGCATTTTTATTTCCTTGATTACGAGAAATAAACATTGTCATATCTGTTTTGGCAAAAAACTTCTTCAAAAAAAGACGTGTTTGTTTCAAAGAACAAAGAAATCTCAAAAATTCATTGGAATCTTCAAATTTGTGTTTGGTCAGGTCAAATAGAAAAGTTTAAAAAAAATGGAAGTTTGATTCAATAAATCAGATTTATGTTTAAAACGAAACGAATTGAAGAGGAGATTCAACAAAGATTTTTGAAAAATGGAATTTTGAAGGTGGAGAAGAAAATGAGAAACGTTTTTGTAACTCAAAAGTCTCGAAATTGTTCAGGTGTTTCTCTGAATCACTCCAAAATATGACTCTGTTCCGCTAAAACTATTTTATAATCTAATAGAACGTGATATATAGCAATTTGACCCGAATCACAGTAAACAGAATAATCCCATTTCTATTAAAGCAAAAAACGGTATTTCGAGTTCTGTTTTTAAAAAATTCAACAACTCTCAATATACAAAACATTTAAAAATTGACCTTTTTTAATTTTATTTGTATTTTATAACAAGAACCAACATTATTGAGCTCAGAATGGAAGTGACGTTTTACTAGATAACCAGTATGAAATAAGAAAAAAATGATTTGAATTTCAAAAATCTTTCAAAGTTTGAAGAAATTTAATCATTACAATGCTTAAAAATTGATCATTTTTTGTTCAGAAAATTCGTTTTTATAGGAAGTTTTGATTATAAAAAAATAATAGTTTTAATTTGTTGATTTTCGCTATCGATCGGTTCCAGAAGTCATATGCTTCTACTGTCCCACTTTTATTTACTCTATCCGGTAAATGCGCGTCTATTTAAAAGGCGTTCGCCTCTCCCATTACCTAATTATACCATATGTTCACCTGCTCTCATCCCTATTTGCCATGCACTCCCCAATTCCGGCTTTTCAAAAAACACATCACTCACTTGATTACTTTTGTTCCATCGTAGCACATTCCAGGATGTACAACCACACCTGTATGGTCACAGATTTTTCGTCCAAATCGGTCCCACGATTTCGCCGAGAGTTGAAGCTGTAAAAAGTTGGAAAGTTGGAGAGTAAACAATGAGTGATGAGTCCCATTACGTAACGGAAGATGCGCGGGGTACAAAGAGCTTGCCGCCAAAAAACCAACCTCTCTTACTGCACCGTCTGCTCGAGAAACGAACGGTCCTGGAGAGTGAATGCGCGCCACGTGTTTCGATGGATGTATTATCATTTCTCCAAGTGGACCACATGCTTTGTAAACGTATGCAGCATATTCAAATGATTTCCGTTCAATGAACAGTCGAATAACAGAAAATATTGTCTTTCTAAGCTGGAAAAACCAAGAAATATTAATTTTCAACGCCATAAATCAGTATACCGTCAGAAATTCATCCAAAAATGACTTCTTCGTACTTGTCATATTTCTCATCAAGTGTAATTTAGCTGCCCATTCACGAGAATATTTACCGAAACAGGTTTCCATCGAGGTAGCACAAGACGTTCTGTAAAAAAATTTACTGTAAATTGAGGAAATAAAACAACAAAACTTACTGGCATCGTACAATTCCAGAAAGTGTGCAATTGCAGGGCAATGAATGCACATATTGTTTCAGACATTCATCAGTTATAGTCAAAGATTGAGCATTCATAAGTTGCTGATGCATGTCAACCAAAAGAAATTCGACTTTTCGGTAACGGTAAATGGCTTCGGCTATTCTGAAAACTGATTAATAAAATTTAGAAGTGTATGAAAAACTCACGTTACAGCCATTTTGTTCGGAGTGTTTCCAATGTAAACAGACCAGTGTTCGGTACTAGCCGTCATGCAATTCTGATACTCCAGCGGCACCGTTCGACACTTTCCAACTGATAGACACAGGAACATATCAGGAAGGAGACTCGTAAAAAACTTCTGGACAGCAGTAGTCACTTCGTACTTGATCCCACTCAACAAAATATCCTAAATTAGACGACCTCATTCTAAAAGTTATGTGAGTATAAGACTTACATTTTCAGTGCTCAGAATATTTTTGAATGTTTTGATCAGCTCATCAAATGAAGAGGCGTATTCTGTATAGTTCAAGAGTAGTGGATAGGTGGCTTTCGTATCGCGAAGTACAACAAATTGGATGTAGTCGAGGAGGTGTTGTTTTTCACCTGAAATAAAAGATTTCGATTTGTAATATGGGAATTAAGGTTTTTGTTTGATATTCAAGTAAATTCGGATCACGTAATAGTGGAAATTTCTAACTGAAAAATATAATTTGAAGTAAAATTACGCTCATTCTGGGAACTGTTCAACCAATACGTTCAAACACTGCTAATGACAAAAATCGCAACAATTACTGTCTGTATTTGAGAAATATTCTTGGATGTTTCTTCAATTAAAAAAATTAATACGATCCCTCGAATAAAAATCTTTGAAAAGTTATTTGACACCAAATTCTCATTTTTAAAGCATTTCTGTCAACATCACGTGTTTTACGATACGTGAAAATTTAAGCTTGGTTCGGGGGGATCGGGTTTTCCACAGTTGAAAAAAAATCTGAAATTTCAGAACTTTTTCTAAACTTTTTTTTTCTAAACTTAGAACTTTTTCTAAACAAAAAAGCCCGGCTCGGCCCATTGCAGGTATGGCTGTGACTCAAGGAAACAATAACTTATTAATCAGAATAAACATTGATTTTATTTTCTTACCAAAGTGAACCTGACACCGTAAAATCTTGTAAAGTAAGAAAACTCACTTGTGATAAAAGCGATTGCATCACGAAAGGGCTCTACTAACCGCACTTGCATATTCTTGACTTCAACTGTCAATGTGTAGTTGCCCTTCTCCAGAAGATCCTTGTCGTTGCAGTCGCATGTGTACTCATCCTGAAAATTTACTCAAAATTCAAATATTTGTATATCATAGTCCCTTACTGCGCACTAGGGTCATTGTTTTTTTTTCTAATATTAAGTTTCTCTTGATCTGTGACGCTTCAAATATTTTCTGATTTATAATTGTTCTGAATCACACCCAGTCAACGTGAACTAGTGTCACTTTCATTTTTGGCTGCTAGTAAATCAAATCGGTTTTTCTCGCTATTTCTCGCCTCGTTTCTGATACCGTGGTTGCCGTTAATTATCACAGTCATTTTTCACAAATAGTCGTTATCAATCAAGTCGCGGAAGCAATAGGAAAAAAAGCCGGCATGTGTAATTGAGATTTATGACTCTACGAAAATGGGTTGACATGTCAACGATTTATGTTCATTCCATAAGTATCATCCCTATCTGTCTACAGTCTCCACATTATTTTACGTCTTTTTTCCAACACTGATTTCCGGCGGAATAGGAAAAAAGATGTCTTCTCAAACCTCCCCTCCCATCCCAATTGAATTCAAAGTTGACACACAACAAGTGAAAATGATGACTCAACAGATAGAAAGCGGTCCCTCCCCACCTAGCCTAGATAAACTTTGTTGATAAATTGCAGTCATTAGCTGACATAGATTTATCTATATTTTATTTTCCTACATGTGTCGAAAAAGCCTCGGGGAGGCACACGAGAGAAAAAAAATACTAGGAAGATAAATAAAACTCACTGTGGGTTCTTCTAAAGCTGTGGAGTTGGTCAGAGTGTCAACGATGACAACTTCTTCCGAGAGTGGTAATGCGGTCCGAAATAGGAACACCAGAAGAATGAGCCATCGGAAGTTCATGCTGAAACTTCAATTTGGAATATGTAGAGATAGCAATAGAAAACCATATTCGCAAATTTTCAAAGATATCGTAAGAAGAAAAATATTCACAGAAGAGGTGTATGGAGAAAAAAAGTGTTTAGTCGACAAATAGAGTTATCAGTAGGTATGGAGCACAAGTTATGTCATAGTCTGTATCTGTCTTCTCCCCCACCAACACTCCATCACTTGTCACTGAACAACTGATTGCAAGTGTGGAATCGTAGAAAAAACGGGGGGCTCTCAGAAGTGGGCGGTCCTAATTTTTTGGAAGATGTAGGAATCCAAGGGAAAGACCCCCAACGGCGGTGCGGATGAAGGAGAGAGAGACAGAGAACAGAACGTGACACATACTGTCCGTTTTTTGTATGAGAAGGAGAAGGTGGGGAAGGTTCTGAAGAAGGGTGGAAGAAAAAAGTGAAATCTCGAAACTTATGGGAAAATTCATTTTTGCTTGTAGACTTGCATTGCTTCATACATTGCTTTGCTAATAAAATAGTTTATTTTCAGCCTAAGCACAATCTTAGATAAGGAATTGTGGAATTCAATTAAACGTTTTTAGTATTTCAGACCTGGAATCTAACTGTACACATTTTGCCGCCAGGAGAAACGACGGAGAGGTCTATTTTAATAATGAATTTTTTTAAAAACGTGAATTATTTTTTAAACATGCACACAGCTGGCGGATGAACAGCGGGTGGAAAGAGATTGATCGTTGTGGAAAGGACAGACAAAGTGTGGAAAAACGAGAAATTTTTTCTCACTACTCATCGAACACGAGACTCCTGTGCTAACTCTCTTTTTTCTCAGTTCGAAAATATTTGAAATCTTGATTGTCATACGACTGAACTCAAGTCTTAGCACCGGAAGTGAACGACAAAAGGTTCTCAGGCGCCGAAAAATAAGTTTTGTGAGAGAGCGGAACTTCATTCGAAGTTCATTAGAAGTTCTAAAGTGCCGTTGGGTAAAAATCATACTTGTTTTATATCGTCAGTTTTTTTTGTGTGTGGAAAACCCCCCGATTCATTTCAGAGAAGTGAAATTTGAATTTTTCTGTATAGAACACTTAAACTACGGTACTAACGAAGCTCCTACGTGAACTGTGTATATTCAAAATTCTTCTAATATTTGCCAGCAACGTATACTTCAGGTTAAGGCCAGTATGACTTTAAAACAGTTAGATCTATATTTCTACCAGTAAACTTAGTAACAAATCAATTCGAAAAAAAGTTTTCCATACAGAACATGATTAATATGGATGACACAGCACAGGTATTGATAAAAAAGGAGGCAACTGGCCAAAAATTGTTTGGGGTTGACAGTAAGCAAAAATACAACAGAACTGTCTGGTCATCAAAACGGGTACACATACACAGAATGTTTTCTCAACCTTCACCTGATCCGGGGGCAAATTTACGAGCGGGACATTGTAAAACAGAAGACGTTCTCCACATTCCTTGACACACGCAAACAGACTGGGCTCTCATTTATGACTAGCAGACAGGGAGAATGACGAGGTGAACCGGGACTGTACACTGTACGCGGTGGGATCAAAGAAACCCCGGGGGACCATCGATTGGGGGTATTGTTTGCGGATGGGTTACTAGACATTCAAACTCTCTGGGTAGCCCACTCTTGAGTAACTGCTAATCCGCTTTCTTCAAAACCTATCATTTCCTATTATAAGGAGTTTGAGTAAATGAAACTACAAAAGTTATGAAACACGAGAAAAGTTATGATTCCAAACCCGTGTAACTCAAATTAAATGACAGTTCCATCATAAAAGAAAACCATGTATGGATATTGTAGATTAGGATGAAAACAGAATCGCTCTGTGCTGACACGTTTTGTGTGGTTCGCCCAAATGAACGACGTGCGAAGTTGCACAATTCTCACCGATTAGATCTTTGGGACGATTATGAACGATTATATAAACAGTATTCAGGCCACAATATGATCAGAAAAAGTATTGGGTGACAACCTCGCTAGTAGGGGCCCTTTAACAATGCAGAAAAATCAGATGGGTTCCATTGGGGATTAATATAATACTATTGTCATAAATCAATGCAAATCGAGAGCGGAAGAGCGAACTATCGCATTTTTTAGCTTATTTTAAATATTTTCTCGTTTTCCTTCAGTTTTTGACAAGTTTCTCGTTTATTTCACTCACGTAAATTTTGAAAAAATTAATTAAAATCAAGGAAATCGTAGGAAAAACTATGAATATCGTTAGAAAACTGAGAAATAATAAATAAAATATGAAATAGGCCCAAGAATACGGTAGTTCACTCTTGAGTCTTATATAACAAGCAATGTAATATCCGCTCGCAACGTGCGTTTATTTCGGACAAAAGGAATACATTGGTAAGGTGAAACAATATAGTTTGAACTGTGATTCTACAAAACGGAAGTTAGTGTGGGATATTTAAAAAATCACAAAAATCCAATATTTGAAAAAATTACTTCCAAAATTCTAGACCGATGAGAAAATGTAACAGTAACCGAACTGGCAAAACAACAGGTACTGAGTGAGGTTCCCATGAGGAAGATTGATGGTCCAGATAGTCCACTCCTTCTTAGAAGCCGACACACAGTCGGATTGACCCCACCGCAGTAGCACAGATGTTTTCCATCGTTTGAGGGAGATTATCGTCTCACCAAGGTATTGTCTCTCTCCTTCTGTCTCTATTTAGGGTAATTAAGGTTGCGCTTGGTTTTGAACGGTTTGGGTTGTTGACAAGCGAGAAGAGATAATTTGGCTGTTTTGGGAATTGTTGAGCGGGAACCAGAATATTCAGAAATCGCTGTACAATTTTTGAAGGAGAACGTTTTCGAAAAAAGAAAATCTGTAAACCAATAAACGTCATTTTGGGCTCTAAAAATTTTTAATTCGAAATAATCTTACCTGGAAAAACTGTTCAATTGATATACATAGAATAAACCTTATCTAATAGGCCAAAAAAATATTTATCAAGAAAAAACTGTGGGTAGATTTGTGACCGATGGTCTCACAAACAATAACAATAAATTTGATGTATCAAAAATTTAAAACTCAAAACAACCTCACCATAATAACTGTGAATCTCCGCCTTCAGTGTATAGGCAATTGGAAACGCATTAGAGAAAAAAAATAATTGGGCTGAGTTTGAAAAGATACAGCTGCAAAACCGCATTTTATGTATTATGTGTGTCATCAATCATTCTCTATTATGTTTGAGAAAAAATTGGCCTCAGAAACATCTGGAAAATTTATTGACGAGAGTTCAGAATGATTTTCGAATGAATCTGCCTGGATAGTGAATGTTGGAAACCAAACAATAAAAATAATCGGATTGCGAACTCTTGAAAAATTTCAACACTGAACCCACATTAATTAATTGGAAGTATTATGCGGGTAGAAAACAATTGCAGACAGCTGTTCAAGAAAGAACGCCGGTGACCATGGCCGAAGATGCCACAACGACAATTACCGTAACTTGAGAATATTTCGATTTTCGGAACCCATTTTCTTGATTCTCGTGCATTTTCAGCCGACGCTTTACCTAATAACACACTTGCAAAATTACGGGCCGGGCCGGGCCGATGAAGTGCCGGCCCGCTGTTTGTACATAAGCTTACTTTTTTGAATATTTTTTCGAAAATTTAATCAAAACTCTATATTTTTTGACAACTTTCAACTTTGATATAATTTTAAAAAGTATGTAACTTTTTTTCTTTTTTAATTCAAAAAAATTTCCCAATTTTTCATTGGAAATTCTTTTTACTGAGAAAGGGCGGGCCGGCGGGCCGGGCTGGGCCGGGAACATTGACGCTTCAGCCCGGCCCGGCCATCTTCAATTTTCACTCACTAGCTTAATTATTGGCTCATTTTTTGCGGAATAAGTTATTCTGCCTCAATTTTTTGATTTGGCTATTGTTTTTTTACTATGAAAGTTAATTTTTCCAAGTTAGTTGTTTGAATTTTTTAAATGTATATTGTTTGAAATGAATCGTCAACAATTTTTCTCTGGAAAAAATACTCGCGGAAACGCTTCTTCGATGGCGGCGAAAAACAGCTCTAGGCCTAGGCAAGCACCAAAAAAGCCTGCTGTCGTTCGAATGAGGAGCTTCGGGAGATTCAAGCTAAAGCAAAGGAGATTAGAGAGCAAGCTGAACAAGAGCTCAAACAGCTTAAGCTCAGTGGGTTCCGGGACGCGATCGATCGGAGCACTCATCTGCTAAAAATCGTGCCATCCAATCCAGGAGATTCTAAGAAGGAGCGTGAGGTGAGTTTTTTGTTCGAAGAAAAATATTACCCTAGCCGTCAGAAAGTCGATTATCCTCGTCAGAATAAAAAAAAAACTGATTTTATAATCAAAGTTTGTACCTGAATTTTTTTCTTGCAATCAGGCAGTCTAAAAAATATTTAGTGTTTTCAGTACCCCATCAATCTGAAATGCTTGCTATGCAGTCAGGATTTTGAAAGAATTATGGACGAGAAGCCAACGGATCAGCTTACCAATCATATGATTTTCGGGCACGGTACGGATGAATAGAAAGAGGTTTATCGAGACATCAAGGTCCCATCCATCCGTCTCACTGACTTAATTGAAAAATCAGTCAAAATTTTTGCCAAACAGTCGGTTGTGAAAATGTAAGTGAAGTCGTAAACGAAAAAAACCATTTTTCATTTGAATTTTACAGCCAATTCACAGGCGAACGAAGTGAGGCTCTACGTGTTCCGGTGGACAGTCCAGCGTTCGAATATTTGGATTTGTTTGGATGTGAGCTCAGATTTGACAGAGTGCCACAATCGAGTCGATATTGGTTCGAATGCGGGCCACTGGTAAGTTCTTATTCTGTGCTTTGACAAACACAAAGTTTTTTTCAGGATAGAAATGGAGCGGACGTTGATATCTTCATAGACTTTAGCCCATATATTAAAACACAGAATTACCGTAGTGAGGAACCAGTCATGAAAAGGTATACTTTACAAATATTATTATGGAAGAAAGTTCATAATTCTCTTTTTGTTACAGACTCATTGCGTGGAACTATGGAGAAAGAGAATTTGTAAAATGCGAATACTTTGCGTTAGCGGAAAAGGAAAGACAGAAGATTGCTGAGACATTAAAAATCCGGGAGAGCTTCGACGAATTGTGGGCAGTTTTAGAAACGCACAAAGTGAACGTAGACTACCAATTAATAAAAAAGGAACGGAAGGAATCAAAACAAACTAAAACGGAGGCATCACAAACAACTTCTACCGAATAAACATATTTTCTGAATATAAATTCCTTTCTTTGTTGTCAGTTGTGCAAGCTCCATTTGTACCCCGTTTAAATGCACATTTCTTTCTGAAACCGTATCCAACAGATCAATGATTCATTTTTTTCTATAAACTTTGCAAATTCAGGTTTTCTGGTTCTCTCTAAACACCAGATATTTATTGAAGGACTTCGACAGAAAAAAATTACAAGCGGAGAAGTGATTTGATTTCAGCTATTTACAAGTGATATACATAAACCGGTGAATGAGATATCAGCACAACAAGGTACTTTTCAGTTGATTGTTCGGCCATTTTGACTCTTTTCGGGAGTCTGAAGCTCGAATCTCAAGTTTCCGATCATTTAAAAAAATTTTGGAATTTTGAGCAAATATTTGGAAAACTTGAAATCTTTGAAAATTTGCGGGAATTACAATTTCTCAATTTAGTTCTGTTTCACAGCTTCCACAACTCTCAGTGAATGGAAACTGGAGTGCCGAGCTCCAACCACTGAAAGTGGTCGATGTGACCAAAAATGATCTTCAAAATACGTTGTTGTTTACCTTATTCATCGAACTTGTACATAAAAAACTGAAAATGAAAGGAAGAGTAGAGTGGTGTTTAATGAAAACTGATGAGCAGATGGAGATTAAATATGCGTTGAGTTCCTGAAATTTTTTAACGTAATTCTTCAGGTAATAAGAAAATAAAGAAAATCATTAACCTCTAGAACCATTTGTCTACTCCTCATTATTCTTCTCGTTACCAACAACCTTTTCTTCCTCCTTCTCTCCGATTTCCTCTCCGCTCTCCTCTCCATCCTGTGATTCAACGTCTCCCTCGGCTCCAGAATCACCGAGGTCCTCGTCGTTAAGCTCGGCAAGACGAGCCCAGTAATCCTCATTAATTTCGTCGTTGCGATCGAGAATCCATAAGTCGGAGACAAAATCCTCAATTGAACCTCTATGAGAGGATGGTTTGACCAATCCATCAACCACATCGATATCGAATACTCCCTGTTGTTGTATGATGTAATCGACGATTCCTCCAACGAATTCTCCATCGGTACCAAAGTTGTCGTCAACGCTGGAGAAACCGTTGTCCGAATAGAAGCCCCTCTCGCTTCCAGACGAAGAAGAGAAAATGATAGATCCATCCGACGCAGAGTATCCGCGATCCGAGAAGATGAATTCGTCCCAGCGGGCACGAGCGTTTTCGATGCGAAGGCGTTCGCGCATAACCTCCTGGCCGTCTCGATAATTCATATTTCCTTCTTGGCGAATTCACCTGAAAATGTGGAATATGTCAATGACGACCAATCGGAAGGTTTTGTTCATTTAGAAGAAAACGAATTATATGTTCAATAAAACTTACCTATTATATTCTAGATTCAGATTTAGTTTCAGATTCTTATAGATTCTTATAGTTTTTCATGCCCATGATTTTTCATGGAGTGACACAAAAGCAATTACAGATCAATGACAAACAGTCCTAAATAAAGCAATTACAAAATGAGTGGGATTTTTGAAATCTCAGCCTGTGGAAAATCAGAAGAAAAAAGGGGTTATGAGAACGATCATTGCAGAAACATAAAATCTGTCGGTTGAAAAAAGTTGTATTCGAATCTGTATTGATTTCTGGAATATCTGCATGACTTATGACTCATTCACGGATTTATTTCCTTCGAAAAATGCCATGTCATAAAATAGTTAATTTATTTTCTTTACTGTTGGTTTTTCAAAAAATGACTGTAAAAATCCGACTAATGGTTGTGTGAAAAAAAATAGAAAAATGTTCAGATCGATACAAATTTTGCATCAATATATAGAAATATACGCATATGATGAGAAAATGAGCGAAGATCCCAATTTTTTCCAGCAAAGTTAGAACATTTGAAGATTAGAAATGAGGGATGAATATTTTCTAGAATTTGATTGAATTGAAAAAGTGAATAATCAGTAAATGTCTTTCGATTGTTTTTCACACACTGTTTTGCTAGCTAGTCGACATTTTGAAATGTCTAAACAGATTCTTGATGATTCATCGAAAAAATCAGAAAAATAAGACTATCGATGGAGCGCCGTTGTTACAAGGAACATATGCTATTCATGTGATTCTTCAAAGAATATTCACTTACAGAAAAATTTTCAATATGGTAAGATAAGATTATTTAGTAAAAATGAGAAAATATTTGAATCTGAAGAATCCGCACAGATAAACTATGAAGGGAACAAATCCGTTTCCCAGTTCCAGCCGATTGATATCAGTTTCAGAACCAATACTCATGTTTTCAGTGCAAATACAACAATTTTCAAAGATAATGGATGTCATTCCGTTTTTTCAAATAAGGGAAGTTTCCCAAAGGAAAAAAAACTGCCAGACCATATTTGATCTACCATTAAAATTTTCGAATTGTTATGTCTAAAGAACTAAAGAAAACTAACAAGGGAGGTGTTTTTAGACAGTGTTTGAGAATATCTTGAAAATTGGTTCGCATATACTTTCGGACATGGTAAATAACGAGACAACTTTTTTTCGTGCCCCTCGGTACCTAGAAGCTGAAAATTTGCGTCTGAAATTTCACCCCATTTTCAAGTCATTCAACACGCGACTTCTCCCTTTTTCTTATACGCATTGGGGAAGCGTTAAGAACAGCGAGGTGTGGTGTAGCGGCGAGCGCAAAAATCTATTTTCTGGTACATATTAGTTTTTCATAAAGTTTTAAAGTTTTAAATTTGAAGAAGTTTTAGACGTATGAGTTTTAACAAAACAAAAAAAAAGTTTTGGCCGAGAGAGGGATTGAACCCAACCCTTGTCAGACATTGTTCCTCCCTCCTCGCCGCTACACCACACCTCGCTGTTCTTAACGCTTCCCCAATGCGTATAAGAAAAAGGGAGAAGTCGCGTGTTGAATGACTTGAAAATGGGGTGAAATTTCAGACGCAAATTTTCAGCTTCTAGGTACCGAGGGGCACGAAAAAAAGTTGTCTCGTTATTTACCATGTCCGAAAGTATATGTGTACCAATTTTCAAGAAATTCTCAAACACTGTCTGAAAACACCTCCCTTGTAAGAAACTTTAAATAGTTTTATTAAAGTAAGGAGCGAAGTGACAAACACGCGCCATAAGCGCGCCAGCCAGCTGTTTGAAGCGCCGGAGGCTCGGCAAACAAGCTGGTAACACAAATCGATAAAAATGCAAAAATTAGAAAACAATCTTGATCAATATCTAAAATATGAAATCCTGTTGAATTCTAACACTAGCAGAATAACTTTCATGTTTTGATCACGCGATTTTTGGAACTGAAACTGATATATTTAGGCTGAAACTGGTGAGGGGATTCTAAGACTTTCAAAAGTGTCTAGATAAGTTATTCCTAAACTTTTCTCAAATTTTTATCAAAATCTGGATTTACAAGGTTGCAGTTCCCTTAAAATAAAAATGAGGGATGAATTATTTTGGGATTCGATTGAATTGAAAAATTAAACAAGCTGTGGATGAGTTTTTACTGTTTTTCACAAACTGTTTTGCCAGCTAGTCGACATTTTGAAATTTCTCAACAGACTCTTGATGAGTCATCAAAAATATCCCGAAAAAAATATATCGTTGGAGCGCGGTTGTTACAAGGAACATATCGTAATCATGTGATTTTGCAAGGACTATTCATTCACAGTCAAAAAAACTGTCAATAGGGAAGCATTGGATCATTTGATATTTGTAAGAAAACACTAGAATCCGAAAAATATTTTAGAAATTTTCTTTCCGGCCAATTTAATATTATAGTTCCAATGCTAGTTCAAACCACATTTTCTTCTAAATACCACTAGATTCTGCCCAAACCCTTCAAACGTAGTCCGTTTCTTCCCATTCTCCAGCTCTACTGTCATTTTTTTTTCATGTTCCAATTCAAAAAGTTGTACTTTCATAACAATCACATCATCAATCGAATGCCGCCATTAACAACCGCGATGACAAACAAAGGCGAGCACGTTTTGTAGCCACGCCCCTTATCGTAGCCACGCCCCTTTTACTGACCACTATCAGCCCTATATAAGCCATGGCTTAAGTGCATATTTCATATCATTTAGCTCCTACTTTCTAGTATTCCTATTCCGAACTTCCTCCCTCCGAGTAGAGTTCAGACCCTGGTGACCTACAGCAGTAGCATGAGGTGACTAGAGTGCTGAGCTCTCCTTGGTTCAGAGGCATCATATTCATGCTATAAATTTTTTCAGATTTTTATAAATGATCAAAGTAGATATGATTCAAAACGACTGGGGACAGTATGAAAATTACGCAACTGTAGTTTTTGAAGTTTCGAGAATTTAACAGAAATATTTTCCTGCTTTTAAAAATCAAAGAGTAAAAAAGTTGCAATTGTTCTAAAGTCTATTTAACATGAATTGAAAGAGAATTGGAAATATATAAAAATGTTTCACATCTCAGCAAAAAAATATATAAAAATGTTTCACATCTCAGCAAAAAAATATAATAAAAACTTCACATAGACGGTTTTTTTTTTTGAAAAAAAAGTTGCACAATGTTTCCCTGCGGCTGATAATCCAAAATTATTCAAAAAAAAAAGATTCTCTCAATAAAAACAAGGAAAAGCAGAAAAGTAAAACATCTATTCTGAACTTATTCAAAATGAAGCCAAATCCGAAGAGAAATACAGTAAGAGCTCGATGTTCTGTCTAGTTGTAATGACACTACTATCTGTAATGACACAATACAAATTCAAACAAAATAGTTTTTCAGCTGGAAACTAAGGAATTAGTAAACCACCGAATTTTCACAAAGGAATCTGGAAAAGAATAATCAAATTCAACAAAATCTATCTCTTTCAGAATCAGGAAATTTTGCAGGGGGATAATTGAAAATTAATCGTAGTTTAATGTCGGAGGATCACTTCTCTATGTAATGAAAAAAATGAAGAAAATGTCAAAATTGTAAAGTCGTTTCACATTTTGGTTTATCCTTCTTCTTTAGTTATTCAGGACATTTTTCTGAATTTTTCCTCCCACGCGATTAATAAGATCTGTTGTTGGGATTACTGTAATTTTTTGTTTTTAGATTTTTCTCTAAGTTGGTTGCCAATCTGGCGAAGGAATGTTTTCCAACAAATTCAAATTTCCCAATGTTTGCCTACTTTTGAATTTGTCGATAGGTTTTCTCAATGATATCATCAAAGGTTCTGTTTAAAAGTGCAAGCCGGTGAATGAAAGAGAAGGAAAAAGAAGGATGGGGTAATAAAATTAATTATCATGAGTCAAAAAAGGATAAAAAGCCTCTTCGTGTGCACACGAAACCAATTCAAATTTGGTCAATGGAACGAAGGGAGAAGGTTGTCAACAGATGGTTGGAAGAAAAAGGAGATCTGAGGGTTCATGGGACTAGAAATCATCCATACTATTGAGACCATAACTGTGGGATAATCGAAAGTAATGAGAATCAGTAAAGGCGCCAATTACCTCTTTTTCAATATTATCAGATCATCGTTGCTCAGGATGAAGAGAATTCTCGTTTTTTTCTAATAAGCGATCTAGATTGTAGTTTCGTGTGAATTAAAAAAGAAGAAAAACGAATTCAAAATTTGGTCTATCAAATCTATGAAAAGGGATTGAAAACCGGTGAGAAGGGAAAATGAGTGTCTTTTTGCTGAGGACTCAAAAAATTTGAAAAGAAAAAGAGCATATCATAATTGTTAGGGTTTGCGATCGGATCGTCGTAAAAGCAAGAAAAAAACCGCCTTGTGCGGTTAATTCCCATAGGCCTTTGATACTTTAATAATTGTTTAAAATAGTTTTTAGCCAGTTTTCCTTTCGAATTTTTGACAATTCTCAACAAAGGTTTGGACTTTTGTATATGTTCACCGGAGGCCGTATTCCAGCGAAAATAAACACTTTATGAGTTCATGACACTTTATAACAGTGACTTATATTTCATTGAGCGTTGAATTCATACAATCGAATTTTCTTTGGTTTTTTCTGCAAATTTCATTTCTGAAAATTTTTCAAAGCAACATTTTCAAACAAAGTTTATTTCAAAATGAGTAACTGTTGTTTTAGGAAATGAGAAAAGCCATGTGGCTCGGACAAAAAAGAATACGATGGATGCCTTTTACAATAAATATAATGACACAAAATACAAAAATTTTCGGTTAGCTTCCATTCAAAAAATACAGTCTGGTTGCGTAAGGCAAGTAGAATTATTAGAGGAAAAAATAAAAATCAAAGTTGAGATAATCGTTGATGAGGTGAAAATAAGGAATTTCAAATTGCACACGGGACAGAGATTCTAAGGAAACATTTCAATGAGAAATACATTATTGATTGGTTATATGATTGTTGGTGCTTCACATATTCTGGGCTGGAGCTGCCATCATATTCTTATGTGCTTGTACGGTGCCAAATGTGAACAGAAAACGGGCAGCAGCGGAGACATCCATTGGCGAAGACACCAAGTTTCGCATATCGACTCCAGCAGTTGTAGTAGGAATGTTAAGAACTCTGGAAGAAAATGTGGTGCTGTACCTACTATTCAAAATTAAATAACATACGGTGATGGAATCCCGTGAGTAGTAGGAAGCGAGAAAACGTTAGCTCGATGCATCTGGAGACAAGTGGCCGGGTCGTCTGTCTGAGCTTGTCTCTTAAACTTGTTTCTTCTATTTTGGAACCAAATTTTGACTTGGGTCTCTGACAAATGCAACTTTTGTGCCAAACTCGACCGTTCCTGGCTGCTCAAATATCGTTTCACATCGAACATCATCTCCAACTGAGACACCTGGCTTCTGCTAAAGACTGTTCTGGTTTTCTTTTTTCTCGCATGATTCGGATCACTAGAGTTTGCCTCATCGTCACTTCCACGGCCCGCTGAAACAAAAAATAAGAAATCTCTTGGAAATCTGAATGTCTTACTGTCATCATCATCCTCTGCATCTGACTCCAATGGGCTGCCTCCAGTGGAATCCCGTGTCTCTCCATTCTGTCCCTCCAACTTTTCATCCTTCTCCTCCCCATTGTCTGATTGACCATTCATGTCTGTAACAACATCACGGAGGTCTAAGTAATTATTTTCATTTCTCGCCAGATTGTGAGACGTATTGCATTGCTATTCTTTTCAGTGACAGCACCCACAATTATAACACATCTTTCTTACACTACTCCCGTTAATTATGTTGATGGAGGGGGATTACCGCTACGCATGTCGGTCAAAACGGTACACTAAATACCTCTAAATGGACGTAATGGTCCTGTTTTGAAAAACAAAAACAAAAGTTGTGCTTTGTCTCGTTAAGCAGATCTGAACATCTCTTGTAGAGTTAATAACAAGAATTGTATAACTTTACGAATATTGACATAGCTAATAATGCGCGTTCAGGCGTGTTTGAAATTTTTGAAAACGCTCATTAAAACGGGCTATTTGTATCGTATAATATATTTTGTATCACAAACAAATTGTTAAAATGCGGCAGCTGATATCAACGTCACCAATGATGTATTCAACTAAATATCTGAAGATCTACCAACTAATTGTCTAGACAAGTCATTCCCTGAAATTTTTAGCGGTCACACCCCGTATCAAAACATTTGAGGACACGCGTAGCTGAGTAGCTACGTATGTTCTCACGTTATTAACTTATAACGCTGATTGGTCACAAACAGTGCACGCGCATCATCCTTTCAAGAAACACCGCGCGTGTGGTGTTACTCAACAAAAGGTAATTAGTCGAGTTCATCTTGATTTTTATCCTGAAGAAACGCACAACAAAAAAGAACACACACACAACATCCGCCGACAAAAAATCGTCTCCTCTTTATGTCGTCTATCCCCCGTTGTTCAACTTGTTAATGAGTCCGGACTTGGCTAATTCGAGACCATACCATAACAAAGGGTTACGAAAACGGTAGAATAAGGATGTGTGTGCCGATCCGACCAGGAATTATAAGGAAATAAGAGAGTGGAACTTAGTTAGTGAACGGCCGGAATCTTTTCACACATTACTAATTAGAAAGTGTTGGATTGCGAAGAAGAAAAGTTATGCAATGAATACACTGAAAACTGACCTCCGTTCGGGAAGTTTTTGAATTGCATCATCTGCGCGGCGGTCGCTTGCATGTTCATGAAGGGAAACATGTTGGCCATCATCTGATTTTGTGCGTTTCCAATATTCATGAACTGTTGTTGGAGTTGAAGAAAAGCCATTGGAATCATTTTGGGGTCAAAATTCAGGTTGAATTGAGTCTGTTCATCACTCACACTGTCTTCAGATGATGCTGATGGAGAGCTTTGTTTGTTTCTGGAAAAAAGAATACCGTAGCTAAACACTAGACACTCTAAAAAATTCAACTTACAATTTTCGATCTTCATCTAACAACTCATTGATGTTAAACTTCATTTTGTTCTCTGCACTCGGTTTTTGTTCATCATCCTCGTCTTCGAGCAACTCTTCAATTTTCGGAATTTGAGACATCTTCTCGAGACGATCTTGAGTGCTCATCGTTGTCATATCGATAGGAAGATTCATAACTGAAGTCATCAAAATATAATGAGACAAACAAAGAAATGAACGGAGAGACTAAATGAGAATCGCTAATGAGTTGACGCCCCGCCCACTTATTAAGGCATACGGTAGGCGTTCGAGAAGAGATGAACGAATGTTGGAAGTGGAGAAAAAAGTGAAGAGTGATAAAATAAAGGAATTGAAGCTTAGGAAATGGTCACAAAGATGGTTTTGAATGTAGAATCCCGAACCTCGCGGTTTTTTTTCTGCAATCATGGTTTCTGCTAATGTGTTAAGTGATAAAGCAAAACAGAGATGTTTCTAGGCGATACGCCCCGGCGGCCAACTTGATGTCTAATTCGTTTAAGTGGATTACTACGTTTGACTAACACCATTAATCACAACAATTAACTCTTTTTCTGTTTCTCATCTTCATCCGCTGATCTGACCATCAATTGTTTTGAAATCTATAAAAGAACCGTAGCCTTTTGGTTCCTAGATATTCTAAGAATCTGCACAATTAACATAAAATGCGAGCACTAAGTGAAACGCTGAAATCTGAGACAATTGTGGATCGGTGTTTCCTTATATTCATGTCTCTCTGGAGAGAAGAGAGGTCAAGCAGCGACTTATCGAATTCAGGAACGTGCGCGTCAAGGTAATCGGAATAATGAGCTGCTCGTTTGGGGTGCCCTCCCACATTTGTTCAATGAGCAACACTTGAGGAAACGAGATTCATGAGTTGTGGAGTCAAATAGCAAGAAAAGCTCTTTTCTATCGGAATATTGTAGGTTTGAGTAATCTAAAAGACACTGGTAATCTAGAAGGGATGAGCTTTTTTGTTTCACAATGCACACTCTGATTTCTGATAGGTGAGGAATGCGGAAATCAGAAGACGTCAGTATCTTGGAGTCACATTTGAAGCCAATTGGAAACAATCCTGTCACATGGATTACAGGTGAAATGACGATTCCAAAATGCACTCGTATATTTTAAAAGTGTACACTATTTGAGAATTTGACTAAATTGTCTTCCAAGTGGAAAAAAAAGAAGGCGGAGTCTTTATGATTTATGACTCCGGAAAATGAAATCTGTTTCGAAAACAAATGAAAAAATAACATTTGTGAATTGTAAAAGCTGAGAAAACGACAATAAAGCCAACCACAATTACTGAATAAACGAGAGATGGGTCGTCGGGCGACTCCACCCACTTCCTTGATATACGGTAATTCGAATCCTCTTTACCCACAACCTCTACCAAGAAACGAAGGGGTGGGATAACACGTCGCTCATTTGGTATCAAATAGAAAAATAATTCAACACAATCTCATTAAAACTGGTTCGTTTCGAGATGAAGACATATTTGTATAGAAAAATATGGTTGGAAAAACATGCACACGTAATGAGAAAATGGTAATGGTTGGCCGTTCACAGAAAAATGATGAGCTGATGATGAACAAGAATATAATGAAATTGGAAAATTAGAAAAAAATTCTGTTTGATGTTATCCCTTCCATTTTGTAATGGAAAAAAAATAAGAGGGTTTGTCATCAACATGGATTTAATAACAAGACACAATGAAGAGGAGAATGGCAACACGTATGACTGTAGGAGGAAGGTCCCATGATGTATTTCACACTCTCATTATGACATCTAAGGATAACGACACCGGAAGTGTTTGTACAACAAATTTACCCATTAGCGCGCGCAATCTAGCCCCCATTGTTTTAGTACCTTTCGGATCACAAAGTCATATGATACAAAAACAGAGAGACAGATTGCGCAAACACTCTCGATGGTCCCTATCCATGGGAATTCACACTTCCGTTATGGCAATAAACACCTGAGGATCTCAGTGAGGAGAGGTGTCAAGGTGTGAATAACTTGGGAAGAGAAATTCAAAATGTTTCGACGAGAAGCGCTTCCCGGCACAGGAACCGTAAATCAATAAAAGTTTGGGTTTGCATCGTGAGGCCAGCGGTGGAATTTATGAGTTTTTGAATGAATGCAACTCAAAGAGGTTTCCGATAATTTGAATTTTTAAGTTTGAAAAGGTTCCCAAGTTCCTGAATTCAAAAAGTGGAAGAATTAAAAAGAATGTAGAAGCAATTTTAATTTTCAAAACTTCTGAAATACAATGTTCGTCGGTATCGAGGTCATTGTAAAACTTAATCGAAATGGAATTTTCAAAAAAAAATTAGATTATAAACCAAAACTTCAAAATTGCTAACAAAATTTCGTTAATTGTTTTCTTCTAACTCCGAAAATTTTTCGAAAACTCTGGCCGAAACGCGCCGGGGCCTAGTCAAGCCAAGCTGGGGTGGGTCGGAATTGGCCTTAAAAATTTCTGTAAGCTTTTCAGCCAGAGCTTCAATCACACATTTTAAAGTTTTGCTCATCAAAAGTTTCCCATCAACCCATTAAAACTATTTAGTTTGGTAGGATGATATGGACAAACTTTGAAATTGAAGCTAATAGAGACGCATTAAGTCATACTTGAACAGTTTTCTTTAAAGGTCAACAACACGAACATGAATTTAAGTTTGTTTTGAATAATTTGCACTATTAGGATGACGTTATTCAAACGATGATACACTTGAAACTAAAACAATAGTTTCTGAAAGACAAGAGTGATTAACTTTTCTTGGGACCACAAGTAATAGTTCATAAGTGTGAATGCTGTGCTCAAACGGTTACCGATTAGCCGCCCGTTGAATTATTCACAGTCGGGGGTGTCAATGGTGGTGTTGTCTGCCAAATGTTTTAGATACAATCTCTTAAAGAACAAAAACAAAATGTGGTAATGTCTCTTCAAGAAAGAGACACGTGTGGTCTGTCGGCAAGCTTCAAAAACTATTTATAATTAAGCGTGGCTAATGGGTTAAGTTCTGATGTGTCAATGTTTTAAGATTTATCTTTAAAACAAAGCAAAGTGAGAATTTGGTGTAATTTGACCTAACTTTATTTCCGTTCAAAACTACACCATCGAATAGTTCCACTTTACTATTAAAACATGTTTTCCCAATGTTTTCATAAACTCATTTGACTGCTTTCTTAGTGTGTCAAAAGGCGTCATCTCTGCAGCTCAATTACTTAAAAAGGGTCCGACGTTATTGGAATGAGATGTGCGTGGTAGTGTGGTATGATGCGCATACTGGATAAACACGTCAAATTAGCAATATGGTTAACAATAATGGACTAAGTAAGAGACGTTTCCCTCCTTTCCTCAAACATCTCATTTTCGTTGATGAGCCTCCTCATTGAACGAAAACAGAAAAGGACGACGGGGGAGAAATGGTCCGGTGGCAACACTGCCATTTTTGGCAACACCTGGGTGCTAATCCACAGCAACCGGAAAAATGGGGCGAGAGTGGAATGCAATAACATACCTTTTAGGATTAACAGGACAGTGTGCAATTATGAGATATTGTTACGATTGACGTTACGAAGAATCTGAAACTGTCCTCATGGTGATTAGTCACTCAGAAACGACATTTTGGATCGTTATTAGATAACTTAATGGTTTCTGTGGATTAAAACATTCTTGGGAGTGAGAGAGAAACATAAAGGTTGGATCGAAGAGGCTGCCATGCAAAATTGACAAGAAGAAGACAGGGAAAGAAATCAATTTTCGAGCTGTACCGGAAATTGTATGCTTTGCGTTCGGGTAAAGACTAAAATTAGCATAAAAAGATTTGAAAATCGTGCTTTGTTAATTTTTCTGAATCGAACTCCCCGGGTATGGAAACATTTATGAATTTCGAAAATACTGAACTTTCATAATTTAGAAAAACTTTTTTGACAAGTAACATGTGAAATCTTCATTTAATTGCATTCAAAGTGGATTTCTGAATTTGACTTCAAAACCCTACATTTTGATAGGCACTTTTAAAACAGTTTTTCTATACACTTCTCAAAATTTTAGAATCTGCTCTCCAGTTTCAGTCCATTTGTATCAGTTTCAGCACCGAAAATTTCGTTTTCAGTGCAAAAACAACAATTTTTGAAGACGATTCTGAACATTCGAGGAAAATTTCAACATTGAAGGAAAATTTTATTTTTCAACATTAAAGGAAAATTTCAAAAATTTAAAGAAAATCGATTAAAATTTCGATTCAATATTCAAAATCTAGGTTTACAAGGTGTGAAGGTTTTCTTGTGAGTATAACATTTAGTATACGACTTCGAAATGTTATCCCACTTTATTTTTCTAATGAAATTGTTATACACAGTTTAAATGCTAATTGAAGGTTCCCTCTTAGTTCTTGATGTCCCAATTTTATCGCTCTTTCTTCTTTTGGTCCCGGAAGTCCTTGATCTCTATTCAAAAATCATAAAAGCTCCGACTTGCTCACATTTCAGATGAAATCATTCGATTTAACATTCCCGGTAATATCCCTTCCGTGAGAAAAAATATCCAAAAAATGGTTCTCTCACGACGGGCCTCGCGAACTTCATCATATTTTTTCTTTCCTTTCTATTGAAGCACTTCGGTTCATTTCCTCCTCTTTTTCCTTTGAAAACACGAGTCGATCCTTCAGCTTTTGAGATCACATATCATCAATTTCCACATACGGGGTGTACGTCATAAAAACACTTATTGAAATATGCGTCCTATACATTATTTATTCGAAAAGATCACAAAAGTGACTATGTCAGCAGAATGGAGAAAACGGTTTTCAAGGAATGTTGATAGTCAAAGCATCAAGAATCATATGATATGTTATCACAAGACAAAAAATAATTATTCTCAAACTAAGGTGTCGTTGACACTGAACTCAATCAATTCATCCGGATTGGCAGCAACTTTACTGAAAACAAAAATGTTGTGCATTGAAATTTTCCAGTAGATGATTACCTAATTTCCGGACTAGAAACTTCATGCAGTTGCACATCAGGAGTAGGCGTTCTTGTTTGCCCGTTCACCCGATAGCTCAAATTTTCTGAGCATGAGTTCAGCTCTCTTTCTTTAAGGCAACTATTCCCATTCTTCATTCGTCCATTTGAATTTTTCGCCTCATTCAACATCTTTTGCTTGTAAAGCGACGTTTGATTGATGATTCTAAAACAATGGCGAATCATTTTGAAAACTAAGAACATGCACTGCTAACCTGTCACTTTTGCGACGATCACCGAAATACGTTTTTATAACCAATTGACGGAAACTTGGGTTGAGCCATGCGTAGAGTACAGGGTTTACGACGATATTTGACATCGCGATGCTAAAAAAAGATTTTTGGCGTTTAAAAAAATCAAAATAAAAACCTGTGAGTGAACAGATTCAGCAAATAACTGATGTCGTAATCATCTCTGCCAAATAAACGGAAAAATGATTGAGTTTCATCATATTCAATGATTAATGAAACCACGTTATGTGGAAGCCAAGTGATGCCAAACCACACGACCATGGTCACAAGAATCGACGTTGTTCTGGAAATGGATTTCAGTTTAGATTTTGAAATGGTGTGTTACAATTGAATACCTTCTATTTTGAAGTACAACCCTCTGTTTTTCTTTTTCCTGCTTGTCCAAAAATTCGTTGAGCTGGAAGATAAACATATAACTTCTCTTTTTTCCTAAACAAAAGTCGTCTAGTACCTCATTTTCATACTGCTCAAGTCCGTGCGATGGAAATGCGCAAGAACTTTCTAGCGCACTTGTCCGCTCCACCATTTTACGTATCTTTGTCTGGGCCCGTTTGCTAAGCACGGAGAAGATATTAGAATAACAGAAGGCCATGACAGCGAATGGTAGTACAAACTGAGCGAGCATAACTATCATTGTGTATGCTCGTCTAGACTTTGCGGATTCCCATTTTTCTGTGCAAAAGTAACCACAGATATGTTCTTCCTGAAGTTTCTTGGTAGATCAAAAAAAATTTGTTAAGCCTACCGTATACTCGATCATCTGCATATTAAAAGCATATGGGAGTGTGACAACAAAGGAAAGTATCCAGAGAAGGATTGTTGTTAAAAATGCACCACGTTGAGATAAAGGAGTTGTATGAGGTCTTACAACAAGGATGTACCTATCCAGAGCAATGGCTCCCAGACTGAAGGTGCACACGAATATACTGATGCCTAAAAATATTAGAAGTAGCCTTCATCCAAATCTCTTACAAACCTTGAATGCACGGAATCAAATGACACAGTAGATTTCCGAAATACCAATTTTTGTAGACATTTGTGATTGGAGTGATTGGTAGTGATAAGATGCACATCATAATATCACTAGCTGCCAAATTGAGAATGAAGATGTTTTGAACGCTCTGAAATTTGTTTAGTACTCAATTTTGAACTCAACATATCCACCCTCCACTTTTCAATAAAAAGTGTTTCAAACTTTTTCGCGCACTGGACTCATACCGGAAGTGACCTTTTTAACAAAAGTGAGTTTCCTCGGTTTCCTTGCTTGCGTACGTCATTTTTGAAATAAGAAACTAGACACGACCCCGGGTACTCCTACGTATTTTCTCTTGTTAGCTACCCGTTCAAATAGTTTATTCAATTTTGATAACAGAAAACCAAAAACGCGTCAAATTTAGCGCTTTTGGGTTCAAACTTTTTTCGGGAACTCACCAACAAGGCTTTGTAACTACAAGTTACATAAATTAGAGTCACATTTCCAAATAGACCCAAAAAGAAAAGAAATATGTAGACACAAAGAAACGGGACAATTGCATAGGTGCTCTGTGATGGATCCGGGTAGGCCTTCCAATAAACTTGGCAATCGGTAATGTTTCCATCTACCATCTGGCCTAGTAATGTGTTCTGGAAAATTAGTGGTGTAAATTTCAAATATCAAGAACGAGAGGGTTTGTGGGAAGAACTAGTAGCAAGATTAAAAACTAAGAATTAAAAGAGAAGTCGCAAAATCCGAGATTATCTTCCTATCAAAAACGATAATTCAATTCTACAATCAGCTTATCAAAAAGTTATTCTCTCAAACTAGGGCTTCCGGGAACAGCAGATGGAACAAAAACAAAGAAAAAAGAATAAGAGCAATAAATTAAAAAATGAAGAATGACAATAGTGATGAAGAGAAAACACAAGAAAAGAAAAGAGCAGTCAAAATTCATAGTGGGCGAAATTCTGAAAAAAAAAACAAGGACAAGTTGGGACAAAAGAAGAAAGGGAAGTTGAAGTGCCACCCAGAAATGCCTAAAGAATTCTGATTAGAATTGAAAAAGAAGAAGAATTGGAACAAAAATTCGGGTTTGTTTGTTTATTTTGATCTGTAAACATTGAAAGTAGATTTACATCTTTTGTTGTTTTTGAACTCTACTTTCCCGGTCAAGCTTTTTAGGGATTTCACATAAAAGTGAGCAAAACATCAGATAAGATGCCCCTGACCAAATGTTCGTCACCTCTTCAAACAACGTGACGTCCTTCGCAGATGACCAAAGTGAGACCTACGTGTTAAGAATTTCTTAGAAACCTAGGAAAAAGGAAATAAATAGTGTCTACGGAAAATTTTAAACTTGGAAAATTAAGAAAAAATACACACGAATGATGCTAAAAAGAACTAGTTTCGGAGTGGTCTTGTGATGTGGAAAATACTGGTTGACATGTTCCCGTTAATGAAAAAATAAAACGAGAGAGTCCCAAAAATCGGGTGTTGATACTGAGTAAGGGGGGAAACGGGGAGGAGAGAGAAAAAAACTGATACATCCAGTTTTATTATTTTCGGATTCTGCTTGCGTCGTTAGTTTGTGTCTTTCAAAAAGGTGGAGGTCAGATTTGATGTGGGCTAGAACAGGAAATTGGATTTTTGAAAAGAGCCTGGGTGTGATCATACGTGGGCTAGAATTATTTTGGTGAGGTTCTACTATATTGGGAAATTTAAATTCTAACGGAAATCTAAATCTCAAACAAATTGTGATTTTTCAACAAAACATTAAAGAAAAGTGTCGATATGGAAACCAAATTTTGTATTGATCTGAACAGTATCGGTCAATAAGAGATACAAAAACGTAGTTTCCAATTGATTTTCAGCCATTTTGACGATTTTCAGGAGTCTGGAGCTCGGCCGTTATGTTCCTGATCATTTGTCAAGATTTGGAAAATTTAAAATACTTTGATTGAAAACTTTGCATTCACAGAATTTGTTGAAAAATCTTAGTGTTTTAGCTATTCGCCTATTTTTGAAAAATACCCGTTTTTGGAATAGGAGTTTTCTGAAAAGTCTCTAAATGCAAACTATCTAATCTAAGTCCGTTTCACACCTTCAACAATTTTCAAAGCCATCGGAAACTTGTATCATTACCAAAAAAATTGTCGTCGAGGCAAACATCACCTTTCGAGATTCAATACGGTTTTTAGACTATTGGTCACAATAAACGGTATTGCTCCGATTTATGAACTTTAAGAATTTCGAGCCTAATTTTTTTAATAACACGAAGCAATTCAAAAGATCTCTAACTTCATAACAAAAAAAATACTCTAGTTTAAACCTAGCCCAACTCCTCCCCCCTAAAATTTCATAGAACGTAGATCAAAATTTTATTCCCATGAACAAGAAAATAATAAATTTTCCAACCTAGCAAAAGGTACATGTACCACCCAGTTTTCCGGTCAAACGTCCAGGATTGCATGTCTTGGAGCATTGAAATTTTATATATGTATACATGAATCCGCCCCGAAAAAGTTCAAAGACGCCAAACTGGCTTTTTCGGGTACTTAAAAATTTGAAACATACGTTTTTGAAATGGGAATGACTAACTGCTATTTGTCAGGGGAATAATGAAGAACACAAAAAGAAATGTAATATTCAAAACTGGACGACGTGATATACATCACTCACGAGAACACAGTAAGGCTTCCCACGCTTTTTTGATATGAAAGTCTACGTCAAGTATGAGTAAAATCCAAAACATGAGGGCATATTCTGTCTGGAATAATATCCGAAATCCGAGAGCAATTTTCTGAAATAATCACAAAGAAAAATGGAATAGAAAAAATGTGCTGCTGGAAGAGAGCAATGGCACTGCGTGACCAACTCCATATAATCCAATTAGAAGTCATCAAAAGAGAAAAAAAGTGTCATTTATATAATCATTTCTCAAGAAGCGATTTATCAAGTGTTCAGACACCAGCCTATATGTTTCCTACCCTCTCTGAATTTTTCAGCGTCTCGTGACATATTATAAATTAGACGTGCTGGACCAAAGTACTTAAAGATGATTAGTAAAATTGGGGCGGAATAAAAAATAAAATTATTCATTTTCAGTTTCAAGTGATTAATATCAGGGGTTTGCAAAAGTAATGCGCGTTTTTGATGCAACTTCCTTTATTGTAAAACCAAAACAAGAGATCATCAATCAATAAGATATTCTCCATTATTGTTCACTACTTGCTGCCAACGTGTGCGCAATTCAGCGATGTCTTTCTTGAAGAACTCCTCTGACTGTGACTCGAAATAGTCCGCCACTCAAATTTGCACTGCTTCACCGCTTTCGAATTTTTTCTCCAGATGATGTTGCATGGATCGGAATAGGTGATAGTCCGATGGTGCCAAATCGGGACTATATGGCGGATGAGGCAGCACTTCCCAGCCCAGCTCCTGAGTTTTCTGCTGAATGATTTTTGCAGTGTGTGGTCGAGCGTTGTCATGGAGCAAGAGTGTTGTCGAAGTGTCCACGCCTTGGCGTTTGAGAGCTTGGTCCACACGGTCCAGCTGATCTTTGTAAAGGTCCGCATTCACCGTTTGACCAGGTCTCAGAAGTTCAAAATGCACGAGACCTCGTGTGTTCCACCAGACACATCATCACCTTCTTTCCGTGGATGTCCGGTTTTGGAGTCGGTTTCGGGGTCTCGCCAGGACTCAGCCACTGTTTTTTTCTCCCATTATTGTCCCACTGAATCCATTTCTCATCCGATGTCAAAATCGAATTGAAGAAACCACGATTTTTGGAGCGGCGCATCAGAATATTGGCAACTTCAACACGTCTTTCCTTGTTCGAATCGGAAAGCTCATGAGGGACCCATTTTCCACATCTGTTTGTCTTTCCGATTGCATGCAAATGTCTGGAAATTGTGGAAAAATCGCAGTCGAACTGCTCCGAGAGACTGAGAGTAGTTTGGCAAGGATCCACTTCAATTGCTGCTCTCAAGGCATCGTTGTCCACCTGCTCTGGACGACCAGGGCGCGATTCATCGTCCAATCTTTCATCTCCGCTCCTGAAGCGCTAAAACTATCGGCGACACTGACTTTCGGATATAGCTTCTTCACCGAATACAGGAGAAAGTGAGCGGTGAGCTTCGGCAGCCGATTTTCCTTCCTTAAATTGGTGCCACAAAAATGCTCGAAGGCGAAATTTTTGGTCGGACATCTTCTAGAATGTTTTTTTCATAGAAATCAAATTGAAACAGCAATATAATATAACAAAATGAAGCCCAAGAACGCGCTTTTTTAAACAAAAAAAAAATTGAACACAAACCGTTTGTTTTGGGTGAGATACAAAACACTAAACTTGACGCGCATTACTTTTGCAAACCCCTAATAGTATCAATTTTTGTGTTTCATTGAGCTTTGTGTGGGAATGGGTGAAACAGAAAAAAAATAGTTCCAGCTCAGTTTTCGAAAAGATTTGATCCAAGTCTAAGCATGAATGATTCATTTCTTCCAGCTCGGTGAAAAAGAAAACAGAGAGAACAAAGAATTTTTTATTTATTAAAAATTCGTGCAAAATTCCTCAAAAGGCACAGGAAATCTTAACACTGGTGGCTTATTTATAATCTTCTAATTTTCTCGGCCTTGTTTTTTTCTTATTTTTCACACCCCGGTTTTCTTTGGTAAGACGTTTTTGCTCCTATTTCTTGTTAGAAAGATTAGCTTTTTGTTAGGGGTTAAAAATGAGTATTAGCCGGATATTTGAAAAATTCAATCACAACGGAACTTCGATATATAGTCATATAGAGCCACATGTTCTACCAAAAAATATACCAAATCTATTGAGACTTCAATTCTTTGAAATTCTCTAAAAGTTGCACTCTTTTTCAATTGAAAACTTTTGATCAGCAATAGCGGGATAGATAGAAAACGCGCTGGTGTCTACCAAAATGCAAAAACGTTGCTCATGGACGATGGATCGACTTGAGTGGGCATGAAAGGATATGTCAAATCGTTTGAATTACAACGAAATAACGAACTGACATCTCACAATTCCAGGGACAAACTGTGTTGGCCTCTACGCCTCCATTCATTTCTCATATTTAAAGAACCACAAAGAAAAACTATTTTTGAATTGTTCCGAACGCACACACACACTGGCACTTGATTCGTGGGGGCTCCAATTGGTGGTTCCGGATGAGCGGGTACTCTTCTTGATTTAGTCTTGTTGTTTTTTGTTCCCCTTGTTTTTATTTCAACTCAACAATCAAGAATAAGAGTCGGCAACAGAGCAATTTTATGGAAGTGGTGAAAAATATGAACGAGAAAAAAATGCGAGCTTGGAACATGTTTTTGATTACTTGATTTTTCGGCTTTTGAGCCTAGGTAGCCTTTGTTCTTTGCAAGATTATTTCCCTATTATTTTTCTACTCGAATCTCAAAGAAAAAAAACGTGTAAAACCTTTTTTTGAGACGAGATGAAAACGGAGAACAAGAAGTCCTTCTCTGTAGAGTGACGTCTCCAAAACGTGAGTAAAACAAACATCATATTACCATATATCGAGAAATAAGAAAGTATGGAAAGTTAAGTATCTTGGGAGAAAAAACGAGTCAAGGAATTGAACACGGTCAGAAAATTGCCGATTTCATGGGTCGCCTGTGAAAGTTAGACGGTTGTAAACGTCATTTCCCATCAAAGTCAATAATAATGTCTTTTGGAAAGAAAGGAGAAAAATATTATTTCGCATTTCAAAATTTAGGAAAAAATACCAGAGGATGTATCTTGCAACTCTGTCTGATTAAGAGAGTAGGAAAGATTTCAAGAACCGAAACCTTTTCCAGAATTCAAGAAAATCCTTCTTACTACGTTTTTTTCGCATCCTGAGTTGCCTTCTTTACCAATTTGAAAGAAATTGAATTTGGAACCAAGAAATGTGTGGGAGAGAGCAGTTTGGGAGAAACCTAACCCTACGGATGTGAGAACGTGTGAAACAAGTGACAAACATCCGGTTACATTCTAAATTCCAAAAGGCGTCAATGGAATAGAACACAAAAAGCGTAAGACTCAAAAAGAGAGAAAGAAGAAGGTCATCAATGTATCGGGAGGACAATCGACGATCTTGGGTGAGCCAATGATCAGAATATGGAATGACCGAGGGAAAAAGCTATGCATTCAAAAAAAAACTTTTGAGGGGCTTTTCAATTCATCTGTACCACTCAGTTTCAAATGTCCATCCCTCTGTCTCAAGTTCTATTTATTTTCAATGGGACTCAACAAGTGATTTTTGAGAAGGCGGAGGCTTTCCGCCCGAGAGTTAAGACGGTATTCATTCATTATCTCTCTTGGAAATGTGTACGTGGGAAAAAATTGGGAAAGGGGATTTGGAGGGTGTATCAGGAAAACTTGGAAAGTATTCCCCGAATTCTGAAAGGATCTTGCTTGCACTATATTGTTTTGAACGGACGACGGCAGCAGAAGAGGATACGTTTTTTTTCCGTGAAATCCCAAAAATTGAAATCCTAAAAAAAAGGGATTACGTTATTTTTAGGAATAAGAATTATATTTTGAAGTAGATCAAAAGTGTGTCTGATGACGGAGCGTGTACAGGGAAAACTTGAAATATTGTTTGTATGGTTTTTGTGTGGGCTACCCATACTACTTTGGTCATTTTCAAGTGCGAAGAAAGGTCAAAATGTAACTAGATTGGTGTCAGGTCAGAGTTTAAAGAATTTCTAGGATCTATTTCTGTTTTAAATTATTTCTTATCTTATCAATTTTACATCATCTTGTCAATATGACTCACAGAAACGTCTTCCTCATTCCTTCCTCATTCTATTTCTAAAAATGGATTTCCACGACCTAGACTAGTTTTCCTCTCTTGAATATCACAGTATCTAAAAAATCAAAACGCAACTGGGATGATCATGAATTTTTCAAAGTTTTGCCTTCGAACATTTTTGAGTAGTATGATGTCGGCGAAAAAGAAAGGAACATGCATGTTTTTCAAGGAATACTGCAAACGAAAAAAGGCACAAGATTGCTATAAACATGAGCTAGTTTCTCTGAAGATGAGACGATCTGAATGGGTCCTATGAGAGAATACGAGCCGTATTTCAACACATGTAAAACGAGAAAGATGCTCATTTGCAAGTGGGTGGAGAGTAAGTTGTTGCATGGGCAGTATAACTATAAAACAACACAAAAACATGAATTTTTCTCCCTGCTACTTCATCAGAACCGACCAATTTGTATATGTTATGCAGCCATCATCTGTCGAGAGTCGGGGAGAAAAACTTTCATTTTTGGATAGAAAGGATACATCAAACTGGAAGACGGGGGGAAAGAAGAAAAAATTTTTTCTGTGGCGGCGTAGGACTTATTTAATTATTCATATTATGTGCTACAACTACACTTTTCTCGGTGAATGAAATTGGGATAGATGCTCTGGCTCTTCGTCCACTCTCCACCAGATAACATTCTCCCGAGAAGCCGATCGCTTTGACTATCTCACCGGCACGCAGTATGACTCCACTTGACGGGTCTGGAATAGAGAGGATGGATTAGGAAAGAGGGTAGAGTTTATTTTTAATTGAACTTTGATTAAATTTGGTTCGATTCGTGAAAAAGTCAACGGTCAGATTGCAAATTGGTAGCTTAGAAAGAGAGGAATTAATTGAAACTACCTTGGAAATCAATGACGACACTCCTTCGTTGTGGGAAATAATGTTTCCGGCCTTCTCGGATAGCATATTGTCTTTGGAATGTGGCCTTTGAAGTTCCGCTAGGCGATCTATCACAAATTGAGCTGACTCTGAAAATGAATCATCTTATAATAAATGAATAAAGTTGCGTCTTTTTGTCTGTCTGTCGGTTCGCACAATTTTCGAAAAGCTTTGAAGTTGGATATAGATTGACGTAAACCTTTGAGAAATGGACTCAAAAAGTTAGGAGCGGGAGCTTGAATTAGGTTATATGTTTTCAACAATTTTTCAGGGCGATATCAAACTCCAAAAGTCAGTCAGACAGGAAAAGTTAGAAAAATCGAAAGTGATCTTACGAAAGAATTGAAATTAGAGTATTTCTGTGATGAGTTTTTAGTGGGAAATTCGCGCCGAACAATTAAGTGCCAGCCAATAATACAGAGCCACCCCAGATTACCTCCAAACAATTGAGTGACATGGCTACCTGATAGAGTTTTTAAGCTTGAATTGGACAGTAAATAGATGTGCTTTTATCAAAGAAAATATTAACAGCGAATTAACATAAGTAAAGGCCTTGAATTCGAAAACTTGAGTAATCTAGGAAAATAGTGGAAAACCTTTGATTCGAAACCCACATATTTCAACAAGTTGGCTTACCGATTGGTTGAAATACAGGAACTAGCCATGACACTTCTATATAAGTTTAACTGGTAACCCAGCCCGTTTTCATGCACTCTCGCATATTCCAATGCATCGTTTGACTGAAAAAATCCTCGTTAAAAAACATAAGAGCTGCTTCTCACTTTCAAACATATGATTTGTTGACAACTTGTTTCTGATATCTCTTTCTTGAACTTCTTTATTGACTCCATAACGTTCTGAATCACAGTTTTGCCATTGTTGGGCCAATTTATTGCACTTGGTAGATAGTTCTCGTCGATGATCATTGATTCAATGTCGTGTGCAAATAGATTCACAGCAAACGGAAAGGAGCATGTTCGGAAGTCGAACATATTCACCTGGAAGAATAAATTCTGAGAAATTGTGACAATGCGATCATACCAGTTCTCTAGAAACACAATTTGTGTTTCTTTCGATCATCAACCGCAAGTCATAGTGTATCTCAAAAGTATCTGTACAGTGTTTGATCATTTTTGGAGTTTTGCTGCAAAATCGAAATTTCAAGATACACTCAACAACGAATATTTTACTTATCACTCCAATTGTCATTCGATCTTGTTGACAACTCTACATTTTTGAGCAACTCGTGAACCATATCAGAGTCTGTACATTGTACTATATCATTCGTTGCGTTTACTATCAATTCGTTCAGTGAGTTTTGAGTAGATCGAACATATCCGGGAATATCAATAATGTGAACAGTATGGTTGCTCTCGTTGATTGTCCCAACACTGATTCCAGAGTCTGTCACAACTGATGTGCGGTCGTAGGAATCCGGAATGATGTCGAGAAGAAGATTTATTTTGTCAATGATGTATTTGACCATTCGAGAGTACAACGCGGTTACAAGACTATCACGCATCAGTCGGCTCTGAAAAAATCGATACTAAAATTAGTTTTTTTTCATGTTGGTTAAACATACATCAATCAAAGTGTCTGACACCATAAATCTATACATTGTCAATGCCGAAACTCCTAGTAAGCTACATGCGTCCTCAAGATCTGAAATGTTCATTTATAGGGCATCGAAACTGACAGTAATCTTACCAGCAATGTTATCAATTTCTGAAGCTGTGCTTTCTGTTTTGAAATTGATATTGTTGAGTAAAATACAAGCGGATATTATCTAAACTTAATTTTCGTTTCAAGCCTATTCTCAAAACAGCCACTCACTTTCAAAACATCTGTGACATCAACCCCAATTGATCCTAACGCAATCCTGATCTCATCAAAACTTCCATAGTTATAACAAGTTTCCCGTAATCGAAATCCAGCGATCTTATATTTATCCTTATCTGCTTCATTCAAATCGTTGGCTACTACTGCGAAAATGTTCGCACGACAGCCACGACTCATAGATTCTATTGGAAAATGAGAAAGAGTTATCCGGTTGAGACGATTTTCCTTAGTTTGAAAGACATAATGAAGTGCTGCTTTCGAACATTGATTGTTGTAAGGATTGTTGGCTGTTAAAAAGGGTCGAAGAAGGGCCAGTGAGGTTTTGAATAGTTGACTGAGTTGACCGTGACTATTGAGTCGTTTCACAATATCCATGCAGATTAGCTCAGCAACATGCGACTTTCCAGATCCAGATACACCTCTGAATTGTATTTAACACATTGAAGAATGTTCGGAATATGAGAGATACCTTAAAAATAGGGTGGAACTTTTGGACTCAAACAATGATGAAGTGATTGTTGGAATAACAGAATAGAAGTTGCATCTTGGTGATGATACTGTATTGAATGGGTTTACAAAAAACAATTGTCCGCCTCTCGAAAACTGAAAGTACAATTTCCTTGTTAGAAATTCTACTTTATTTACTAACCCAACATTGCCCTTGTGTAAACCTTTTATTTATAGCGTCCACAAATTCTCGGTGATTGCACATTGATAGAAAAGCTACTGATGATGACATGAAGGAGGATGTGTGTGCTAAAGTTTGAATATATAGTTTTGAAAATGAAAAAATCCAAGAAAAAATACAAACTTTTATGTATCTCATTTTTAAGTTTGTGGTTCGTATTGAATCTACCCAGTGTTGTAGTTTGTAATTGGTCAACAGGTTTCCTGATATGTTCCTGAAATGTTCGTAATGGTTTTGGTGGAGGTACAGGAGGTCCTTGTTGTCGGTTCATTCCAATTGAGAGGCTTTCTGAGAATTAGATTACTTATAAATCAGAGACTAGGATACTATGAAACCTGTTCGTTTAACTTTTCCAATTCTTGCGTTAAGTTCTCTCGTGACCTCATCAACTTTTGAGAATGTTTCTCGTCTTCTCAGGTTTGTTAAAAATCCACTGTTCGAAGATGATGGCAGCACCATTGATAACCTAAACATAAATACCATAAAACCTGAATTAAAATGACTGGTTTTGTGATAGTTCAAGATACCTCCATAGGGCCTTCTATTACAGTGTCGATTCAATTAGGGTCGGATCTTCTATTTGTGCCAAATTTTTCATTAAAAATATGGGTAAATTTTCGCTTTTAATTTTAACAAATCTATCAATTTTATCACATTGAGCTACTATTCAAGAAGAAATGCTGTTTTTGACAAATTTTGAAACAGTGGAATTTCCATGTTTTTTTTGCACTGAAAAGTATACAAATTTTCAGCTTCAATTAACTCGTTTTGAAAAACGATTTTTTTATTTTTCCAAGCCTCTCCGGAAGAGCCCTTACAATACAGTTTTGACGGTTTAATGGATATTGTGTTTGATATTAAATAATACCTTTTGTTGGGTTCTTCACACATCGAATGAGTCAAATGCGATGTGGACATTGAAAGTTGTTTGTTCAATCTGGACAGATTTGACCCTGTACGTAATGCTGCTGGAATTCGTTTATTTTTCAAATTACCACTTATTATTTTTCATGTACCTATTGGATGCTCAGGCTGAGGAATCGGTGTATGTGCGCAAGATTCTTGAGACCCTGTTGAAAACAAAGATGTTGACAGACGAGAATCTATTGAGTTGTCTCTGAAATAAATATAATAAGGACTGAAAAGCAAGCTGGAAAACCTTGATAACATTTTTTTCGCACTCTTTTCCTGCTCATCGTGTTCTTCCTGGTCGGCGAGAGCTGACTCAAGACGAGCTTTGACCATTTCGAGTTGTTGAGATAGCTGAGAATGAAAAATTAATTTCTAGAAAAAAATCAATAAATTACAATTTCAATATCTGATCGTAACCGGTTCACATCTACCGATTTTGCTGGATTTCTTAGCATTGTCGCCGATTTGTTATGAGGCGAGAGGTGGTGGTGGATCCATGGGGCGTTGGCGGGGCAGAGTGGTACTCGACCACATTTTTCATTGGAAGTAAAAAAGTTAAATTCGTGAGCCGAAAAAATAGATTATAGTTTAATTAAAATTTGGGGAAAGAAAATGCAAAATCTTGTTTTGCAAGTCAAAAAGAGACAATATCAATAAGCAAACACAGTGGGAGCGAAAGAAATCGAGACCGGCGATTTGACAGTTTGGATGACAGCTCTCCATGCGCACCGCCAGCTATTTTCTGTTGGACATTCGATCATAAGCATGGGTGGCATTGAAACTTGGAAGCATTGATCTACAGAAAAGGGAGTCATGGTGAGGGGTTCAAGTTGGGGATCTGAAAATTACCGAATTGTTTTTATTTTAATTTGCTGCAATAACCAGTACCATCCGGCTTGAAATATTTCGAATGAATTGAACAAAAGTGCTTTACAATAAGTATGGGAAAAGTAATGGTTTTGAAATACTGTAAAACTGACATACTGGGAAACCTTCAGTAGAAGAAACCCAAATACATATCCTCAAGCTCAATGCGATTGTTTCCTGTGAAATTCGTAAATTAAAATTGACAAAAAATTACGAAAGATACAGTGCGCGTCATAATGATAGCCCCCCCCCATTTTTTGAGGTTTTCAGAAAAACTAAAAAACTAAGAGAAAAATAGCTAATGCCATTCGATTCAGCATCCCAAAAAACCTATGTGTCCCCTGAATCAAGTACCAGTCAAGTTTATTAGGACTACAGTAACCAAAAGTTTGTCTGCACACCGCGTCATAATGATAGCACCACCCTGGAAAATGAAAAATCTCCAGTTTTTTTGAGAAATAAATTGAGAGTAATTTGTTGGAATTCGTTAAAATAGTTTTTAAACAGTATGTTTTGACAGTCTACACAAAAATTGATGTATCTACTCAACTTTGAGAAAAAATTATTTTCAGACATTTTCGTCATTTTTTGGGTTTTTGGAATAAATACTGAATGACTTGGCTCCTGGGTGAACTGTTGCGCTGAAACTGATAGGAAATATTTTTGCAGTGGTCTGGAGTGTGTATTGATTGTTTTCATGCTATTCTGAGCCGTTGTTCCTAATTCAAACAAAACTGAAACTTCGAAAATAAACCTTGAAATTCGGTGATTCTGATTTTCTTCAAAAAACTGGATTTCATAAGTATACATCATTTTTCCGTACAGAATCATAGTTTCAAAGACAATTTTGGTAAATTAGAACATCTTTGGAACATTTTGCACACCTTTGAAAATTTTCAATGTGGAATTTTTTTTCAGTTCAAAACTCGAGTTCAGTTATGAGCTACCAGAATGATGAAATGCCATCAACAATTATACCATGATCATGAGCACATTTAAGATGCTTTTCATTAGTTCCAGCTCGAAATCTTACCCAGGAGCCAAGTTATTCAAGATTTATTCCAAAAACCCAAAAAACGACGAAAATGTCTGAAAATAATTTTTTCTCAAAGTTGAATAGATACATCATTTTTGTGTAGACTGTCAAAACAGACTGTTTAAAGACTGTTTTAACGAATTCCAACAAATTATTCTCAATTTATTTCTCGAAAAACTGGAGATTTTTCATTTTCCAGGGTGGTGCTATCTTTATGACGCGGTGTGCAGACAAACTTTTGGTTACTGTAGTCCTAATAAACTTGACTGGTACTTGATTCAGGGGACACATAGGTTTTTTGAGATGCTGAATCGAATGGCATTAGCTGTTTTGCTCTTAGTTTTTTTAGTTTTTCTGAAAACCTCAAAAAATGGGGTGGTGCTATCATTATAACGCGCACTGTAGGATTGGTAATTAGACCATCAATCGGGTGCAGGGGAGTGAAGGGGCCGAATAGCCTGAAACGAGGTACCTTCACTCGCTACCGCGGCGGGAGTCGTACTCACGATCGCCTGTTTGGTAGATAGGAGGCTATCCACTCAACCAACCCTGCACACCCTTGTTGGTGTGTGGTGATAATTATAAACGTTCGGTCGTTGAGAGGGTGTAGAGGTCACCATTCACCAAAACGTTTCCCAGGAGGAAAGTAGTCGTTTGTTCTATAATACAAGATGTAATAATAAAAGAGCAATGAAGAAAACGGTCGAACGCAACTATTAGGTTGTACAAGTTCCAATCGTTTTTTCGGGTCAGGAAGTTTGATTTTGAGAAAATTCCAAACGGTGTCAGATAAATTGAAGGTAATGACTATTGTTATCTGAGAGTTTCTGTGAACACCCCACCAAATTGTGAATTCGTTTTTATCGCTTTTCCGGTGCTGCTATTGGAAAAATGAAATTTACTCATTTTTCAGACCCTCTCTTATATGTAAGTTGATTTTTTTACCGAAAAAGCGTTGACGACGGCTTGATGGGTGATAGTCCGAAGGTGCAAATTTTTTTTGCTGTTTTTTCATATTGCCCTGAATTGATTCAAAATATTAAAATAACAGACTCATTGATTTTTGAGATATGGTGTTTTGCACCGGGGATGCTCAAAATAGAATTTGGAATTCCAAAAATTCCGACCATTTTCAGAATGAAATTCCTATCGGAATATTTCAGAATATTTCGAAGCTATCAATATTTTTTTTCGAAGCTTGTTTGTAAATTTGTCAACATTTTATGTGATGGCTTCCTATTTGAATTTTTTTTGGAAAATCAGAATAATCCAGAATTTCACAAGTTTTCTAATCGAATATTCCCAAGTTCCAAAATTTCGACTTTCAGAGACTCGGTGTTTTTAACTGAGAATTTTTGACATTCAGAGAAATTTCAAAAGGGCCATACTAAAAATCACCGATTTTGCACTTTGAAATATAATAGTTTCAACTTTTGAACAAATATTTCATTCAAATGGAAATATACCATTATTATTTTCGCTGTGAAATACATTCAGTTGTGTGTTCTGCTTTCAATCAGTGATGACAAGTCCTTGACCGAAAAACAACAACATTAACGTCTCCGAAATCCCAAATTTCAAAATTGAAGCTACTTACCCCTAACCACCATCAAACTCAACTCAACTCCCATCTTCACCAATCATTCCCTACTTTCAAATACAACGTCGTTTCTTTCTTACTCAATCCTTTTGGGTATTGGTTGCGTTTCGCAACTGTTGCATTCCACTGATACCTCGTGTTTTTTTTTTAAATTTCTCCCAAAAAGTTTTGAAATCCAAAAAACAGAACCTGTATTTTATTTCCTTTTATAACTCACACTCCTGACTCACCTGTTCAAATTTCGTCAACCAATTTGAGTCACTATGTCATCTGACCTTCTATTTTTCGTAACTATTTCTTTTTCCTCACCACATTGATTCATGACAACGGTTTGCGGTCTCCACTTTTTTACACCTTCGCGCCTCATTTTTTTTGGTATTGTAAACCTGTTCTCAATTGGCCCTTTTAATCGAATATTGAGTTGTGTTTCTACATAAATTCCAGTTAAATTTTGTTGTAGTGTCTTTTGTTTCTGCCTATCGGAAGTGAAATTCAGTTAGAAGGGAAAACATGACGTCGCTCACTACTGATCGTAAGTTTTTTTTAATTTTTTGAAAATATTCTAGATTTGATTAAATCTGTTGTTTTACTGTCTAAAAATAGAATCGTTGTTTTATATTTTTCTTCAAAATGTTTGCAATGGAAAAAAACACTAGTGCTAACATAACCTTCTCCTTCTTGCTCTTTTTCAGGGTTACGAGCTGCACATTGCAGATAATAGGCTACCATATTTCATACAAAGTATTTTTCTTTTATGTTTTTTTCCCTTTCACTCTCAAGCAATCTTTTGCCTGATGAGAAAAATGCATAGAGAGAACGCAAGAATGCACTAATTCATCATTTCTTGATGGGAAAAATTGGGAGGAAAGCGTGAGGACAGCAAATTTTTGTTTCGCCAACAGCTGTCGTCGCAATTTTTTTCTTTTTCCGGGCGTCATCCTGTTTCTTTTCTCTCTTCAGACTCTTGTCAAGCTCTTTGTTGAATGTCAGCAAGGCGTTAGTATTCATGAAACAACACTGCAAAACATTTTGATAATGTCAACGGAAGGCAAACAAATGTCATTGGTTGTACATGATCCATATGGAGAGGTGGTGACCGTAAACGAGTCATAGTTGTACAAAAAAAGACATCCGTACCGCTGCCAGGTGAAGAACTTTATGCACAGTATTCACGAAATTTATCAAGAATTTTTGCGGGAAAAAACTATTTTATAATGTTGAAAATGAACTGACACCTTCACACAATTTGTTTCAGAAAAAATTTCATCTCTATTCTGATAGAGAAATTAGAATGAAACTTACTCCAAGCCGAATATCGGGGACTCTACAATTTTAAATCTTGGAGAACAATACGTCTACTGTTCAAACATACCTGGTATCTTTCTTATGAATTTTCTAGAATATTCATTCCAGCACTCAACAAAAAAATGTTCCAAAAATCATTTTCTGTTTACTGTGGATCCGAACTCCTCAATAGTTTCCAGAATCCAAACTTTGGTCAAAAGAAGCATTTCCTTCCTTCCCCGGAAACCCGAAAAGCATACATTACCCTAGAATCGCCCTATATTTCACGCTAAGCTTCACATTCCACCAATCCACCCTCGCATTCATTCTAAGGAATTGCTAGTCACATTCAGAATGTGTCAATGAGCCAATAAATCCATGCATTTCTTTTTCCTTTTTATGGAACCGGGACCAGCACCCCTCCTCTAACGGGAGAGAGAGGAGCGCGCCTTCTCCTCCCGCCTATGATGTCTCCGCCCATTTTCACAGCTCGCTGAGCAAAACATAGGCACGACACAAACTCAAAAGAGCATCTGCCCTCGGCTCCTCCTTCCAACTTTTCCTACCCGTGAGCTTGCTTCCAGACTGAGATTATTATTATTACTCTTTCATCACTGAACTCACTAAAATGACTGCTATCGCCAGCCCAGTCAATCATGACATCATTTGTCAGCGATACGTGTTGGATGATCTCCGTAAGTCAGGGTTCCGAGTTTCAGGGTTACTGTAGAGTTCGAAAAACCAGGGGTAAAGCTTTGTTGTGTTGAAAAGATGCTATCATCCTAGAGCACAGGTTACTGTTACAAGCGCTCCATTATCAAAAGATCTAAAAGTATTTCCTTCACACTTGAGAATATCATTTTCCAAGCTCTCGAATCATTTTCGATACTTCCGATTCAGCATCGCCTTCTTCTTATTCCTTTTTTTCTATATAGTGCTTCGTAGTAGTTCTAGACGAACATCTAAAATAAACAAATTTGAGTTGAGCCCTCTCGTCTTTCACATTTGCGACGTGCCTTTTTATATAATGTGCTTTTCGCCCTTCAGAACATGTGGAAGTCATAAATCAGTTATAGTGTCAAGTTACTTCTGAAAAAAGTTAGTGTCGTCATCCCAAACTTTTATCTTCATGCATCTCTTCTCTCAACGAAGGGCAGGGTGTGTTACCCCAATCATCGCAAGGGATGGAATTTTTTGCACTGAGCTTTTTTTTCCATCCAAATTGGGAAACTTTTTTCGGGCTGTGCAACACACAAAATTGCTGTAATTTGGACCGCAAATAACTCTCAAATAACCGCGGAGGAGAGATCAATTTTCGAAAGTCGTAATTCCACAATTCATGTAGGGTCGGATTTGGTTCAACCTGAAATCTCATTGAACTTGCTCACGACGCCAAAGGAAGTGGAACAATCGGAAGAAACTTGACAAGCTGTTTCCTAGAGATGTATTTGTGCCTCAACAAGGAAGTATTATAGCAGGCCAATTGAAACCATTATTTCCAGTGCAAACTACATGAATTTCAGAAGAACTGCTTAACAAAAATATTTTGTTTGGCACTTTCACTCTTTAATTAAAATTCTCAACAAGGAAAAAGCTCATTTAAAACAAGTGCTTCCGTACTTTGGTCGCTTGTTTTAATTAACCCGTCAACCGTATACTTGTTTCCCATACTTTAGCTCTTTTTGAAAGCATACATCCACACAAAAATGTAGGCGTAGTGTTTTGTTGGCTAGCTATTCCACAGGGGACACATTCTTCAGTGCGCCTCTCCTATCGCAAAGAGATAGGTGAAACAGAGAAGAGGTTCCAAAAGAGCAAAAGGACAAGAGCCTTTTCTTTTATTTGTCGGAAGACATTTCTAGAAGCGATCATTGAAATCAGAATCTCCTCTGGTTGTGTAGAATTGAACATCAACCTTCGTCGTATCCAATTTGCGATCGTTGATGTCGCGTCCCCGTCAAACAAAAAATGGACAAATCTTTTGCTCTCGCTACGACTAACAAAACGTTTATTTTAATTGAATTGAGTCTCTCGCGCCCGGAAAGGTCTCGAATCAACCTTCTTAATCGAATTGGAATTTGGTGGCTTTGTGACGCATCCTTTCTTCCTTCTTTTCTCTTTTTTTTGTTCATTTTGTAGGATATGTGATTCTCAAAACCGCAAGGGTTTTCAGGATGAGCAGCAAGAATGGGAAAAAGAAGATGAATTTATTCATTCATGTACAACGATGTGCTTTTACTGCACCCCTAGAGCAAAGATTTTAGCGGGTAGAGAGGGAGAAAAAAGAACAACATACTAACAAATGTTTTGGCGGGAGAAAGAAGCTGTACAATTTTTAAACAAAAAAAAAGACGATTTTCAGAACTCTCGGAGACATTCGACCTTCTTGACGTCGACAAAGACGGTCGTCTTTCACGTAATGAGATCGCTGCACTTTTGAGAACCATCAATGTTGAGCCCACCCGTGTCGAATTGGATTTCATCTTTGGAGAGATGGATACCGATAGTAAGTGGGGTAGCAGAAAACACACAAAAGCAGATAGGCATCTCTCTACCTGTTGCTGCCTGCTGACTCATTCTTTTCCGCTGGAAAATGTAGGCAAACACAATCAACACTTCTCATGGGCCTCCTTAGCTCAGTTGGTAGAGCGTGAGACTTTTAATCTTAAGGTCAGGGGTTCGAGTCCCCTAGGTGGCTTGATTCTTTTTTCTTGTTTTCTATTCAAACCCACATCATTTTTGGTCGCTGAACCCGCTGCTAGAGGTAATGGGCCGTACAAATTGACCAAACATTAGCAATTTTCTTTGATTTCTGTTGTTGGACGGGGTGAAAATAGAGTCAAGTTGAGTCGTGTCATAAGAAACATTTGAGCTATTAAATTTCTTTTGGGATCTTTGTGCTAATAACGTGTGGGCGCTCAAAAAATGACATAGAACAGCAGAGTATCGAATTTTGTTCATACTTTGATTTTCATTCCACACCCATAAAATGAATTTCTTTTGTTTTACAAGGAATGATAAAAATTGGCTCAAAGTTGAAATTTTAGATGGTAGTCCCAGGGTTACGGAATCTCATTTTTTCAGAAACCGGAAAAATTAGCAAGGAAGAGTTTGTCAACTACATGAAGTCTCCACCGATCCATCGAACCACTCTCCGTGAGCTCGAGGTTCAATTCCGCAAGTTCGATTCGGATGGCGACGGAGCTATCACTGAAGGTTTGTTAGTTTCACTTTCAATCCTCCAGAGCGGAGACACACAATCATTTCTTGAAAGTTTTTTCTTCTTCTCCTTTCGTGCCGACCACAGACTTGCTCCAGAGCCAATCCACAAAGTTTGTGCTCTCCCAAAGTTCATTTATTTTCAGTGAGCCAAAAACGGACAACGAAAAAAAGAGATAGAAAAGGGGAAGAAGGTTTTTTTTTGCAAGATAGATGATAGAACAACGTATTCAATCTTGTATTTTTCTTCCACCTAAAAAACCGTGTGTGCAGGAAGCTTTGCAAGAAGACAAATTATATGTGTTTCCTGCAAAAGAGAAAAAAAATGATTCGTTTTTGTAGACGAGATGGCGGAAATCCTCAGAAGCACTGCCGACTTGGTAGATCGTGAAGCGATTCGGGACATGTTCAAAGCCACCGACTTGAATGGGGATGGAAAAATCACATTCTTCGAATTCGTCAGAATGATGCAAGAATAAATAATTGCTGATTGTGAATAATCGAAATTTAAAAAATGTAGAAAAAAAGCATGTTACTCTCCTTTCTTTTTCCTTTTTTTTCTTCTTCTCTATTTCATTTTTGTCTATTCTCCTGTCGTGTTTAAGCTCATTTTCCGTGTTGTTAATTCATTCCCCCTGTCTTCCGCCTACACTTCTTCATACTTCTTCTTCTTCTTTCCTTTCTTCTCGCTGAATAAAATAGTAGCACTTTGAAAAAGTTTGTCAATTCCCAACAAGACACCACCCACACTCCACCCTCACCAACAGACAACAACAACAACAATAAAAGCACCACTACTCAAAAATACCCAAAAGCATCAGCTGGGTGACCACTACGACGACCACGTTTTTTATTCCAATGCTCCTCTTGTTGCCAAAAAGGTTTTTCTCACATCCGTCTTTGTGATATTTTTGTCGGGAACCGACGAAAAAATAGATAGGAAGACGATTGGCTGAGGCCGGAAAAGTTTCAAACACCACCAGAAATATTATTCATGAAGTGAAGTGCTCTACGGATACGGTGGGGGCAAGTTTTCGCAACTTTTTCCGCAAATCCCATGGGTGAGATCCATCAAAATCTTGGAGGTGATACTGAGAAACAGTGGAGGAAAAAATGAAACATTGACTTTTGGGAATACGTTTCAAAGGTGTGTTGTATAAATCACACTACTTGCAGCAGATACCAAAGTTTTCTGGAAAAAAGAAGAAAACAGACACCTCAGGGAATTCACGTTCTACCGGTATACGATATGAAAAATTGGACACCACGAATATGTGAAACTTGTGGGCTACTAACTCCTATGCGGAAGCATAAAAAAGTTTTGGGAAATTCATTTATCACTATCAAATAATCGTAAAAGTACTATCGTGTTTACTTCGAAACGTTTCGTTGCCGCTGCTCCGCCATACTTATCAAAAACATTGTGCAGTCATGATGGAGTTTTTAAAGAAGTACATTAAAACAACTAGAATTTTCTGATATGATGAGGTGATTATCATTGTTTTGATGGAAAAACAAATATGCTGGAACAAAATGAGGCACCCAGAAAATGATCAGCAAGACAAAATGAGAAGACAATGATTTTTAATTTTGAACGGAACAAAAAAAATGCTAACGTATGCTAGTGCCTTTTAGTTACGTGAACAATACAAAATAAACAGAAAGTATAACCATAAATCGTGAAAAATTCTGCAGAATCAACATTTACGTGCAGAGTAGGGCAATGTGAGGATACAACAGTTCCTTGGCTCCAAAGTAAAAGCAAAAACAAGAAACATTGCATGTTTTTGCCCTTTTATGTACAGTATCGGTCAATAAGATATGCGAAAACATATTTGTTAGTTAATTTTTGGTTATTTTTACAATTGTCAGGAAGCTTGAGCTCGGCTGTAAAATTTCCGATCACATTGGAAACTTCGGAAGATGGAAAACAGACCTAGATTGAAATCTTTGCATTCACAAAATTTTGTGATCAGTCCTAGTTTTTCAGATATTTGCCAATTTTTGAAAGACGCATGTTTCTTTTTACTCTTCATTGACCTATTCTGTATAAAGGCTTGGTCGTTGAGTACTAATGGAAGGTTAAATTTCTCAAAAATCGTTCTTAGGATGTTTTCAAACAAAATGGGAATATTACTCTTGGGCAAATATGATGCTTCATCTGATTCAATTGTAGAAAAAAGTCATTGTTTGTATTTCAATAAATAATCTGAAACGAGGTTTTTCAGAAAACATATAAACTTCACTTTTTTCTTTTCAGTTTTCCCAATCCAAATTGTGAAGAATGTAAGTTCAGAGTTTGAAATTTTTTTTAGGTTGTGAGTAGTGCCCCTCCATTTCCGGATCGAGAGCATTCTGTACTTTCCAATAGCTAAAATCATGTGGAATCCATATGAACACGTTCTTTTCAGAAATGATCGTTTCTGACAGACAGGGGTATTCTGTACTTTCAACTTCCGTCAAGTCATCACCTCCCAAAGATCACCCCAGGTCTTTCCCCAACCTTTCTTCTTCTTGGAACTTTCACCTTATTTACCAACGATAATCACACATAGTACACCTGATTAAGTGATCGGTGAGCTCTCTCTTATTGATGCTCTTTCTCTCTTCTCCCAAAGTTTTCACTCTTTAAGACGAAAATGAGGCGTGTTCTCATGATGTCGTTTCGTTGAAATCGAAACAGCAAATGCAGCAGTATTTAGGCGGTGGGGGTGCAAAATATAAAAAGCTAGTGATAACATTGACCGAGTTATCAAATAGTGAGTTCTCGTACGGGGAACGACCTTGATTAATATTTTCAAACTTTCTATAACTTTTTTCGAATTTCTTCCAGCTACATTTTCGGTTAGAAACTGGTGAGTTGTGTTGAAATCACATGTCTGGAACAACCGGACTCCATGAAGAAAACGTAAGATGTTTCAGTCATGTGCCAGTGCTGCCTAATTTTTCACAAAAATCATTTTCAGACCATGTCTTCGATTCATGACCTTCCATGTGAAATGCTCAGATCAGTATTCGAGAATGTCAATTCTCAAGATGTTCCAATGCTCCGGACAGTCTGTTCAATGGTAAAATCTTCAAACATAATTGTCTTAATACTCAATTTTAATTTTCAGTTTAACAATGTTATCAAAACCAACTACTGCTTTTTGCCTCGTGTTGCGTACCTCGTCAAAATCTTCTCAGAAAATGGTCTAATCATGATTGCCAATATGAAATCCGGAGATCTGAACGGATGCACACAGGTGCGCAGTTTCAATCACTCCTATGTTAGTGCCCTTTGTTACGGTGTTCCGAATTCTCCTAAAAAGAAAACCCCAGAAGAAGAAAAAGTTATCAGGAATACGCCTTCTAGTGTCTCTTATCAGCTTCACCCCCTCAATTCGCTTTCATCCGAGTGAGTGAAGCGCGCTTTTCGTTTCGTTTTACTCGACAACAAAAAAGTTATCAGCTTTCTTATCAGGCTTGCCCTTCGATTATCACTTTCTCTTTTTTCTGTCAACGAAACATGCACAATGACCATTCTCTGTCGTTGGCTCTCCTAGAAATCTGTGCTCTTTTTGTTCTGAAACGAAAGTGAGTGCGTACACGTGCCTTTCACAAAGTAGCACGGTGCTGATCGGCGATCGACTGAAAGTGAAAGTACATGAGTGACCCCAGATTATGAATCGAAAGTTTTTGTTTCGTTCTTGGCAACTCTGTTTATGGAGTGATCGTAGGCAAAAAACGTGCGGTTTTTTCTTGAGGGGTTACGGAAAGAAAGATTAGCACTGAACGCAAGAATCGCTGACAGCAGCAAAACGTGCATCAAGCATGGCTGGCATAAAATCAAAATTAGAACCAAACTTCACGATTGTAAACGCTGACGATTGCAGAATCTGTTCGAGTTTGATTTCAAACATTGGAGAGAGATTGGAATCGTAGAGCTGGAATTTGAGAATATCAAGGATTGTGAATCAGAGACTGTGGACCGGGCAATTAATTTGGTCCTGAATGAGATGATCAAAACAAAGCAATGTCAATTGAGAAAGTTGACTTTCACAAACGTCGAACTTTCTAATAAAACCGCAGCTGTTACACAGGGACTATTAGATGCAGCTTTGAAACAGTGCGAGGTACTATCACCACCTCTGGAACTCTATATAATCCAGTTTCTTACAGAATGTGACAGTTGAAAACTCAATCCTCCCAATCTCCTTCCAACCCGAGTCTCTTAATTCAGCAAAGTTTGATCATTTCCGTTGGATCTCTTCCACTGGAACTTCCCCACTTCCATCTACTCAAATCCTCAAAAAACTCCAGAATGATATGAAAGCAGCAGTTAACAAGAGATCATTTCTCGCGGAGATGGGCTCGGTAACCGTAGAAGCTGCGTGTGATTTCCTTGAGGTATGCCACCCATTCTCACATGATTTCTGATATATCATTTTTTTTCTCTTTTTTTCTCCTTCATTTGGCAACTTTCACTTTTGCCAGCGAAAATGAGAGTAGTGAGGTTAGGAAACATGTTATTTATTTGCTGATAGTCACTGAAAAGAGAAAGCGGACAGTTTATTATCGGAGATAAGTCGTATGTCGATCTTGTACATTTTTCAGGAATGGCTTCGCTTGCCAATAGCATCATTCTTTAATCTGTCGTTCCACAATTGCGATGATACCTGGAAAACACGTTTCTTGGTGGAATGCGAGCGCCGCGGTTTGACACACAATTACATGGAATTCCAGTCCAGAACACATACCAATGCACACGTCAAAGTTAGCTTTTCACAGGTAGAATATTTTGGATGGACTTGTACAGACTGAATACCTTGATTTTTTAGGATGCCAGAACATGTTGCATTTGGCCAGTATTGGATGTTCCAGCACGTACTACCGGCCAATCCGTTTGCTATGCTCGCTATTTCAGAGATTTCTAGATTTTACTAGTTGTTTTCAAAATTAACCACTTCCTTTGTTTTAATTTATACTTTTATCCTTTTTGTTCCCACACATTCCATATTCATTTTAGATGCGTAGGCGGGTCCCTATACCATATTTCTTACCTTTTTCTATTTTTATCCTATTACACTCACTTTGTTAAGTTTTTTTTCAAAAGTTCGTATTATTGTTCATTTATTAGCTATATCAATAAAAAAGATGACAAGAAAAAGCATCAGGAGGCTAGAAAATATGTAGATCACGGAAAAAAAATTGATTCAGTTACAACAGCATTGCATACAGTCCACTTGTTGCATATGACAACCCAAATTGATACATAAAAACACGACTTAACCGGACAGATTAAAAAATGACGGGACAACGGTGAGGGCACAAAGAAGGAAAGAAAATTACAAAGCTCAAAAGAAGGCGTCAGAAAAAGACCACAACAGTATGCTCGAAAGAAACAACCCGACTACTAGGTACTAACATTTTGGCTTGTTAAAATTAAGAAAATTTGAATTATGCTCTTTTCAGAGGAGGTTTCGGTGCACATCGTTGCGAACGTAGGTGTAGTCTCCGTTGATATCGCTGTTGACACTGTAGTGGTTCTGATGACGGGCAGAATGGAATCCACTGGTTTCGCTCGGGACCATTGGGCCTTCGCTGCAATGATAATGTTCATTTAATGAAGTTTTTTCGGTTTTGAGCTTACAAATGATGATGTAATCTTGGGGTGTAACCGCTGGCTGCTGATGGTGGTGGCATTTTTGGTGGGGATGGTGGATAGAATTGAGGTGGTTCTGGTTTGTATTCTCCGTTTGTTGTTGTCGTAGTAGTGGTATGAGATGCGGCACCTAGAATAGTTCTAAATGTCTCCAGAAATGATGCCAGGTCCCTTACCTTTGATGGGAATGCTACTCTTCAAACATTTGCATAGGCAGCAGACGAACATGATGAATCCGCAGAGTGACAGGATGATGGTGGCCGAGAACAACAATACGAAAACACCACTGACAGTTGTCAACGGGTCCAGCTCGATGTCTGCAACATTTTCGAGTTAATTGAGGACTCCCGGGCTCTCAATATGCATGTGCTCCATTTTATATGCAAAATCCCCCTCCTTGTCCTTCGGATAAAAATCTGAGTGGTTTTGACTTACTCTGACAATTAGCTGCCATCTGACGCGAGTGGATTAGGTCTTCGCCGTTCGAGCAGTCAGCAAAACGGTCGCATGCGGATTCGATGGGAATGCACTCGCCGTTTCCGCAAGAAAACTCTCCAGTAACACAGTTACCTAAAAAAGTGGGAATTGGGGATTGGAAATAAGAACTTTGAAGAGTTGAGCTTTTGTGAGGCTTTTTGACAAGTTAAGCTATGATTATGGGAGAAGTGTTGCGAAATAGAGGCAACGGATTATTGTTCAAAACTTTTTGGTTAGAATTTTTTCGTCATAGTGAAATAGAGATATACAGATCATTTTTCTCGTATAAAAGTTATTATTTATTCAACGAGCACATATGAATTCCATAAAAATTAATTCTTTTCAAATTCAGTCATCGTGATTCTAGGCAAACAATTTGGAGGGTACAAAATTTTTCTAGGTCAATGGGGTGAAAAGCAATTTAGGTGTACAAAATACCTAAATGTGATTCTAGATTTTTTAAAGTTAAAAAAAGGTCAAATAATGTCCTGCTTTTATTGACTCTAGCCAATTTTGACTAACATTCCTAGGTTTTTCATAGCATATATTACTGTACCATTCACCCTTTTCTTAATTTTCTCCCAACTCACCAGTCCTGGAAACTCGAAACGCTCCCCAGTGCAACTTGAAGCCTTTTGAATTCGATCCGTTCGGATTTGAGTGCCACCACAGGGTCAGCGCGTTGTGTGAGCTCATGTTCAAAATGCGATTTTCAAAGTGTCCACAAAATTGTCCTGTAATTACCCAAGTACACCCACTTGATCATCATCTTATCCCCTCCTAGTCTCCTTGTCTTCTCAATTCCACTCAAACCGAAAAAGATGCATTTGCCCATCTGGATTAGTGTCTCATTTTGTTTCTTTTCTTATGCCAACCATTCTCACTCTTCTCCTTATGCAGTGGATGGGTTCAGATTAATTTGGGAATTATAACAAGACTGGGAACGTAGTAAGAAACTGGAAAAATCAAATCTAGTGATCATGGACCCGGAAACTGAGTATATAGACAAGGAGACCCGGTTTGAAGTTGCACAATAAAAGGCGGAAAAAGTCAAAGAGCGCGGAAAACTGACCGATAATCGGGCCTGGCGAGGTTATATCATCGATGCGAGCAGGTGCGTAGCTTTCCGGATCAAGTGTCGTCTCATGCTGAAAAGAGAACAGCATTTGCCGCCGTCTCCGAAATCTCTGTCGGCTTACGTCAAAGACATGTAAGGTGTCTCTCTCACAGTTCCTTGCGTTCTCGGTTCTAGCAACATCAAATTCAATGGCTCGAACTCTGATGTTATATCCAATTGGGGCTACCAACATCAGCACACAGTTTCTGCTAGTGTTGTATGGCTCCTGTCCATATTTGGAATGCGAGTACAGTAATCCCGAGAATCCAGTCAGCCGTCTATCCAGCCTCGCTTTACACTCATTCCTGCTATCCAATCCGTCGAAAAAACCTACAAGATAAAATTGTGTCATCCCATCTTTCCCACAAGCCATATATCATGCAAATTTGGTGTCTTCGAAAGATGGGGATGCGAGAAAGCCATACTACATAATGTGTATACTTTTATCTGATTTCACCATAAATTGACGGGAGAGTTTTCCAACTCTCATCCATCTCACTGATTCATATGGGAATTCGAAAAACGACATTTTTGGTTTCTACGTGATTTTCATCTTTCTCCTAGCCGGAACTTACTTGCTATTGGCTCAGATCGGCAACATATTCCAAGTGTAACTAGGATTAGAATAAGTTTTATCATTACCTGAAAGTTGTAAAATTAATGAGTGTTAAGATTAGAACGAGATGAGACAAAGTTAGAAGGGAAGAGAACGTATTATTACAACATTGACACTTTCAGTTTGATAACATAATCCGTAAAGGGAATACAAGGTGATACCATGCACTCGCAAGTAAAATTGGGAAAATGAAAAATACACCGGAATAGAGAAAAAAGAACGAGGAAAGAAAGAAAAAAAAATAGTGTTCAGGGTGATTGTAAAAGAAGAAGATCGAACAAAAGACCTCAGAAAAGGAAGAGATCATAAAAGCAAATTTGCATACGATGAAGTGCCGACGGTGCCACACTGATCTCTCCTTACTTAAGTAAACACACGTAAATCTATCCCGGCAGTTTATGAGAAGACTCAACGACTCGTAGTGGAGGTCGCAAGAATCGAAGTTCTTCAAAAAAAGGAAGAATTCAAAAAATAAGGTGGCTCGAGATAAATAGAGGCAATATTTCAAACCGGCACCTACTAAACATGTTGCGCGATTTATGACTCCCTTGGTAAGTGTAGCAGTTAGGATGAGAGAGGAAGAAGAAGAGAGGGTGTTTGGGAGTAGAGAGAAGAAGGAGTACAGTAGATAGAGGAGGAAAAGATGAACTGTGAGTTGGCAGCTCATTAGGCTCCGCCCACTTCCGTTTGGGAAAAATTGGAACACTAAGAGTTTCGAAATTTATTGAGATGGGGTTAATAAAAAATAAGGGAATTAGTGGCGTGAATAGTTTAAGAAACAAGGTTTTATAACTTAATTTGAATTACATACATGGATTCTGAAAAAATAGAAATTGAAAAATTTGGGAAAAAAATTGAAAAATTTGAAAAAACTGTTTCTGAAATTTTTCTTTTTTTCAGAATATCTGATTTTTTAAACATCGTTTTATTTTCTAACTTTTTGTTGATTTTACTTTGTATCAGTTGAATTCAGCAGATTTTTTGAACTACTGTATTTTCAGAAACTCACTATTAAAAATTTTGCAGTTCCAGTTTTTGGATTTTTAACTATTGTCATGTTTCTTCTGTCATTTCTAAAAAAACGTACTTTCCGATAAGAACAGTTTTTTTTGGTTGCCACGAGTTCATCTATGTGGAACAAAAACTAACCTAATTTGTTTCTTTTCGAAAACAAAGAAAACATTTGCATTCTGAATTGAGGAAAACTGTTTCTTTTCAAGAGACAAAGGCCTTCCTTTTTAGAATATTTTTCCTAATTTTATGCATACAGTAGAGACGAAAAAAAAAACATCTGCGCTTTACAACCCCCGCGAGAAAAAGGACGCACCCAATTTGCACGAATTTTGCAGATAAATAGCACTGCGGAAACAGACTAATAAAATATGTGAAATCAACCAATTTTTGGCAATAAATCATCAATAAAATGATCTGTGATAAAAGCACTAAAACGCTGAAAACGAGAGAAATAGAGTGATAATCGGTGGGAATACTGCCTTCTCTCAGTTTACATAATGAGTGAGGAAGAAAAAACCAATGAGAAGGTTTCAATGAGGTTGTGAAGTGCTCCAAACTGACGCCAAAACAGGGTGTGTGGCCACCATTGAAAAGGAGAGAATAACCAAAAACACATCGATCATTCATTTGGTGATTGAACAGATGAGCCTTATATGAACCGGGAAGAAGAAAGAGAGAAGGAAAAGAAGAAAGAAGACATCACCCGCCTCGCGCATTCTGTATCAATCTCCATTGAATATTCCACCATTTTGCGGGATCTTTATTGAATCATTTGATCATAATTGTGTCAGGCAAAAATTAAAGGGAATTGGAATAGTTCGTTTCGTTTAAGCACTGAATATACAGTATCAGTCAAAGGTTTATTAATTTCACTTGTTTTAGTAAAAAAATGTAAACACTGGATGTCTAAAAAATATATAATACATTTTGCTGGATAAAACAGAAACATTTCAGGCCTACTAAATGTAAGAAAAAATAGAGCTTCAATTTTGTTGTTGACTCATTCTTTGTACAAGTTCACCCGAATGAGATATACCGCTTGAAATCAATCAAATGCCGAACATTGCAGAAAAAGCCTTGAATTGTGACACTTTCTAGCGGTCTATCTCATATTAATGAAGTTATACAAAGAAATTAGCAATTAAAAATTGAAGCAATGTTCAAAATAAGTATGTCCGAATGTTTTAGGTCAAATTCGACAATATCTACGATGTTTTTCAAATATTCAAAGTTGCTCATTTCCGACTAAAAGTAAGCCGTTACTGTAGATACAAAGTTGAGGGTTAAACTGAAGCAACACTTCTATTAGATATTTGACAATAGGGTCCGGAAACCCAATTGGAAGAAATCATCGGAAATAATTTAAATTTATGGGATCATAATGAGACAGGTGCCTCCTCCTCTTTCTCTCCCACAACGACAGCAGGTCATCTGTTAAGACAGTGTCTGTCATTACATCCTACCACCCTATCCACCTTCCACACCTCATCATCACCACAACCGCCACCATCTTCTCCTCCGCCGCTTCTCATTAGCTCTCTTCATCTATCTCAATTTTCGAAAGTTCATTAATCAGACAAATGTTCTTTTCATGTATGACACACACCAATTCTGAATGTTGCGTTTCGAAAGCACATATTTCAACAAAATGAGCTGTTGGGGCTGGGAGGGGAGCTGCCGTTGGTGGTGGGGGTCCCGCTCTTCCTCTCTTGTAACGTGTTTGTGTCGAGTGCATTGCCAGTGATTGATGAGGAAGAACGACCGAGGAGTCCGTCTTCTAAGAAGCAGCTCGCTCCTTTTTCCTCGCTCGATTGACAGTGTATCATTTTGGAGGGGAAGAAAACGACAGAGACGGAAAAAAGCTCGTCGTGGAGACAGATCGGTGGTGGTGGTGGAGGTGAAAAACCCAACAAAACATAAAAGAAAAATGAATCAATGAAGCCAAGAACGGCGCAAAGTGCAATTCTGCAAAGCGATTGTCTTCCGCAAACCATCCATTGATAGTATATGGTCGTTCGCAACACACAAACCCCTCAAAAGTATAAAAAACCAAAATTACACATAAATATTAGGTTGGCGGGAAAGTCTTTGTCACTTTTTCAATAGTTTATTTCTCAAAGAAAAAATAACCGAATAATTAATTATATTGTCCATCATTATCAACAACATGTCTCCAACGTTCCCTCAATTTATGGATTCCATTGCGGTAGAATCCAGCCGGGCGTGAGGCAAAGTATTGTTTGAGTGCCGCTTCGACCGCTCCACGGGAATTGAAGCTTCTTCCTTCGAAGGCACGTGTCATATCGCCAAATAACCAATAGTCGGAAGGAGCAAGATCAGGAGAATACGGGGGGTGAGGGAGAACATTCCATCCATATCCCATCAGCTCCTGCTTCACTTGTTTCGAAACATGTGGGCGAGCGTTATCATGTTGATAGTACACTTTCTTGTCTTTCAGGGCCGAACGGTCGACTGCTTTCTTGAGGTTTCGTAGTTGAGTAGTGTAGAGGTCTCCAGTTATTGTTTTGCCCTCGGGCAGAAGTTCCCAGTAGATGGGGCCGTCCACTCCCCACCACACAGAGAGCATAACTTTTTTCGGATGAAGGTCGGGTTTTGGGACATCCTGTGGGCTCTCTCCTTCTCCAACCCACTGGGATTTCCTGTGGTGATTATCGTAGAAGACCCACTTCTCATCTCCGGTTATTAGCCGGTCCAGCCATCGATCGCCCGCGTGGAGAGTGAGAAGAGTAATCGAATCGTCGACTCGGCGGTCAAGGTTGGCTTGAGTCAGGTGATGAGGTATGAATCGACCAAAAAGTTTTCTCATTCCAAGAGACTTCAAACCTTCAAGGACTGTGCTATGGTGAACTCCGAATGTGACAGTAGTTCACGGCTAGATTGAAATGGATCCGATTGCAATGCGTGCTTCAGCTTGTCCAAATCCAACTCACGGGGTCTCCCAGAGCGACCCTTTTCATCGAGCGAGAAGTCATCTTTTTCGAAACGATGGAACCAATTGCGAATAGTATTGTAGTGAGGGGCATGTGTGTTGTACACATTCTTCAAGAAAGTTTCCGAATCCTTCATCGTGGTGTGAGATAGGAAGAGGTAAATCAAAACATGTCTGATGTGAATAGCAGTGGGAACAAACATATCGTTTCAATTACAGATGAGGAGCAGGGAAGGAAATGGGGACTTGTTTATATGGAAGGTTCTTATCACCTTGTTATTCACTAGAGTCGATATCATACACAGCCTCCATATACGAGAACAGTGATTAAACAAACAGAGTGACAAAGACTTTCCCGCCAACCTAATATATCATGAATGCATAATAAATGAACACAAATGGGTGTCAGTGTCAAAGCAAGCAGTGTGTTTAAAGATAGGAAAGAGATGGAAAGGAAGACACATGCGGACCGTTTCTCAACAGACGTAAGAACAACTTTTTCGAGAGCAACGACGTAACGTTCGTTTCGGAAAGATTGTAAAAGTTTGGTTAGGCCGCGAACAGACAGAACTTTGTGCCAGGGTACCGACTCCAGCTGTTTATGATGGTTTTACAGCTGCCACGACGTTGCTAAAAAATCTGGCAGGCAGTTGTACAAGAGTTGAAAGTTGGCGGGAGGGATGGTGAGAGGAGTAATGAGCATTACCGTAGTCAATTATCGCTTTCGAATAGAAATGCTGTTTCTTACCATATGAATCTTCTGGGAGTTAACCAGATTTTAACTATAACTAGACACAGAAACTCAAAAATTAAACTTGATTTAAAAACTCAAAAAGCGTTTTTTCTCAATCTGTCGAAATGATTTCAAACATTTGAACGATTCAAGATCTAGATGAATTAATCATTGTTATCTATGCAAGAGAAAACTTAGACCCTTAGATTCAAATTTGTGAAATTCGGAAACTTAAATGTTTCAAAATGCATATAAGATTTTGAAAGAAAATCAATCATGCTAGACTGTATTTTCCGCACCGTTCAAAAACAGCCATATTACAGATTGAAAGCGGTGACTTCAGAAAAAAAAATCAAGATGAAAAACGAAAAAAGTTGACTGGAAGGAACAATTTAGTTCAGGAAAATTGAGGTTCCGCCGAAAATGGAGGTTAAGCTATAGTTTCAATTTTTCTAGTTCCAATAATTAGGCTACGAAAAGTTCAAAATTTCAAAAACTAGTTTTCAGATTACTGTAAAACTGAATCAGGCTTCCAGCTAATAAATCAACGGAGCGAGCAATGAAGCATCCAAGTTAATTGGGTCCAATAAACAACTTACCGAAAAACACGTCGTGAATCAGTTAAATGAGTGTCATAAATTTTAACGCCGCGGAGCACACACGCGGCCGCTCCTGACAAAATGGGGCGAGAAGGGATGGGTCAGCTGTGGTGGAAGTGGTGGAAAAAAAAAAAACGAAAAACTGCAACTGAGGCTTGTGTTGTTTTCTAAGCAGAAAAATGAGACAGATAGAAAGGAAAATGCTCCTCCAATGCACTGTGTCTATCATCTGGTTGCGTTGAAAACCATCGTTCAATCTTCCTGTCTCCCACTGCTGCCACCCTCTCTATCATCAATATTGTTTCGATTCATTCAGCATCCTCTCGTTCCGTGAGAAAAGAGAAGATGGAGCACAGACTTTTTCGACTAAACGTGTGCAGGTGTTGCTCGATGATAAAGTAGGACGAGATGATAGGATAACAAAAAATAACATTGAAAACAAAAATTGAAAGAATGAACTGAGAGAAGATACTACCGTAGGAAAACATGGATCCGTATTTCGATTCCCACGGATCAGGAAGATGATGGATTGGAGGTCAAGGATACAGAGAGAAGTTGACAAATTTGCGTAACGATAATCACTATTTGATCGGTTACGTCACGTACAGAACCACGAGTAATCACGCGTCGAGTGTTAGTTTTGATTGTTATCATGATTTACGATAATTGGGGACCCATGGATACTCTTATCTGTGCGCGCTCCTAATTCTATTATGAGAGTCTCATAAACTGGGGAACGACGAAGAACATATGCAATATGTCTTTTCTCTTGGTGGCTGTCCGGACAGAAGAAAAGTAATTTATCAGAAAGTGGTTTTTTTCGGTGGGAGCATCTTCAGTTTTTTTTTTTTTGAAAAGTGGAGCAGTACGTTTTTGCCTCCCCGAACTCTTCGAAAGTTCTTTGGAAACTAGGCGAGGAACAGGACAAAGACATCAAATAAAGGATTTGGTGTCCAATATGGAACTTGGTAATGGTGATCGTTTCACAACAGGGGGTCGGGTTGGATAGGAAACGGGGGGGGGGGGGGGGGGCTCAAC